AATAGAAAAGGTGGCTACGCTGCTACGCCTTGTTGAATCTCAAATCCTTCCTGAGTAGTTTAACCAATGATATGGATCAAATGTATGAGGACCTATGCAGGGATGATCCCTGCTATGACTCATGACGGAGGTGAAATTTCCAAGGGGTTGACCAATGCCCCAAGATGTTTCACCGGAGAAATACATTCCAGTGATAGGTGGCCGGTGTGACTTTGGCATCTGACCTCATCATGATGTGACCAAAAGCATCTTGTCTCATCTTGTCTCCTACTAAAACTCATATTTGGATATATTTGGAATTACAGTAACAAGTAAAGAATCGCTAGTTCATGGTATTTTCACTGACATGTGGCTTGGACCATATCCATCTGTCACCAAACTTGGGATCTAAGGTCGCCCCACTCCATGCAGTCGTGTCCGTTAGGGGATCGGCTGATTTTCCAGCGGAACAAATAGCATTTCAGGAAAGCTGTTTTTTGTTTCGAAGGTGCCATGGCTGATAGACGAAATTCAAGTGAAATTCATTGCTAGTCCACGGCTTTGCTGGTGCTCTGAAGCTCGCACGGCAGGAGAGTTTGTGTCCGCTTCTCCCGCGTATGAGGCGGGGAATGATCGACCCTGGCTTTCTGGATGTGTTTCAGAAAGCCAACAGATTGCTACTGCGTGGTTCTATGCCTTCTTTGTGTTTTCTCTTTTATGATCCTTTATGTCATAATGACAATTGTACAAATGTACAATGTCAAACCTGCAAGATAGGTGAGCTGGCTTACAAGTGCAATACTTAGGATTTTTGGTGGATATATATATAATATATATATACATACATATATACATATATACATATATATATACATATATATATATATACTACTATGTATATACATAATTTATTCAACGTGTCTACAAAAAACCGTTGTGGGAGCAACTTTCTTTGACCACGGTAGAAGGGCCCTTTGCATAATGCCAATCCATTAAGCCACAATTCAGAAAAATCATGGACTTTCTTTAGGCCGAGATGTGATTTTGGACATTTGATGAACGAGGCAGGGACTGGTCGTTGCCGGGTGTGTCTGCGAATGGTGGGTTTCCCCAGTAATTGGTATAGGGAAAATGTCTGAAAATGTTGAACCATTAGATGGACATAGGGGTACCCAAAAAGTTCAGAACAAAAGCAACATATCCAAAACAGACTTTCCATGTTGTCTAGCACCGTTTAATCTGCCCCCTCCTAATTTGCCAATAACTAGGATATATATATATATATAATTACATAAGCATAGATTATAAGCATTGTTTGTTTGGCAGATGTGTTTTTCAGAAAACGTTCTGGTTCTGCATGTTTTCTCTCGGTAAAGATTGTGCACCAGAAACAGAGAGCATCATACAAGGTGGTGCCCCATAGTTAGCTAAGTTGGTTTATAATTCCAATAACTATGGTTTATGGTAGGTATATCTATACTTACAATGGTTTATAAACCAACTTATAAGTGGGGGGGCACCACCTTGTATATCAGCCATTTTTGAGATTTTTACAGACTGTCTGATATTTTTGTTTGTGACAACCACCAGTCACATCTGATGGCTGTTGTGACAATCACTCGAGAGGATGAGCTGGTCTTTTTGGTATGATATATGTGTCTGAAAATGGGGTATACTCCCAATTGGGTGGCTACAAAAAAAAGGGATAATGATGATTAACCAGCGGATTTAGGGATACACTGCAGACAAACGCTTTTTTACAGAGATGACTACAGCCGCTGACTTGACAGTTCGGAAAACTCGCGCGAGTCACAGGGGTGGAATGTCCGAAAGGACTACAACGGTTATAACGTTTGCCCATCATCCACCACCAAAGCAGCAAAATTTGGGATTTGGGAATCGTAAATCTTTGATTGCGAGTGGTGAGGCGAGCAGTCGACCAGTCGGCGAATGCTCAGCCCCGCAAAGACCCCCAGGGTGTCCCGGGTCGAGCCCAGAGATGTCATCGATGGCTGATATACAAGGTGGTGCCCCCCCACTTATAAGTTGGTTTATAAACCATTGTAAGTATAGATATACCTACCATAAACCATAGTTAGTGGAATTATAAACCAACTTAGCTAACTATGGGGCACCACCGCACCTTGTGTTCGAGCCCACCGGTCAACCCGGTTACCCGGAGCTGTTGGACGCGACGCGACAAGGGACAGCCGGTGCCGCCAAGCCTCGGTCCCCTTGTGTGGCGAGGTGATTTTTGTCAGTGTTGTGCATTAACTCTTACAGTTATGGCCATTTATCAGTTATAAGTACTAAGAAAACATAAGAAAACATCATTTATAGAATGTTTCTCATCCCATAGAAATAACCAGTTATAACTGGTAAATGGCCATAACTGTACACCAATCTTTCATCTGGTTATATCTGGTTGGTTTCAAACATGTTAATCATTTTCCATAATTCATATATGGGATGTCATCCCAACCCCATTCACGAACTCCATCATTTTTCAGGTGGCGAAAAACCACCAATCACTTCATGGTCCTCGAAAATGGTCGGTGAAGCTCCCCAGAAAATCGCGGGGATGTTGGTGAAATCGCATGGTTTTTGTTGGTTGAAATTTATGAAGGGATGGTGTGGTATCATGGTGATAGAACCCATGGATGTTCATGGTTACATGAACATAGCACCATGAAAAAACATGGTTACACCAAGTATCTCCTCAGTTTTCACGTGTATATCCCCATCTTGTCATGATATATACATATATATGATATAAGTATGTATATACTATTATACATATATATATATACTTAATTAGTTATTTACCTCAATTATTTATTTATATATCCCATTGTTTCATGGTTTACCTCCCAATGTTTTGGGTAAATCACTTCCATCCATGACTGTGTGAACTTGGCCACGAGGCGCCTGGACGGTGTCCCACTGCCGTGAGGCGTGGGGAATTTTGAAAGGTTGGCACATGAAAACATGTTTTTTTTTGATTTTATAGTTTATAGATATTTATAGTGATGTTAACATGGGTCATTTATAGGGTTTTATAGTGATTTATAGATATTTATAGTGATTTATAGATATTTATAGTGATTTATAGTGATTTATAGGGATGTTAATGGGATATCAATGGGATATCAATGGGATGTCAATGGGCTTTAAATTTAATGGGAAGCAAACTTTGAAAGATGTGGATTTCAAATGGTTTTCCGCTCGGAGTTGATCGGATTTGCTGGGGATACAACCCAAATTTGAGGGAAAAGAGTCTGAAAAAATAGGGGGAAACCCGGAAAAACAGCCACACTGAATAAACAAAAACACCTTGCAACAAAAAGATTTAAATCAAAGGAACATGCGTATATATATATAATAGATAAATATACATACACACAATCAATCAATGTATATATATATATATACTGTGAAAAAAACAGCATCCTGGCACCAAGCGCAAGAAAACATGAATGACAGATGCAACCTGTCGCAGCACAACGCACTCTTTGCAGAAGGCAAAACGCATATACCATAGGCCCAAATTGGGGCCACAAATTTGGAAGCTGAGCTACCAATTTTAGTATTGTGGCCCCATTTTTGGATCCAGAATCTGGCCCCTGTTTTGGGGGCACAAAACACAAACAGGAGCTATTCAATACGGGCAGCAAGTGTGCTACTGCCGCCGCAAGCTGACAGCAGCACATATCCGTGATACTGAATATGCAATATAGATTTATATATATATATATATTATATATATATATACACTACATAATATATATATATAATATTATAACCTTATCTATAGCTAAAACATGAACATGTCCATGGACCCCTAAGAAACAAGGAAATGATGGCTATGCCTGCACAACTGCGGGGCCCAAGAGAAAAAGGTTCGTTTGGGAAACACAAACACATCACAAGGAGCTAATAGGTGGTATTCTGGTCATGAAGATTTAAAGTTCATTGGTTGAGAAAGATTAGAAACATCAAGAAGCATACAGTTAATGCCCCAGACAGTACTTTGTCCACAGTTCAGAAAGGTTCAGAAACCGATTTATGTCTGTGGAAGCACTTTGCAGATGGCTGTCCAGGGCGAAGGCTAAAGGCTACGGCTACAGCCTGTGAGTGGCCATGGTTTGACAATGGAAAATCCTATGGTAAATGGAGGTTTGGATGGGAACATCAAGTGTGGCTAATGGATTTTCCAGCACGCCATGTTTGATTGCCAGAGGTTGGATATAACTAAACTGCAGACCAACCAAGTCAAGTAAGACTATACATGCACATATACATATACGTATCATAAATGTGTGTATATACATATATATACATGTCCGCATCAATACTACCTAGAATGGTCTCATAAGTACCCAGCCTCTTTACAGGTCTGAGGATGCTTGCTGCAGTTGTGGGGTCATCTTTGGCCAAAGTCTGGCGCTCAGTTTTTTTTTTTTCGATATACATGTGATCCAATCATACAGTGGATGGAAGAAATCCTGCACCAGTTGACAGGTAGTTTATCCCACTGTTTTTAGGGTTTCAACCATCCAAGGTGGTGCAGGATTTCTTCCATCCACAGTATGTGCAATAGTCAAATTACAGTTTTTCTCATCAAACGTAACGTCAACCCGCATTTTCATAGGGATCTATAAATTCTATAAAACCATTAATTTGGGAACTCCATTCTTGATGGCGGGATTACCATACCACATCATTTCCAAGGCAACTTGATCATGGCAGATCCAATCATATGGTGAGGACTTTGGAAAAACTTTGACAGGATGTTTTTATATGTAGTTAAACAGTTACTGATTGGTGGTTTAGAACATTTGGATTATTTTTCCATTCAGTTGGGAATGTCATCATCCCAACTGACGAACTCCATCATTTTTCAGAGGGTAGGTATACCACCAACCAGTCAATATTGCCAACAAATTTGATGATCTAATAGTGGCTAAGGAGTGTTTCAAGATGGTCGTTTGGAACATTTTTTTATTTTCCCATATACTGGGAATAATCATCCCAACTGACGATTTCCATCATTTTTCAGAGGGGTAGGTCAACCACCAACCAGGTTAAGATGTAGTTTTCGGCATCCCAAGGTTTGATTCCCATGCAGCATTTCATCCATCTGGCATCGTCCGACAGGTTCCAGATCTCAAGCATCGACGCGACCTATCTGAATGGGCGAGGTGGAGATCGACGCTCAACACGTACTCCAAAAAAATAGGTTTCAACACGTTCAAAGAATCAACATATTCATTTAAAAATGCCAATTTTGATGGTCAATAAGGGTCTGTATCCAGAATGTATCCAGATTTAAGAATCGTGGAAGCTAAGCATGATGTAAGAGTACAAAAGAAAACAAAACCCTCACTTTCTCCGTTTGCAACTAGGGCCTACCGTGACCCCTGCCAAACACTTGGTCAAGGGTCGCTTTGGGGAAGGCATGATCCCTTGTAGAGTGTTCAAAGTGCTTAGCAACTGCGGTACTCTCAGAGTTGCTCCAACCTTCTCCTAGTACCTGAGGTCACCATCTCCTAGTCTCTTGGCGATGGCTAATGGGAAGGTGCTGCCAAAAATGACCTTACGGAAATATATTAAATTATAATAGATTATAATCCTATCATCGCTACCTGGAGGTATAGATTATGAATTATAACAATCAAAGCTATTATAGTTAGATTAAAACAGGTTGGTTTTTGTTAAGGTGTTTTGAAGCTTATTCAACCAGAATGGTGGGTGCAAACCATCTTTCAACTGGGGCGGGAACCCTGCTTGCAACTAACTGGGAGATTCTGTGATTCTGGGATAAATCTGTTGTTGAACATTGATGTGAAGGGTCACCGGTCACGCATAAAACGGATTGGCATTACAACTATGTCAGGTTGGAAGAAATCCTGCACCACCTTGGATGGTTGAAACCCCAACAAAATAATGGGATAAACCACCTATCATCTGCAGAATCTCTTCCATCCACCGTATGTCAGGTTTAGCACATGTTGATGACTTGTGAAGCCCTGAGGCCTGACCTTACCCGGAACGCTCGGCGATCCCAAGGCGTTTAGCCAACGATGGAGATTTCACCAAGAAAAAGGGACATTGACCATCACTGACCCATGAAAGATGGTTAATCATGGAGAATAATGGTCAAATACTGGTGATTAATGGTGATTGACAACTCCAAACATGTTTCATTTTCCATAATGTATGGGATAATCCTTCCCATTGACGAATTCATATTTTTCAAGATGGTTAAAGCCACCAACCAGATGGTTAATGGATGGTTAATGGATGGTTAATGGTTAATATGCTTATTCAAAATGGTACCCAAATAAGAGGTACCCAAATATGGTTGATACTGGCGATTAATGGTGAATCACGTGGCCGGGAAATCAACTGACTGGAGGGATTTCAGCACCAACAGACTGTGGGGATTCATAGTAGTTGGTTATGGTAATACGGATAGATCTTGGTTATGGAATTTATAACAGTTGGTTATGCTTGTATAAGTCGGTTTATAGCTAGTACAACGAGCGTGTTCATGCTCACTACAACTATGGTGTTTTTAAACCAACATATAACAAGTTACAACTGCGGGGCCATAAGATTATAATCGCCCTCCAGTGAACGAAACGCTATGGACATCTATGATTGTTTCCAGTTCTACATTCATGGCGGAATTTCCATACTTATCTACTGTATGTATCTGTATGTTCGTTTACTGGAGGGACCTTCTCTTACCATCATAACTGTTCATAGGACTGCAACTATGGGCATGAGTTCGGGTTGGTTTGGGGTTTCACAAGAGTTGGGAGGTTCTTTGATCATTGGCCTTGCATAGCCAAGAACACAGCCGCTACTGTAAATCTATAGGACATGTTGCTTGAGATCATAGATTTCATAGAGGGATAAATATCCACTAAATCAGCAAAGGGTACATGGAATTGAGATGAATTGAGTGGATCTAAGTCAGGTTGGTGGTTTCAAACATGACTTTTATTGTCCATTTCATATATGGGATGTCATCCGAAACCCATTGACGAACTCCATCATTTTTCAGAGGGGTAGGTATACCACCAACCAGAAATGGTACAAAGCTGACCCCTGTATTTGTCCAAAAAGAGCCTTCGCCCACGATGTTTCCCAGAATTGGCTCCAGGAACCCTGAGGATCTTGCAATCTAAGCCATCGGAAATTCCGTAGTTTCTTCAAACCAAACTGTATATGGACTACTCGTATCATTCATTGCTTTGAACACTCAATGTTGATTGTCAATTATCAAGTGTTCATTGTTGATCATTCATTGTTTAGGCTTAATCCAACCCATCGGGTCATAAAATTACGACGTTTCCCCGTAAAGAAGCTCCATCTCGGCCGATTGAGGCGGCGGCTGCGCCGGCAACACATTGGGTGCCTCTGGAGATCAGCGGGCCCGGTTGTTTGTTGGATTTCGTCAAAAGACTTCGGTATGCTTGGAAAAACAACATATACCATCTGGCTGTTTAACATAGCCATGGGAAATGGCCCATTTATAGAGGTTTACCTATTAAAAATTGTGATTTTCCATGGCTATGTTAAATAACCAGATGGTATATATTCCATGATTCACAACAGACCAGCAACAACTGGCTTAATTTATCTTGTGGCATATATGTATCCCATAAACATGTTCCCATATAGTTCTTTCATATCTCCATATATTTGCCATGGATGTTCCAAAGATGTTTCCCATATTTTTCCCCCACCTTCTGGTACATAGCCATGGAACATACCAGCTCAATGCGTAAATCATCCAACTAAATAGGCCATCTATGCCAGTTCGCAAACTCTTCAATAACCGCAGGGTGCCAGTTGATTGGAAATCCCATCGACTAGTTCGTTATATCCCCAAAAAACATCCATAAACCTGGTTGGTGGTTTGGAACATTTTTTATTTTTCCATAATATATGGGATAATCCTTCCGAATCCCATTGACTTTCATATTTTTCAGAGGGGTGGCTCAACCACCAACCAGATGGTTAATGGATGGTTAATGGATGGTTAATGGATGGTTAATGGTTAATATGGTTATTCAAAATGGTACCCAGTAGCAAGAGTGATGTAAGGTGTTAAGAGTTCCAGCACTGAGGTTTGCCAAGATTGTCTCTTCCAGAGTCATGTGGCTTCCTGGATGTGCTACGACTGTAGCCTCGAACATCAGCCGCCTGGCGCATGGGGGGCAGCAGAAATGAGTGGGAATCACATGAGATACCCACAGGTACCCGTGTGCAACCAGTAAAAACATGCAACCATGCGGATTGAACCAAGAATTAATTGGACTGGTGATATCTTTTGACCAGCGAAATATGGAGTCCATGAGAATGAACCTTGAGAGATTGACATATCAGCAACAAAGTGGATGTAACAGGGTGTATTTCAATGACTAAATATGCGGGATTTATGTAATTAATCAACAAACACTTGGTGTATTGAAGCTTTAGAAATAACATATCACCAGTACACATGTGAACCATTGAAAATAGGGTGGTTTAATACTCAATAAACAATGGATGTCTCCATAAATCATCGACAAACAACTATGGAAACTATCAAACAAATCAATAAATTATGGATTTCTATGCATTTCTCAATAGTTTAACAAAATACATATGGAAACTATGAATAAATTCAACAAAGTATTTTTTTTTATGCATTTCTCAATACTTTGACAAACAAATTTATCTGGAAGGTGCAAAAAAAATGCAGCACAAATCCAAACATCCGCTCACAACGTCACTCAGGAAGACGGAGATGGGACGTGTGGCGGCATCTTTGGAAGCCAAGGCGAGGGTTCCATAGTCGTTGTTGTTGAGTTCTAATGTATACCTAGACGACCCTCCACCACAACAACATATAAAAACTATATATGTTTGCCCCACATAATCATATTTGGAAGGTCTGGGTAATAGTTTATTTGATACTATACATATATATATATAGAGACTATTTTGTAGATTTATTGATGTTGATTGCATGATTTTTCACTGAATAAGTCTATTTAGATAAACATTACCCTTTGGTAAACTAACATAACTATGGAAAATCACAATTTTTAATGGGAAAATCCACTATAAATGACTACATTCAATAGCTATGTTAGTTTACCAGAGGGTAACATGAGTTTTTACATATGGTCCCTTTGACAAATAGACTCGTCTATGCCTTTTTTGTGCTGACATCCCCCCATGGCAGGCCGAACGTTCCCGTGAGGCGGAACTCCAAGCCATTGTGGATGCTTGGCGCAACGACGTTCCAACGTGGAGCAATCAAAGTGGCCCAACCTGACCTTAAAATATATGGCTGGATTGTCTGAAAATTATAGGAACCCACATGGCTGGCTCACTTAGAGTCGCCCTTGGAAGCATATATTAATAATATTATATATATATACATTATATATATATATGTATATTCATAGGACAAATATCCATCAGGTTGCAGGTTAAAGTATTGATTTCATCTATTTCATCTATTTCAATCCCGAATTTTGGTGGCTTTTTGCTGTCCCACTCCGCCGTCGGTATAGGATACCATCGACCCCTCCATCCGCGCGGAAGCGCAACGCCGTCTGCGACTGCGGCGGGGCAGCGAGCTGATGGAGCAGGTGGGGCGTTGGTCGGTGAAACCTGGGAAAACCGATTCGGTTGACTCTGATGGTAAAAAGGAGGTACCCTCTGGTAAACTAACAGTTTGCTATTGAACATATTGAACATTGCCATTTAGTTCGTTGATTTACCTCTTGGAAATTGTGGTTTACATAGAGTTATGTGAAATTACCAGAGGGTAAATAATGTGAGAACCCCCCAAAATACGGTGCAGCAGCTTCTCAATTTACCACTTTTTAATACAATCAGTTTTACAATGTTTTACATATGATTTTACGTTTCTATCTTGCTGGGTGTTGCTGTAATGAGTTATGTGGTAAACCCAGAAATAACCCTGGCATTCGGAGTATACCACCCATGTATGGTGATTTTTGGAATGGTGCCCATTACATCATGTTACATCACAATAATACCTGTAATGTTGGCTACTGATTAGTGTGGCCCCCTCAACAATTTTAGGCTACTCAATAACTCACCATTTTCCGGGCGCCCCCTCAACAATTTTTGGGATAGTCAACCTAAGTAAGGATTTTAATTGACATCACTGTGACATCACCCTACTTTCAAATGATTGTCCTTTTAAATCCCAAAAAAATCACCCCAAAAGATTTTGTGCACAATAGGCTACCATCGAAACAATTGCATTATTGAGGATCTGGAACACTCATGGGGTACCCTCTTGAAAAATTGTTTGGGCGCTGTTTTTTAATAAGGGTTTCCACCGGCCCCATCCACAAGATACTCAATAATTTTGGAAAATCAAATCCACAATATAGAGATCCATCACATACTACATTAATTACCATGCATTATCTGGGATTTCATTGGATTTCGAATGTTCAAATGTTCAAAGCCGAACCGATGATTTTAGTCAGTTGTAGTAGTGAACCCTGCAATATAGGTGGGATCAAATTTGTATCCATACCTCATTCACCTAATTTCTGTTTAGGGGATTCCTATAGAGGTTGGGCTAGATTTGGGACGTTTTACGATTTGTGCCAATAGTTGATACTAACAGACAAACATGGAGGTTGCCTGAAATGGAAGTACCCCTAAATCATCAATTTTTATAGGATTTGCCAGTATAAATCATCCAGCTATTGGGGTACCCCCATTTATGGAAACCCCCACATTGTGATTCAATGAAACAAGAGCAGAGAAGGGTCAAGATAGCAGTCCCTACGCTTCGGTGATCTCATGTCCGCGCCTTTGTTCCCGATGAAAAACTGGCTTGGAGTGGGGAGAGATATTTCCTCAAGGGCTTGGATGTGTTGTAAAAAAAAGATCGAGAGTTGTCCTCTGATTTTTCCTTGAAGATGAACTTCAACAACATGTGCATAAAGCTGCTGTCGATTCGAAAACCAAAGTTCTCAGTTTTTAGCGGTTCCAACCCAAAGCGTGCCGGCAGAGATGCCGTTTCGACCCTGATGGATGACGCCAGCCACGCGTTCTGCACATCAACACCCTGTGGGAATAGCTTGGGTGGAATGGGCATGCAATGGCGGTCGCGCAACATCCCACACCGGTGAATGTCGAAGATCCGGGTGGACAAGCCTCAACGACATGCTCTTTTACCGCTATGAAAAGTTTCAGGGACAGTCAGGACAGTCTGGCGCATGTTGAATATGTGGTAAAAACTATTCCGAAACTCAAAGCAGTGAAAGTCAAAACCATCATCATGTTCGGCTCCTCTCACCCAAAAGAGGGGATTCCCTACAGACATGAAAATGCAAAGCGAGACGTTGGACATAGCACATTTCGCTGGCGAAACAGCTGCGAGGTCCCATTTCTGGACCGTCGAACCGTTCGCGCGGGGGAGTGGAGCAGAGAAGGGATGATTGGCGGCTAGAATTTAGCTCTAAATTTGTGTCACAGGAATACGAACTAATTTCAAACCAAAGCTAGAAAAGAGAAAACATGTTCTAAATTAGTTATTCCGATTCCACCTACTATAGTGCTCTCAAGATTCTGTTTGGTTAGAATATACATTCCAACTACTACTTCTCTTCCCCAAGTACTCATCAATTTATTAAGCTAGCACTACTATACTTACAGAAACTATTCACTACTGGAAGTATAGTAATAGTATGATAGTTATATTAAGTTACTTCTAATAGTAAATTCCACCTACTATAGTCATTGAATTAGTTGAAGGGAAATCTATAGGAAACCATGTTTTAATCATAAACATATGGGTTGTTCCTGCATGTCTTTCCTCAAACCAATCCAATATATGTAAAGTGGTTCCACCTACTATAAGTAATTGGATAGTAACCTGCTTACTATGTTAAGTCTAGTAACCTGTGATAGGTGATTGTTTATTAATGTTTTATTATCCCACTATATTATAGTGACAAAAATCCACCCATACAATGTGCCCCCAAGATAGCTAAGTTGGTGCACATAAGTCCAATTTCACTATGGTTTATGGTAGGTATATCTATACTATTCCTATTCATGTTTTTTTTTCACCAACGTTCACATCACTTGGGGGGCACCACCTTGTATATCAGCCATTTTTGAGATTTGTTTTTATCCTGTTTATTATCCCACTAGCTATTATTGCTATTATCTCACTATTATCCTATGTTTTTGTCACTATTAATCCATTAATAAAACAGCTAGTGGGATAATGAAATCCACTATGGTATTATAAAACAAGTGGACATTATAGCTAGTACCACTGTCATTATTGCTATTGATATGACAAGAATCCACCCAACTCGCTATTCCCGGGTTCAACCGCTTAGCAACCGATGGGGGACGCATGGAGGTCGTGGAAGCGCAACCGACCTCGAACTCGAAGAGACCGCAGTTCGTGCGGAAGGTCGTGGTCTGACCCATTTTCGGGCTGAAGATACCAGTGATACCCCAATAACTGAAGAATACCTACAGTTATGGCCATTTATCAGTTATAAGTACTAACAAAACCCCATTTATAGAATGTATAATCCCATTTATAACCAGTTATAACTGGTAAATGGCCATAACTGCAATAACTGAAGAATACCTATTATAATAGGGACTATTGGGAATTAATAGGGATTAATCCCCAGTCATAGAAAATGGGGTGTGATTTTCAACCATTGTTCTGGGTAAATTTCATCACGACCTCACTGCGACCGAATCCTGGGAATCATGATTTGTTTTTAATAGGGAAATCATCCCCAGTCATGGCCTTAATTCAGGTCAATGAAATATTGAAATATTATAATTTACCCAGAATGATACCCCAATAACTGGTTGGTGGTTTCAAACATGACTTTTGTTTTCCATTTCATATATGGGATGTCATCCTTCCCATTGACGAACTCATATTGTTCAAGATGGTTAAAACCACCAAACAGAATAACTGGAGAATGTGAATGAAGAATGGTGATAAACCACAGGAAAATCCTCTGTAGAAAATCGCTATATGAAATCTTTGGGGAATGCTGACCTCTCAATGGGAACAACTTGGAGAATTTGGAGATGGGAGGTAGATTAAAATCACTCGATATCTTCGGGATACGGATCCATGTATGATTTATGGTATGAATACATTGGAATCCTCAACATTTTTTTGGGCTAAAACTCTGTGAATGAATTTGCTATGACTAAATCATACAAAATCCCTGTCGTGCGTCCGCGTTTTGAGAGGGCGTTCTGAATGTCACAAAGTCATCCCGTGAACCATAGACATCATCCCACATAGGGGACTCAGTAAACCTCTATCGGATGGAAATAGAAATTTGGATTTAACATGCTTTAACAATTTAACACATTTTAACATATATATATATATATTGGCTTGATTCAAAACATATGAATTCATATATGGTGCCTCACCAGCTGCGGGGTGCGCAGCGCGAGCGCGCGAGCATTTAACACGTGTGCGCGCGAGGTGCGCGAGCAACGACAGGCGCGCGCGCGAGACGCGCGAGCAAATAGAGGCGCGCGCGCGCGATGTGCGCGAGCAAGGCCAAGATGCGCGTGCGTGTTCGCGCGCGCGCCCGTCCGAGGCGCGCGCGCGCAAATAAGCTCTCCAAAAGTGGATTTGGTGAGCTTATTTGCGATTTGGAGAGCTTATTTGCGCGCGCGGAAAGCTTATTTGCGTGCGCGCGCGTGTCGGACGGGTGTGCGCGCGAACGCGCGCGCGCATCTTGGCCTTGCTCGCGCACCTCGCGCGCGCGCGCCTCTATTGCTCGCGCGTCTCGCGCGCGCGCCTGTCGTTGCTCTCGCACCTCGCGCGCGCACGTGTTAAATGCTCGCGCGCCTGCGCGCGCACGATTTCAACAGGAAATGTTTCATATGTTTTAAAAAATGGCAATATATATATACATATGTATATATTATGATACTTTCCGGTAATTCAACATACTGGTAGCTATTGCATAGATGGCCATGTAGTTTGATGAATTACCTCTACATTGAACATGGTTATTTTCTATTTTCTATAGTTATGTCAACCTGCCAGAGGGTATCCCCATATTTCACGCTTAGATCCATAGCTTCATAGCTTGTCCTTACATGTTCAGTGGTTTCCTCATTTCCTCCATGCTTTGACTTTGGCCAGGAGAAACCAAAACCGAAAAGAGCGCAGGCTGGGAGCAGTTTCAAGGGCTGAATCAGTGGCTGGTTGGATTTTTTGAACAGCCAAAAAGGTATCAAAAGGTGCTGCAGGGTTTACCGGTTTACCAGAGAATGACGTCTAATGTGGTTATTTAAACTATGGTTATTTACCACTAATGGTTTACAACAGGTGAACATGCTTATCTAAACTATGGAATGGGGTAGCTTATGGACAAACTGAGAAACTGACAAACTCCTCTCCCGAGTTGATGGTTGTCGAACAAAGAAGGAGAGTGGGAGTGTGTGGAACCTACCTGGTAGACCCCAAAAGGACCATTTATTGTCTCTATAATATGTAGTATATTTGTTATTATATATATATATGTATATATATTTAGAAAATGTATATATATATTTATAATTATATATACACACTATATTATATACTATATATACTAGATTATATACTATATATATATACTATATTATATACTATATATTACTATATTATATACTATATTATATACGATATATTATACTATATATATTATATACTATATTATATAGCGTTTGTTGTGTTCTGCGAACGATGTGGTGTTGCCTTTGCAGGTGGCTCGAAGGAATTCACAACGTGTCTTCACTGCACATCCTGGTGTGATATAATCTTGCTAAGATCCACGGCTATGGGTTGGATTAACATTTATTGACCCGAGAATGGATGCTTTAAAGTCAAGATGACCAAGTCCAAGTTTGTCCATTCCGTTTCATCATCAACCCCGGCAAGCGATGCTTGATGACACGGACCCCATTTTTGATCCATAGCCACAATTCGCCCTGGGTAGTGAACTAGGCTGGTTTTTGTTGTGAGATGCTGGGAAAGTGGCCTGCCATTGCCCAAAGACAGCTAGACTTGAGAATCACCATGCTGAATATGACCAGCCGAAAATGGTATCACTATGACATTGGGTGAATCCCACATTGGGTTATCATGAGGCTCCACGGAGAAGAAAACAGTTTCAAAATAAAGATATCAGATATATCATATGAATCATATGATGTAATCGATTCATGGAGAAATCCAGACCAAGTGCATTGTTTTCAATCAATTTGATTGAGTCAATATGTAGTATCCAATCTTAAGTCCAGCATTTGAGCATCCAGATTGGATTTCAGCAGCATTTTGAGCATCCAGATGTCCAAGGTTCCATGTGCGTGTGTCTAAGAATCTGTTATATCTGTTACCCAACCTAAAATCCAATTATATCCGATGTCTTATCATCATGTTGGCCATGAAAATTGCTATGGTCCCAGGTTGTCTCACAGCAGGTGAAATTGTTGGATATGTTTGGTAAAGTCATCCGCAGCTCAACAAGGTGGTGCCCCCTCCCCAGTGATGTTTGTTGGTTTATAAACCATACTAAGTATAAATATATCTACCATACACCATAGTTATTGGAGTTATAAACCAACTTAGCTAACGAACTGGGGCACCACCTTGAAGGTATGTCGTTGATTATGAAGCCCTTGGACTTGGGGGATAAATTCTTGGCAGAGACAGTAGAGACAGAGACGAAGGAGTGGGTCGAAGGGGATGCTCCGCTGCAGCCAGAATGGCCCCTCTAGCACTTTCATTGTTTAAAAGATAAATCCGATAATCTGGATGTTACATTTAATCATATCGTATATAATATTAACTTAAATAAAAAATGATGCACGGTATCCAAGAGTGGACATGTGTTTGGAACTATAACATGGAAAAAACTAAACCCATGGGTTTTGGAAGGTGATGTTTTAGCATGGTTGGAGCTAACATGGAAAACCTAAACAAATTGTTTTGAAAGATGATTCTTCTATTGGAACTATTTGTTCAGGGCTTCCATGGTGAATAGTAGAAGTGTAGCTTCAAGACTGTGGATTCCTGATGCGTTCTTTTTTTTTGAAGTCTCCAGACAGTTCCAAACGCGACAAAGCAACGTTTGGTGGAATGTGACTCTCAAATCGACAATGGGAACTGGATGCTTCAGCTTCCTGTTTCACTAAAAAAGAGTGACCAAACTTGTCAAGTTTTCGGTCCTTGATTCTGGAACCAGATCCCATAGATGGGGATGTTTTCAGTTGGTGGTTTGGCACATCTATTACTCTCAACATGTTTCAGTGAATAGAAATGGGACGATGATTCCCACTGACTTTTGCACATTTTAGGATGGGTTGAAGCCACCAATCAGCTTTGTGATTGATACTAGGTCAACTTTGCTATATATAACTACTACTATATATATAAGTATTACTATATATATAATATATATATAATATATATATAATTATATACATATATATATATATGTATGTGTATATATATATATATAAACTAGTACTATATGTATATAACTACTACTTTAATCTTTTGCTGGTAAAGTTACGGTCCAACGCCATCGTTTGCCCGGACCGGGAAGGATCATCATCGTTGTAATAATGATGAACAAGCAGGATGCCCCCCAACCCTGCAACCTAAAAGATAATAATACATGTGCATGTTGTGGCCTTTGATTTCTTGGGCAAACGATGGTGTCAGCGCGTAAAGTTAGTCCGAACCAGCTAAAATGATCTAAAATTGAGTTTTTGTTTTTTGGCAGGTATCCAAGATTCACCATGGATAAGATTGAGACCAACAAAGACCTGATACCGGTTCCCCCGGTTCCCCCTGGCTGCGGCCCACGGGCTGGCGCAGGACTCTCCCAAGGAGAGATCCCCAGTGCAACTGGCCAAAGCGCCGTCGCCAGAGCTAGGCGCACCGGCTGAGGGTTGGAAGTGTGCGTACGTTGAGCTATTTTTGGAAAAATATGATGATGATGATGATGATAATGATATATACAAATATATGTTTGTTTTGAAAACTATAATATATGTATGTAGTATTTATGATATAACATATATATATATAACATAATATATTTTAATATAATATCATATAATATAATATAATAATATAATATAATAATATATAATAATATAATATAATAGAATAATATAATATAATATAATTTAATATAATATGATTGGATGTAACAAAACATAACATAATATAATTTAATCTAATATGATATATTTTATATAATATATTTTTTATATTTAATATTTAATAATAGTACATCTATATTTACATATGTTAAATAAATAAAAAGATAAATAAATTATATATATATATGTATATATATATATATTATATATATATTATATATATATATATATTATATATTATATATATATGCACCCCAGGACAACAACATAGTTTTTTTGTTCGTTTTTTCCCCTTGTTGGTGCATATTACATATGATATTTTTTTTGGTGGTTATGTATAGAAACATGGATCGAGTTGCCATTGACAGATAAGGAGCTGGGCCAACGTAAACGTGAATCCATTTTGGCAATAGAATAAGGATGTTTGGTGGTTTCAAGTGTGTTTGATGTTCCATTCTACCTGGTATGATGACCTGATGACCATTGATGACCCCTCAGCAATGACCACTGTTTTTTGGAATGTTTGAACGCCAGTCAGATCCAGTGAGGTTTCTCTGTGGAAATTTCTCCAAAATCTCAGCAATGGCATTTTACACTTTCAAACATCGGATCAGTTGTTCCTGGATCAGGGGAGATTCGGTGCCAGGTCTTCATTTCCTATTGGTGCGTACAAGAAACCCATCCATTTGTTGAAAAAACATCGCAATAAACAACACAACTGTTGAAAAAAATAAGCCACAGATGATCTGTCAGTGGTCATATGTGGTCATCACACATGGTATGCTGGAAATTCCTGAAATTCCTCCGTTTTGTCCCATGAATTTCCCATTTAAATGGCCATGAAAATGGTGGATTTTCCAGCCATGTTTGATGACTCAGCACGATGCCTGGACTGGACTGGACTGTCGCTGAACTATCCCCACTGGTTGGTTCCTGAGTCATGGATAGTCATGGTACATATTGCTGTGTTTGTTTGTTTAAAAAATGCAGAATAATATGGTCAATACTGGTGATTAATGGTGATTGATAACTGGTTGGTGGTTTGGAACACTTGGATTATATTTCTATATATTGGGAATTTCATTATCCCGACTGACGAACATATTTTTCAGAGGGGTAGCTCAACCACCAACCAGTTATGCTGTGTTTGTTTGGTGATACAACAAGTGATTGAAATCATGATCTCGCCAATTGTGTTGCTTGACATGATGCAGCCATAATCGCTGTACATCATATCAGCTGACCCTATAGCCCTATACCATATTAAAGTTGCTATATACGTGTAAGAATGAGCCGTCTTTTGACTTTATAAATCCAATTGACTACAGCTATATAGCTCCCATCATATCCGTTTTCAAAATTTCATTTACGATATATTATATCCCACTCTTGATTCAAGATTGTCAGTTTCAATTGGTTCAAATCCTCAACCCACAAAAATGCGGGTGGTCAAATCCCAAATATATACATGTATATAATACATATGAAACATATACAGAATGTATATACTGGATCCACTGTATTGCTCACAGTATCTCACATATATATACATATAATAACATCCCCAAAGATAGAAACTTGCCAGTTTCCATCATTTTTCACTATAAAAGTGTGATTTCACGTTTTTCATGTTGTTTTTGCGGGGGTTGCTAGCTGCAGGAGAGGTGACCAAGACCACCATTGAAGGTGTCGTGTTGGATGCTCGAACGTCTGCATGGCCCGAAATACCAGTTATGAGAATCCCATGTATGGAATTTATAATCCCATAGAAATAACCACTAAGCACTTCCAATTGGTAAACGGCCATGACTTTTTTGGAAGGCGAGAACCTCCATTTCAGATGTTGATGTTGATAGTGGGTTGCTGGGAGGATATTGCTATGTGACATTGGATTCTCGAACCACACATTACCAAGAAATTAGATCAGATTAGCAGGTTTTGGAAGCTGCTGAGTTAAATTTGGGTGTAGTTCAGGATTGAACTGCCCATGATCAATGAATTACAAGGTGATGTCGCCGCTACGATAAGCTGGCCCCGAAGGTCAATAACTCCTCTCACTCAACAATGGATCAATCTTAATTAATTGAATTTCGATAAGGTTTGTCTAAACACATAGAGGAACCTTTTTTTTTAACTATCCGATATGTTTTTTTTTCCAAGAGTTGTCCTTTTAACCTCAATACCAGGACCTTCACAATTTCAGTTGACCAGAAGCGTTTGAAGGCTTCGGCGCCCAAAATGAATGAAGCCTTAGGCAACACTATAACACTATATACTAGGGGCTTCAATGATCTGTGGATGGGTTCAAGACCTATGATTTTGCAGTTGAGTCAGGCTGCTCTAAACGCATTATAGCTAAAGTTTCCAGGCAAAGTGTACCAACTTGTTGGGCCTTCCAATGCCAAGGAACGAGCTCTTGGTATCAAACCGGACAAGGCTGGCAATTTGAAGAAGGAAAGTTGATGATCAATCAGTGGAATCAAATGGAGGTACCCTATCTTTCAGGCAATCCGCCATATGTATATATATGTATATGAAACTCTATATGAATATGTATACATATCATACATACAAAAACACATACATACATGCATGCAGACATACATACATATCATACACATTCATACATCATGCATGCATACAGACAAACATACAGACATGTAGATCTGGCTGTAGATCATGGGTAGCCGAGGGCCGAATGGACCACTCAGTTTCTTAGTGTTGGAGTCGCCAATTTCAAACGTCAAACATATTGAGCCACACCTTGCCACGCGACTGCAACCCTCACCATTGCAATAAAAGGAGGGGCTACCACTTCCGTGGTTCATTGATCGCAACCGTGTTTTTTGATCGTGAAATCCATCATAACATATGTTCAATCCTACAATGTGAGGCCCCCGTTCGATAGCTAAGTTGGTGCACATAAGTCCAATTTCACTATGGTTTATGGTATTTATAACGAACTAGTTACTGGGGCGAATCTAAACCAACGTTCACGCAACTGGAGGGCCTCACATCAATCCTTGTGTTTTGCTGGCTGATCTCCATGTTGATATGATTGCTTTATATATTCACCACGACAGGCTTGGCCAATCACCCAATACTCACAGTTGTGGCCATGGCTACCAGTTATAAGTGGTTATTTCTATGGGATGAGAAACATTACAAATGGGGTGACTTGTTAGTACTTATAACTGATAAATGGCCATAACTGCACCAATCATCACCAACCACAATTGACCCACTATGGCAGTGAATCACCCATCAAATTTAAGATACACTGTTTGCCCTCCTGCAGACTAACATAGACGTGGAACACCCACCATAAAAGCAAATTTGTTTCCTTGGGAAACCATTTGTTTCACGTCTATGTTAGTCTACCCTAGTGTAAATGTCATTAAATCACCTCATTTCTTGCTTGAATTCCATGAAATCCCATGAACATTTGTTCAGATCTGTGTTAAATCCCATTGGATCCCTATAAATTACATTAAATCCCATAAACATCCCATATGTTCATCCCTGTGTTGATTTTCACTAAATGCTATGGCCTAGGTCCCGCAAATCCAACCAACAATTTACAGTGACATGTCAATTAAACATCACTAGACCCGTGACCACCATCTAGTAGAGAGGTAAAAACATGCTAAAAGTTATAATCATATCATGTCAAGTTGTATTTTTTCCTGAAACCATTTAGTAAAGATTTCAAAAAAATGCTAGAGACCAATTAGTAGAGGCGATTTTGGAGGTTGTAAAGTAGGGTTTATGAACCGGTCAAAATCAATGAGAAAAAGTGAAAAAACACATCTAGTAGAGATTCCATTCCGCTGCCCCCGATAGCCATTTGGCCAACCCATGTCCCGTCTGGGGCTACGGTATGGGGGTGTGATACTGTAAGAGTGGAAAAGACTGGATGAGACCCACCACTACTAATGGTTCTGCATAGCCTTTTGTGGAATCGACTGGTTAGCACCCAAGGAACCCATTATAAACCATGGTTGAAAAGTGTGATCCCATTTGGATTCATTTGGATCCATTTGGCTCCTGTAAGGGTTTTTTCCTAGTCTGGAGTCCTTTGGGCTGTGGCTGTCCATTTAGTAGAGGTAGGTTAGTTAGAAGGAAAAAGGATTGATTTGCATTATTTGTTCAGTTGCCTTTATGTGTGTTTCATGTTGTTTTTCTCTACTAAATGGACCCCGTGTATTTCTCTACTAAATGGCTTTGGGGATTTGGTCGAGTGATGTTGGTCCCGCAACTTGTGGTCAAACGAGTACCTCTACTAAATGGAACAGGGTGTTTGGTCGAGTCATGTTGGTCTCTTAGGACACTTCCAAAATCTTTCCAAATTTTGCACTTCAGCTGAACCAAGGGCCGCCATTTAGTAGTGAAATTCGACCATGCATGCACAACCATTTAGTAGAGCTTGAGACTATGCAAACCGTTTCTTCACTACTAAATGGTTACACAGCCCCATCCTGAAATTCACACAGGGATATACTTTCATATATCAAACTTTCAACGTTCCCCCGGGCTTTAGCTTTTCCAACCCCAGCGTTGCCGGGCTGTCCATGGCTGTCCCAGTCCAGTCAGCAGTGACCTGCAGGAGATCATTTCCAGCTCCCAGCTTCGCAGTCGCCGCAACCAACTGGCTCTGGAGGCGCTACGGAAGATCGAAGATTTACGGCAAAAATCATGGGAAAAATAATGGGATATATATATATATATATAGTTGGTTATAGAATGTTATAGATCTTAGATTTTGTCGATCTTTGTGATTAAAGATCGAAGACAATAAAAAAAACTTACTGTTGCTTAGTAGGGAATGGGGGAGGATTATTGTTCATAGATTCATAGTTATTATCATTCCCCCATTCCTACTAAGCACTAGTAAGAAAAGTGAGTTTCTAATGGATATATAGATGGTGAGAGAGAGAGGTTATATATATATACACGTAATATATATATATATATATATTACACATATATACATATATTGAAATGATATGGTATGGTGGAGTATGAATGGGTGTGTGGTAGAGTATATGGCAAACCAACAAAAATGCAACACAAATGGAATATCATTACCATACAAGCAACTTTACGGTATCATAACCGGATATAAGATGAATTGATGGGATACACACATATAATATTTATGTATAGAGAGAACCTATAACAACATCATCTGTGGCTTTATCTGAAAATGGGAATATCAGACATGCCAGTGTTCATGGGGAAAATACGATGATTATAACAATCACCCGCACGTCCCATTAGCTGGGGATTCTTACCATTTTTGTTCACTCTTACCCTCTGGTTATTTAACATAGCCATGGAAAATGGTTGATTTTCCCATTAAAACTTCCATTTAAAAGGGATTATCCATAGCTATGTTAAATAACCAGATGGTAAGGCATATGTTACACATGAAAAAATGGGATGCCAGGAAGTTCCTCAGGAAGTTCCTATGTGTAACATGTGTAACGGGATGGTAGCTGGACATTGGACTTACCCTTTGGCAAACTAACATAACTATGGAAAATCACCATTTTTAATGGGTAAATCCACTATAAATGGCCATTTTCAATAGCTGTGTTAGTTTACCAGAGGGTACGCGTGTTGTTTGTGACTTTCCCATGTCCAGTGTGCGTCATATCCGGCCAAGTCTCGGTCAGCATGGCTGAATATCTTTGAGATCCCTCACATGGATTGACTGGTCCTACATATCATGTGGTAAACCGGTAAACCCAATAAACCATCCCCAAGTCATCACCAGGTATAAACCATCCCCGATGGAAGGTTTGTGGCATTGGGTTGCCCACATATGCAGCAACTGAAACTCTATCGTCCTCGGTTTGCGAAGATCCAGATGAAGATCATTGCTGAATTCTGGACTGCAATCAGATCAGAGATCACAAGAGTGTTTCTGGCGACATTTTAGCGTTCTCAATTCCCATAAATCACCATTTTCTACCTATCCTTGGGGACACAGTTTACCGCACTGAAAACCAGAAAATGCCTCGCCTCTGCCAGGCCTCTGAAATCGCCAAGCGCTTGGCACAAAGAGAAAGTCGTGAGGCGCAAGTGGAGTGGATCTATGGGAATCTTAGGGAATCTTTCTGTGGGTAAATTAGATAAGTACTATTACCATCTAGAAATTATAAGTAATTACTGTCCATTCAGTTGGGAATAATAACCCCAACTGACGAACTCCATGATTTTTCAGAGGGGTAGGTATACCACCAACTAGATTATTCAGTTACTATTAATGTGGGTAAAACACTGTCATGTTTACCACCCATGACTGGGAATGGTTCATATACACCACCTATAAAAATGGGGATGACCGAGCGAGGGATGGTTTATGGCATTGTTTACCCACATTATGGGATATTATGGGAATCTTGCTGGATGTGTCTAAATTAGAACGACCTCACTGTTTCTGTCTCACTGGAGTGATGGGAATTGTATAAGGATTGTGAGGGTTATCTATCTCAAAGTAGCCTTAGGTCAGGTTAGTGAAATATTGCAACTTACCCGGTATGTAGACATTGGATTGATAATACATATAATACATATACATATTTATATATATATACCTGGAACCTGCAAACATACATCGCGCGTTTTCCCCAGTTCCAACCATTTGTTATGTGAGCCACGTTCTAAACCCTTGTGTTCATGTTAAGCAAGGGGCCCCTTGTAAGGATGTGGCGTAAGCAAAACTGTGGTGCGCGTAAGCCAGCGTAAGCTCCGCGTAAGAAAAGATATGCGCGTAAGCAACACCTGTGCGCGCGTAAGCAAAACGTAAGCAATGGCGTAAGCATTTCCATATTTGGTGCCAAGATGTAAGACATTTAGAACATGGCTCATGTGGGGATTCTTCACTACCTTAGCACTTCCACATATTTGGAACATACCCCATCATTGTTATTTTATACCCAGATATTGCGACGCAGCAATCTGTATTAAACATGGCAATGACTCACTGCGACTTGGCATCAATAATACGTTTTGGGCATTTTGGGGCCACACTTATGAAAGACCACACGTGTGTTGATGTATGTTTAGACACGAGCTCCAGTACCATCTTTTTGTGTGGGGGTTGTTTTAGGGTGCTACGAGCATGGGGTTCCTTCACGGGTGTCTTGACAGATAGGTACTCAGTGGGAGACCTCCTGCCGCTTTGCTTCAGTGGAACTTTTTCTTCCCGCTGTACCCATCTCTACGCAAAATCATCTGATCTCAGTCCCACTTCTTTAACCTAAGTTATTTATATAGATCTTTAACCTAAGTTTATTAGATCTTTAATCATCTTATCTTTTAACCATCTTATTTTACCCACCTCTGGCTTCTGGCCAAAACCGACCAAACAAATTGTGGTTCAACTGATTGGTGTTTTTTTCGCTGCATTCCATCTCTCACAGCCCATTTTACAACACTTAGCTCTCATAAATCAGCTACAGAAATCCCAGCAACTCCCAAATTTCAATAAATCCCATGAAATCCACCATTGTTTCGTGGTTAAATCATGCTACAGGATGAAGAAACCCCCAGTGATGTGCGTTGTTTTTTTTTTTCACCCCATGAAAACATTCCCATGGTTAAGCCATTTATAAGGCAACTGAACTCTAGCTATCTTGGGGGCCCCAAATATTGTAAATCTCCATTTGTTTGTGGGTTTTCATGGTTTTTGGCCCCCCTGGAAGCTCCACTTCATCGGCGCCATGTTGACCGCGCTGCCGTTGCTTCCGCTGTGGGATGTGGCCATGGCCGGCCACGGGCTGCGAAGTCTGCTGCCGCTGTGCCGGGAGGTCCGAGGGGAGCAGTTCTGCAGAGTTGATCCAAATTATAGATGGGTAGATCGAACATATAACTTAGATAGTTAGATTCCATAGTTAGACTCCATAGTTGATCCAATTTATCCGTATTACTGTTATGGCTCGAAATGCCAGTTATTATAAGTACTAACAAGTCACCCCATTTATAGAATGTTTCTCATCCCATAGAAAGAACCAGTTAGAACTAATAAATGGCCATAACATGCCATAACTGTATGGGTCGATGTAAGTTGATGTATCAATATTTTGGCTTGATTCACTTTAATATTGGATAAATCGCCCCATAATGTGGGGATATAAGTGGAATATGTCAACAACATGTTGATCAGCGTGATTTAAGCATATTTAACACACCATCTTCCTGTGGTCAAGTTACATCTCGCCATGTTCGGGATTGATATGACGATGTTTGGATTCGACCATGGCACATATTGGCTTGTCTGAACATGTTCCCCTAAATCTACTGGTTCATAAGTTGAATCATCATGTTTCCAAATAAATCGGCCATGCTGGGGCTGTATCTAATTTTCAGACATACCCGTACGGTAATCCCCAGATAGAATAGTTCAACATATGGAACAGATATACTTCCCCTTGACAGCCTGGACATTATGATGTTTTCATATAGCCGATTTTATTCCAACACGGGCTATTGGTTTCGTTTTTCTATGTTCAACAAACAAATGATCTCCAGTAACCTTTCGGACCTTAATACTACTAACCAGCACTGATTTAGTTCATACTCTGGCATTTCTTTGCAGCATTGATGGGTTCAGGAACCTTCCTATCATTGGGCGTACTCATCGGTCACAAGGGCATTGACTATTGTAGCCAGGCTAGGCAAGCAGGATATTGTATGTAACCTGTCTCTGAAAAATGCTTTTACATGTGTACAGAATGAGGCACTTTGAAAACAGCAGGATTTCAATCTTAGGCTGGTTTCCACATGGAAACAACATGAAACAACATTGCTCGGATTGCAGCAGTTCATTCCATTACGGAGTACTGAATTTCAATTTAGTTATCCCCAATCATAAACGGAGTCTTCAATTCACCACCAAAACTTTTGTCCAGGTACTATTCTAGTCCACCTTGTCTATCCTTTCCTACGGCAGATTTCTGAATCGTATTTTATTGGCTCAATTCCCTTCTGAAAATTTCATGTAGCTAGAATACATCATCATAAATTTTACCTATGAAAATTACCTAAAGATCATGTACCTTTTATCTATTCAACATTACCTTTAAAATCACCTTTTTTTTTCATAGGTTTTTATACGCAAAAAAAAACATGTTTTGTTCATATCGAACTCCATGGGCCACGCGGATTTTTTTTTTACAGCTATGTTTAAATAGCCAGAGGCTAAAATCCTCATTATTATTCCAATTAATATCCGGTTGGTTAACAATGAGGATTAGATGATAATAATCATAATAATACTGATATTAACTATAATCTATTCTTTAACAATGATCATTTTTTTATTGAAAAATTATCAATGATTCAATGATATCATTATTTAAAGATTATCAATGATATACGTTACATCATCAATATCCAGTTGGTTAACAATGAGGATTAATTGATAATGATAATTATAGTGGTATTAACTATAATAAATGATATTATAACTTGGAACAATAATAATGGTTAATAGCTAATTGTTGGTTATCATATCTCCATTATTATTCCAATATCCAGTTGGTTATCTAATAAATAAGGATCATAATGAACCAACAATAATTATTCATAATGAGGATAACTGGTAACTCCTCATATCTCCATGATTATTCCAATCTTGTATCAATGATAGATTCTGACAATTTTCGCATTATTTGCTAATTAGTTCCAATTTTGGACCGTTGGGTCCCAAGCCTATTCCTGGTCGACGAGGTTCACCGCTCCTTGCTACACTGCTTGGAGACACGTGAAGAGATGCAGCTAGAGGTGCGGCGCCGAACCATTGGATTGAACAACCCGAAAAAAAAAAGGTTTTGCTATGTTTAGCTATCAAACACAGGGGATTTGCCATGAAAAAACTTGGGGTAAAAATAGGTGGGTTTTGTTTAACCATGCAAAATAGGGGGTTAGCCTGTATTGCTTATAAGCACTAGCATGGTGCCAATAACATGAAGTATGACGAGGTTGCGTTCAATTTCAGACCCACTGTCGTTGACCGGACTAGACAGATGTATACAGTAGATATCAAAAAGCAGTGACTTGGGCATCCGGTTGCAATGCTTAGGCCAAAATTCCTGCAGAACGAAGTTAGGGTGAAATGTTGATGTTTATTTTTGTTCAATCGTTGCCAGGTTTATCCCGGTGAACATGCATGTTACTGCATGTTTCTGTAACTGCCCACACGGGCAAATTATTCTTTTGTCAGATGCAGATCGCTCGCGAATGAAAGCCCCAAGCCCAAAGAAATCCACCCCGCGAAATGTTCTCCACCAAATATCTTCATGAACAACAAACGCGACACAATTTGGGTTACAGTTATGGCCATGGCTACCAGTTATAACTGGTGATTTCTATGGGATGAGAAACATTCTAACTGATGGGGTGACTTTTGTTAGTACTTATAACTGATAAATGGCCATTTATCGTTTCCAATGTCACTTTGGTCAGTGTTTTGATGCAACGCAGCGCAGGACTTTCAATGTCACTTCGATTTTGCCGAAGTCTTGGCTTCCAAAGCTCTCAAATTGCGCAGGCCACGGGATTTCCTTGTCCGGGAATTGCCAGGGCCACGTTTCCACTAATAATTACTAATAGCAAGCCAAAAACACAATGGTAAAGTGGACATATCTCAGAATCAATGTTACTCTAAACCGATGATCAGCTGAATTTGTTTGTTAAACTTGGCATCCCAGAATTGCACCCGCACCCTTCCAACAACGCATCAATGGCCTTCTGCGGATAGTGCACTACCCAGCAATGACCATTATGAGTCATGAGGCTCACCAGCAACCACTTCTAGGTGACATATCACAACCGATTGTAATCACCATTGCTTAGGTATACGACTTGAAGTGTTTGGATCCATGGGGTCCTGGGTTTGTGTGAGAACATTGTTAGCTGGAAGAGTCACGGCTCGACGGTTCAAAAAAAACCCTTGCATATGATCAAAATGGGCATGCCCCAAAATCCCGAATTCATAGATTAGACGTTTCCAGCGAACTAAACGTCCATGTATATCCATTTTTTTGGGATTACCAGATTTCAATCCTAAAGTCTTTGGAATGAGACTCTCGGCCGCTGAGGCTCTTCATTGGACGCAAAGAATTCGACGCTTGGCGAAGAATTGGACGAATTCATTTGGCTGCATAACGTTCTCATTGCGACCCCCAGGGACATGATGGCTGATGGGGGAAAGTATCAAAAACAAGGTAATTGGGCTTGATATTAGTTCAATGGTTGTTTTTTTTCTGGAGGCCCCTACGGAAAACCAAGGTCTAATTTTGCTTGAAATGAATGAACAATTTAGCATAGCAAAAATGCTAGCAGTTACAAAGTAGATTTTCGGATCATTTCAACTAGCATAGATCAGTAGAGAGAAGTTGAATCTGCTGCTGAGTGATTCTGACGGCCATGATCACTGGCTGTGACCTTCATCCAAAACTGGATTTGGTCAAAAGCTATGGCGAAGAGGTGCAGCAACTTACTTTCTCCGAGTGGCCCCCCACCAACTGACATTCTGTCTTATTATATATATATATGCTTGTTGGTTTATACAATTATGTGCAAACTCTCTTCTATGATTAAATATATATATATTATTATATATTAGTATACTATTTGATTATACATACACTTACACCATAAACCAAAGCACAGCATAGCTATACGAGTTAAGTAAACCTGCTTGGCAAGGTATAAGGCACCACCTTGTAGTATGTAAGTCATGACCATTATATATAGCCGCAGTATCCACATGGGCACTGTGTACTGATTGCAGTAACCTCACTGGCTGACGTCACAGTAATGTATGGGATTGGGGAAATCATCGCAACATCACCAAGGATTTCAGCTCAGAAAAGAAGTGTTTCCCACAAACTGATATCCATTGAAATCCGTTAAAATCCATTATTATGCATATGCATCCATAGTTACCACTATTAACCATGATTAACGACTATTAACCATACTTTTCTTGGAAACATCCTCCCTGTCCTTTCTTCAAGGTCCCAAAATATGGCGAGTTCACATCTGACGCCCTTAGGACCTCGAAAGCTTGGTGGAAAGTGGCTTGGACGATGGTCACGTCCAAGCGGCTGGGGACATGTGTCACTCTTTCTGAAAACCATGGAAAAGCCCTACCAACCGGAAAACCATGGCTTTGTATATAACTGGTTGGTGGTTTGGAACATGTTTGATGACTTTCCATTCAGTTGGGAATAGTAAGCCCAGCTGACTTTCATATTTGACAGAGTTGTTGAAACCACCAACCAGATAATCATTGTCCATATTCAAAAAAAGTCAGTCTTGGGTCCCTTGGTGCTTCTACTTCCCATGTTGTTTGGGTTGTTCGGGTCTGACCTGAAACATAACATCACTAGGTGGCAGCTGCTGGTGGTTAGTTTACCATAGTTTACCACCAATGTTGGTGAGTTTTGTTTAGCCACGACTGGAAAGATGATGGCTAAATATGGTAACCATCATGACCGGGGACGTTTCAAAATGGGGTGCCTGTACAATTATTCTCATCCGAGTGGCTGGTGATTTCGGAGGAAACACATGATGGAAAACATTTTCCAATATGTTCATTTACAGTATTCAAATGTATATATCAAAATCTTGAGGAACAGCAACATGTTTAGTAAATTAATATTTAACTTAAAGAACACCAATATTGAAATGAATATATTGATATACGTTATCAAAAGTAGATTGCCCCTTTCCGACATTGGTTGGAGATGGTGCTCAGCATAACACCAATGTGGAAGGCCCATGAGATAACAATAAAAACACGAGAACCTCAGATACCGAGTTACCTGGGAGATGTTCACGGAAAAACATGGCTGAGCATGAGATATCATACCAAAGACGGGAGATGATGTATCTAGTTATGACAGATATGTCATGTTTGGCCAGGAATGGGCGTAAAATGGGTGGTATTCACCAGAATCATGTTCAGTTTATCCACTATTCGAAGGGTGCCCATTTTTTGGCAATATGTGGATGGCCCTTGAGATATCAGTTGTTTTGAGTCTCAGAAACATATGTTTTTTTCATGTTTTATCAACAGGAAACAATTCCCTGGATTCGGCCTATCTTATTTATGTATCTAATTTTGTTTCTGGTCTGGAAGAGAGGGACTTTTCAGAGATAGATCCAGAGGACACACACACACACATAATTTTCCCCATTGAAATGGAGTCTATCAGCCAGTACCGGACAAACGCATGTGACTTTTTTGAATGTGTATCCCTGCTACTCAGTGGGTAATAATCCTATCACCCACTTATAATATGGGCTATGATATATATATATATATACTTATACAGAATCATAATGAATGCACCCGGAAGTATCCACGATAAGTATTCCACGTTTCTTCTCGGTATCTCTTGCCACTTCTCCCTGCCTTCCCTACCATCACTCAGGTGTTTGCATTTGTTTACCTGACCTCACTGCAACTTGGCAGGTCGCAGCAGAGACACTTGAGTGGTGGCCGATGGACGTATAAACACAGGAAATGGGGGCATAAATGAACACAATGAAAGGCGTTTTTTCTAAGCTAGGTGTACGCCCAAGTCATCCAAAGTTAGATTCTTCTAGAATTAAGCCCATGTAGGGTACCCCGCACTTTGTGAAGAGTAATCTGCAAACTATGCCTTTTTTCCTTTATAGATCTCTATAGAAAGATGAAAAGCACGGTTGTTGATTGGGCTCAAATCTTCGTTTTTGCACTGAATGACAGCAGCCGATTCTCGGGCCGTGCCTTTTCAATATAGCAACACAATCGTGGCCAGACCATGATGCTGGGAGCATGAGTGCTGTTGAAACCAACACAAAACCAGCCAATCCGTCCCCAAGCTTTGGCGAGTGACAGTTTTGAAGTGTTTATCCCATTTGTTTTGGGGATGTTGACCCTAATTTGTACGTATGTTTAGATTTCTTGGGAAAAGTGAACAACATCACGTATCAGGCATCATCAGGATGCTGTCTTCATCTCGTAGGGGGCTCTAGTGCATGTTTGATGATCAATCATATCAAGAGATATCAAGAGATATCAAGTGCTTCTACAGCACCCACAACTGCTAGTTCATTCTACCCAACAAACAATGGTTGATTCCGAACCCCTTCGGCACTTGCATCTTTAAAGGATCGTTGACATATCACACAGCAGCATATCACCAGTGTCACGCAAGGGAAGCAAATAAGAAGGAATGCCCACAGCACCAAAAGGTTGCCCTATCTGCCCATCGCGCCATTTAGGGGTTTCCATAGTCATGGGGGTACCCCTTTCTCGCTGGATGGTTAATTTCATGGAAAATCCATCTATAAATGGATGGTGATCATAAAGTTGATAATTTATGGATGATTTACCATGGTTGATCTCATGGAGAATCCTATTAAATTTCATGGACAATCCGATGATTTAGGTGTTTTTTCCATTGGAAAGCAATCCTATGAATCAATGCCATGGACAATCCAATCGTCGGGCTTTCCCCATTGGAAAGCGACCCCATTTTGACTGGACCACTGGACCACTGGACCCCCGAGGCACCAGAAGCTCTGATGTTGGCACCACTCTTGAGGCCGGGCTGGACAGTGGCTGGAGTCCTGACAACAGATGGCCAGATGGCCAAGGAAAAGAGCATCTCCCAGCATGAACCACGCCAAAAAAACATGAACATGTATGAACATGATTGAACATGTATAATTGATTTGATTGACATGTAGTGAATTCAATTTCATGTAACCATTGTAACCCAAAATTCACTGTGAGAATTATCATTTCGCACTGTAATGTATTGAATTCTGTGGCAGGGTCAGCACTAAAATGTGAGTCACAGTCTCTTCAAATCATCGGCGCGCGCTGGAGAAGGGTTTCCATCCGCAGCATGTCTCGGGGTTTGAATCGGGTTTGAATCCAAACAAGGTGATGCCCCCCCCAGTTATGTTTGTTGGTTTTTAAACCATTGTAAGTATAGATATACCTACCATAAACCATAGTTATTTGAATTATGTGCACCAAGTTAGCTAACAAACTGGGGCACCACCTTGCAGGAATCTTTTCTGAGGAATCGTGAGGCAATATATGTCGACTGACGAAACGCAGCGATGGTTTTGTTTGGAGGTGAGATGCGTGCTGAAATGGAAGCATGGTCATGGCTTGCTAGCTGTTTGGAAATTGGGTGCAATCATAGCACTTTCTTTTTGAAAAAAATCAACTAAACCTCATAATACTGTTTCAGAGTAATACTAAACCTCATAGCACAGCCAAGTGTTTTATCAACTAGACCTCGTAATACTGCTTCAGGGTCATATGGGTGTCCAATACCAGAACACAGGGTCAATCCATTTGCCCCAGGTATCGGAGTGAGAAAATTGAACGCATCAACTTTGGAAGAGGAGTGCATTTGGAGTATCTCGGTGACACAACATCGAAGATGCTCCATCTATGGAATATGTACCTACATTTTCCCCATTTTGATCACAGAAATGTAGGTAGATATTCCTTACATGGAGCATCTGGGCATGAGACAACATGATTGTAACCCCATTGGGGTACATTCGCCGCTAGAATCTAAGAGGTAACGGATCAAGATATGTTTAACCTGGCAGCTGGCCCCAGAGTTCTCACTAACCAAACACCATTTTGAAGAATGTTTATAGTATATAGTGGGGAAAGGAATTTTATATAGTAATATATATATAGTATATATATATATGTTTATATTATATAGTATATTTTGATATTATGAAAGTGTTTTTTCATGTACTTTCAAACACTTTGTTCATCGGTTGCTACGGATCACTTGTTTGCTGGTTAGATCCCCATGTTTGGTGCAAGTCGGCCAGTTTCGATTTTGAAGCAGAAGAAGTGTTGGATTTACGGTAAGTGTCAGTTTTGTTACCCTCTGGTAGACGTTTACATAGCGAACTGGAAAGATCCACCCATTTTTACTAGGTAAATAAACTATAAATGGGCCATTTTCCATAGCTATGTTAAATTACCAGAGGGTAACTGTCAGTTTTGTTACTGTTACGTTGTATGAAACTAAACCAAGATCCATAAATCAAGGCCCACTAAAACTGAGTGTTTTTTTCACGATGAGCATGATTTTGTGTCATCATGCGAACAGGTTGAAGTCCTTGAAGTCGTTGAAGTCGCTCCCGGCGGTCGGGAGCAGAGTCTTCTGCAGTGATGACGTGGATCTGCTGTTTCTGGCAGGGTGACCCCATCCGGCCGGAGGGCAATCTCTGTGGTTAAACATTGCTTCGCAAAAGACCCAAATGAGATCAAAGGGCTTAATATTCAAAGTTTGTAGCAACAATTGATTTTGCCAAAAGTTCAGTGGAAAATGTGGATATCCTCCGAGCCATAGTGTGGATGAAAGCTACTTGGATTGTAGATAAACGATAAGCATTATTTGATAAATCCCCGGTTTAAATATGGGTTGGTCTGAACATTCTAGGAAAGCCACAAAATCCAGTGCCATAATTTTCGTTCACTCATTGGGTCCATCCCAGTTTAAGACACCCGGATGACTAGGTGCCACCCCATGGGTGAAAGAGCGTGTTATCACTATCATGCATCGTCGCATACACAGAGTACCATTGTTGTCCTAGATTTGGTTGAAGGAACATGTGACAAAGAACACCTTTTAAGGGAATTAAAATGCAATATATATATATATATATGTATGTATACATAATTTTATATAATTATATAAAATTGTGCATATAATTATATTATATATATACAGAGTTTCTGAGACATGGTCTCCAGACCAATCCACTGAGGGTAACAACCAAAAATTGTCTTGTTGATGATTTGACGCATTTTATGTGTATGTATATATGTATGATGTGTATTATGTGTTTTTAATATACATGTATTTGTTTAACATGTATAGTTAATAGTTATTTTTATTCACATCAAAAGATACATCAGAAGATATAAATATGTATGTATATATATATATGATATTATATATATATATGATATTCTATATAATGTAATATACATATATATATAGACATTGTAATACTATTCCGAGGTACCTGCCGACTCGTCCGAGCGTTCCCTCCGCGTCCTTCCTCAGTCGCCTCCTGGGCCCGTGGCGTGGTCCGCGGGTCGTCGCGTCCGAAGCGACCTTGGAGGCGGCGACCGACGTCGTCCGGGGGCGCGTTGTTTTTTAACGATCGGAGAGGTACTGGTTGGTGGTTTGGAACATTTGTTTTTTTCCATTTCATATATGGGATAATCCTTCCCATTGACTTTCATATTTTTCAGAGGGGTAGGTCAACCACCAACCAGGGTAAGATGGTGCAAATCACTAGGCTAATGAATGTCAACTGAGATTTTAAGGACGATGTATCTAGAGTATTCTACAAGATGGTGCCCCCCCAGTTATGTTTGTTGGTTTATAAACCGTTGTAAGTATAGATATACCTACCATAAACCATAGTTATTGGAATTATAAACCAACTTAGCTAACTATGGGGCAGCACCTTGTAGGAGGATAGAAACATCAAACATTGGCCTTTCACCATCAAATCGCCACGAAACAATGGGGATGTGGGGATATACGACTCTGGTTGTATGTTACAATAGAACTTTACCCTACTTTATTTGGCATTCATTTGGTATTTAACAGGGTATACGTATATTGATCAACAATATGTTTTAGTGGGATGCAATGGGGATGCCCAACAAACAGAAACGAAATCTCAACCACATGGAGTATATAACTTTGTATAAACAACAATCATCAGGATATACTATTTCATTGTTATGGAGATACATAGAATAAATACATACAATAGCGTCAATAGCGTCAATAGCGGAGATAGAAAACCGACAACATGATAGTTGATTGTGTGTGTGTCTGCAAATGGGTAAATAACTTCCAATGTAAGGCCATTTGTTCTTGTGAATTTGATAAAACTTATGACTATACAACCCATTATCAACCCATTATGCAATGTTATTTCAACAGATATTCATATTAGTTCATATCATATATATATACACGTAGATATTCTATACATATACTGGTTGGTGGTTTGGAACTGTTTTTACTTTCCATTTCATACATGGGATAATCCTTCCCATTGACGAACTCATATTTTTCAGAGGGGTAGGTCAACCACCAACCAGTATACAGTTATGGCCATTTACCAGTTATAAGTGGTTATAAGTTATAAATGGGATTATACATTCTATAAATGGGGTTATAAGTACTTATAGCTGATAAATGGCCACAACTGTATATGTATATACATAATTATACATACAGCCCATCTATGCCATATACTCCAACCATGTTCTTATGCCGCGAGAAGCCCATCGTTGAGGTGGCCATTCCCCGCTACCAAAACCTGGAGACCGTGCCTCGCGTTGCAAAAGCAATCAACGTGGCGCGACGCAGGTGCCGTGGAAAGGGGGGTGGTGGGGCGTTTCCAAAACGATTCCCCTGGGGTGAAGAACCGGAAAAATTATCTGGAAATGGTGGGTTTTCCACATTTATGTCAGTTTATAGGAAAATAACTGTTGGGTTGATGGCAGTTATAACGACTATAGGTAATTGAGGTTATATGGTGGTTATTAATCAACTTATGAGCGGAGATACCCTCTGCTAATCAAACGTGGCTAGCTGGAAAAATAGATTTAAAGTTGGCTTACAACTAGATCAACTATGGTTAATGGTAATTATAACTATAGTTCGTTGGGATTATGTATCAACTTATAACTGGGTGATCCCACCTTTGTGTGGTTTGTAAACCGCATTTACTATAACTATAGCTATATGTATATATATATCCCCGTTCACCCTACTTAACCAAATCATTTGCACCAACTTACCTATCCTTTGGAAGGACCCGCCTTGTACCAAAAAAATGTTTGATATTGTTTGTTGTTTGTTCGGCAAAGTGTAGCCATAGTTTCTGGCCGTTCATGGCCATGCCAATAGTGGAAAATCGAATGTGTAACTCATATACTACCTGTTCATGGAATTTGAAGTGACCCATGAATTGGGACACCTATTATATCAGCCAGGTATTTGATAGTGTATTATATAAACATATTCAAATTAGTGTTGCCCATCATATGAGCCTGCTGAGGAAATATGCATTAAACCTTAGAAGAGATAGAAGAGAACTGGTGAAGGTAAGAAGAGGTAAACCGCAGGTTTACAAGTCTGAATAGAAACTATAAACACTGGCAGAGATCATGTTCAACATGTTTTTTTTTGTGAAAAACTGAGAGTTTCTGTGCTGCATATGGATTTCCATGAAGTTGGCCGATTTTTTCAGTGGTTCATAGCGCCAGTGTACTATTGATTTGATGTCTTGCCTTTGAACAACCATTTCGCAGATATCCACTGGAGATCCACTGATCAAGCTCCTGGATCGTTCGATGAGGATTTCTATAGTCATGGAGGTAGCCCTTTATCGCTGGATGGTACATTTCCATGGGAAAATCCCATCCTATAAATGGATGATGGACACAAGGTGGGGCCCCCCCAGTTATGTGAACGTTGGTTTATAAACCATAGGAATAGTATAGATATACCTACCATAAACCATAGTGAAATTGGAATTATGTGCACCAACTTAGCGATGAATCGCTCACTGGGGCACCACCTTGCAGGGGTACCCCCATGACTTAGGAAACCCCGTCGGCGATTCGACCAAGCCTTCCTGAAGCGGTGAACCCGTGAACCCCCAATCCATGACCAAATCACTGAAGATCCAGCCGTTAAAACACAGGGTGTTGATGGTTATTCGCCCAATAAAAACACTCACATAAGCTGGCAAGTGGGGTTCTTAGATGTTCAAGAAGCCCATTTTCTTCCGTTATTTGTTATGATGGTTTTAAAAAGATCACAACCCATGTTTATCCCTTCCCACTAATATTAAACACCCCCGAAACGAAACCATGGTGGATGTAGGGAAATTCCACATACTTGGGACCATGTTTTTTTTGGGGTGTTTAATATGAACGGGTGATGGGACAATATTCTTTGTTTACACAACCATATTTGTTTGCAGTATTATTCTGAACAACAGAACCCATATCTGGTTGGTGGTTTGGAACATTTTTTATTTTTCCATATATTGGGAAAAATGTTCCCAACTGACTTTCATATTTTTCAGATGGGTAGGTCAACCACCAACCAGATATTATCTGTTGATTTTGTCCCGTCATTCGGGTCGTTGCTGTGTTAAGTCACCATGCTCGGCTTGGAGGTCAGGTGTGCGGCTTCAACTCTGTGACCCCTGGCAGGAGAGCGATTTTTTGCGGAAATCTCGGGGGAAAACCTTGGAATAGACATACAAAACCAATAGAACACTTTACCCTCTGGTTATGTCAACAGTTAGCTATTGAAAATGGCCCATTTAGTTCGTTGATTTACCTATTAAAGCGGTGATTTTCCATAGCTATGTTAGTCTACCAGAGGGTAATATGAGTACAGATAAAACACATAGCTCAAATTAGTACAAACTAGTACAATAAACCGTTTGGACATGTTGGTAATTAATCAACAAAAATGATGATAGTGTTTTCATACTTGGAATCCATCGAACTCCTATCTTTGGAGCTTTTGATAGCGGATGAACCATTCACTATGGGGCCATTATGGGGTCCTTTGGGTTGGAGACGTTATTGCTTGTTTATCCCCATGTCGTGGCGCTCGATTTGAGCCAATGATAACTTGTTGGAAAACCTGCGTTCAATTGCGAAATCACATTCTGGAGTTGATTTTCCACCAATCTCAATCTCAGCGCTGTTCCTATCGGACTATTACCTGTGACCTGTTGCTTTGGGTGGGATCTTTGGTGGTTTGCTCGAAGATTTAGGTTAGGCACCACACAAAGATATGCGTTTAGAAGTGTCTGAAAATGCGGTATAGCCCGAAATAACCATGTTTTTATATATATATATATATGTGATTAAAATGATGACATTTTAATAGGTAAACTGATGATTAATTGATGAACCTTTGGATTGTGCATTGCCATAGTTTGCAACAAACCCGTGTTGAAACAGACTGATCTGACGATCCTTGTCATTCATTGAGCTGTAGCAAGTCGTCATTCAAATGTTGCAAGTGTTCAGAGAAACCTAAGCAATGTTCAAAACCCGTTATGTCCCATTCGATGCAATATATGTCCCCATATTTCCCCATACTATGGAAGAAATCCTGCACCAGTTGATAGATCGTTTATCCTAGGGTTTCAACCATCAAGGTGTTGCAGGATTTCTTCCATCCACAATATGTACCATTGAGCTGTTAGCACCTTTTTGTTTGCCATGCCGAATTGGGGAGACACGAAAATCTCCAGCGCCAGGACAAGGCCTGCGAGCGGCCACTCGGCGAAAAACGCTTCAATGATACAGGAAGGGACCACATAGTTGAAAAGTTGGTGCAAAACAAATTCATGTCATATCATATATATATATATATTAATGTAATTTAATTTACATATATTAACATATATATATATATATACGTAGTAATATATATATATATATACATATGTGTAGTAATAAATATATATATATATATTGTTAAAATATGTATATTAATATATATATATATATATTATACCCATAGATATAACTTATAACTAGTTTTTCTCCATGGATACAGTCTATACAGTATTTTTTTAATTATAGCTATAGATGGGTCTACCAACTGACAGCTTTTCTGCGTTGCGTTGTTCCTGTTGAGGCACGAGCTTCTTCGATCGGCCTTTTGTGTCTTCCTGGTGGTTTTCATGATTTTCGCCATGCTGTTGCTGCGTATTTGTGAGGAGCCCTGGGATGTCGGGACATGGTTTGGTCAGAAACATCTGTCCAGTATGTGCAAGTTAAGGGGAAAATGAGCATTCGACTCCACCGGGTGTCGATTTTTTTTTGAACCCCATCCATGTCCAAAACGAATCAAACAGATATGATTAATGATTATAGACTGGAATCATTATAACGATATCAGTTGTATATGTTTAAATATCATAATCATATCATATCATATCATATCATATCATAATCATAATCATTGTAATCATATCAGTGATGAGAAAGTCGGCAGATTTTTCGACCAAGTTTTCCGGGTACCGGGTACCGCAGCCTGGCAGGATGCGTTTGCCAAATCGCAGGGATATCCAGGTGCATTGATGGCCACGCATCCATTGAAGGCGGGGAAAAACCTGGATGACGTCAGGCGACCAAAAAAAGGTCATCTTCACTGGGGTTTAAAAACGAACATCCACAGGAAACATCAGGAAACCATGTTTTTGTCCCAATAAAAAGCGGGTGTCCTGTAAATTGTTTCTCCTTTAAACTAATCCATATCTAGTTTGTTTCTACATGAACATCAATAACATCATGAACCAATGCTATAGTAGCATCTATGTCTTCATGTAAAAAAGGTGGTTTTTCAGCTTGGACAACGGGCGTCACATCTTGGGTTCTGTGGGTTCCGTATACTGATGGGGGCCCTTTTTCGCCCCGAATCCAAGGGTTTGTATCCTCCATTTTCCACCCAAAGCCATTCAAGAGAAACCACTTACAGTTATGGCCATTTACCAGTTATAAGTGGTTATTTCTATGGGATTATACATTCTATAAATGGGGTTTTGTTAGTACTTATAACTGATAAATGGCCATAACTGTAGAGACTTGGCTTGTATAACATTGTATAACATTAAGTATAACTTAAGTATCAATTTTTGGTCAAGTCTTTTTCCAGTTAGAATTCTCTGGCCTTGGACCTGACCACAGTGCGTAGAGATGGCGGCGAAGAGTTGTGTGTTTTCCAAGTCGTCACGGAGCCTGTTGAGGCGAGAGGATGTTGGGATGGCCTAAAGGGCCACATGGTTTAATATGGTTTAATATGGTTTAGTATGGTTTGATATGGTTTAATATCGATGATCATGGGATATTAATGGAAATACCCTCTGGTTATGTCAACAGTTTGCGAACTGGAACATGGCCCAGTCGAAATAGTGGATGACTACCCATTAAAAAATGGTGGATCTTTCCATAGTTTTTTGCATGTTTACCAGAGGGTATAGCCAATTTGAGCATGAATCTTCTCTTTCAATCTTCTGGAGTCTGTGAAGGTACAGCCTGTTGGTTTCATCTATGTTCAACCCTGTTACTGGCATGGTGATCCCCAACTTGCACATCGGCCCAGATTCCATGTTGGGTTTGGGGGGATGTAGCTGATTGTGGCTCTCCATTGTGATTGGGTCTGCCATGGCAGACCCAATCAAAAACCCACCAGGAAGAATCAGTTGTGATTTCCCGTGTTAGGCCTCTGCTCCCCGGAGGCCTTAAGCTTCAGAGAACGCATCACCGCCTTGCAGTTGGAATGAAGTGCTGAAGCTGCTGAAGCTGCTGAAGCTGCTGAAGCTGCTGAAGCTGAGCGCAGTGTCGTTACGATGGGTCTAAATTCGTTACGGAAGAGCCACAGAAAGAACGGTCCATCCTACATCAGTAGTCTGGCAAACCTAATGCCATAAATCCATAAACAGTAAACCCACAAGGTGGTGCCCCCCAGTTATAAGTTGGTTTATAAACCATGGTAAGTATAGATATACCTACCATAAACCATAGTTATTGGAGTTATAAACCAACTTAGCTAGCTATGGGGCACCACCTTGTACCAACTGTTTACGGACATTTACGGTAGTATTGTGGATGGTTTATTGGTGAAAGTTTACCACATGATTTGTGATGTATTATATGTATTGGTTTATAACTAGGCTAGATAGGAATCATTGGAGATACATCTAGCCATAGATGGATTGGCTAACTTTAGTATTCAACCATCAACGTATGTTAAACATGTCCGCATTTTTATTGGGAACCAATCCACCAGATGGATTGGGAATATAATGGAATATATATATATGTATATATATATATATATATTTGATTGGTAAACCTACCCGTGTCTAAAGTTACCCAGATTTGGGTCTAAAAATGTTTTCAAGCTTGTGCTGAAGCAACCTTTTGCGAGGATATTTGGACCTATGCCCGCATTGTCCAAGATGAAAGTCACAGGGGCTGTGTGCTCCATTGAAGGTGGGATGAATATTTGCCACCGACGACGTTGACGATTCTTGACGATGGTTTATGATTGTGCACCGCAAACTCCAACCTTGATTTCCTGAGAATGTCTTGAACATTTCTGAACCCCAAATCAAAGCACGTGATATCATATCTAACCAGGGTACTCGGATTCAATGGATTGGTTTTGTTGGGAAAATTTTCACCGGAAACCATGTGTTTTTTTTTTGCCATCAAATTGATCGGGGTTTCCTGTTCGCTGTAAAGCAGATGTTCCCATTGTCCAATTTCAGTGATTCCACATCACTCAGACATTTTCAGAGATGTTCGCCACCACGGGAGTCACCATTTGCTGTTCGGAAAAGGAGGGATGCCGGGCTGCCGGTGGGTTGATTGTAGGAAATATCATTTACAAAGTGTAGCGTTTTTCAGGGTTATCCTCTGGTAAACTAGCATGCTTGCTATTGAAAATTGCCATTTATAGTTGATTTACCCATTAAAAATAGTGATTTTCCATAGTTATGTTAGTTTACCAGAGTTATCGCATTTCGTATGATTGTCGCAGTCTTGCTTAAAAATCGATTGAATCTTGGGTCGATATTATGAGAGAAACAAATCGCAATGTTCGGAACAACTGAAGCAAAACTGAAAAGGGCTGTACCCTCTGGTAGACTAACATGTTGCTATGGAAAATCTCCATTTTTACTGGCTAGTCATCAACTCTTTCTATCGCCATGATCCAGTTCGCTATTTCGATATTTCATTAACCAGAGGGAATCTCCAAGCCGGCAGTTTTTTTGTTCGCCTGCCAGGCCTGCCACCACTTCCGTTCCAAGTCAATGAAAAAACATGGGGCTTACGGCTTACCCGAGTCTCGTATGGTTATTTTAGTGAACATTAGGCTCAATGTCCAAGTTTGGGTTCTCTATTTTCAGGCCTAATCAACCAACATGTTTCCAGTCTTCCAGTACACTGCTTGTTGAATTGTTGATGGATTTATGTTTTTTTAGGTTAGCGGAAGCATTCAAAACCTGTTTTGGCCTTATTTTTACTTTTGAACCATCAGTCAGTTGACTCTCTATATCTATATTTATTTATATATATATATATTTATTTACACTATATGATGATAATCCGCAGTTGTCTCCCACGACATTGGGGCCTTTTCGTGGTTCAAAGATCCAGGCTCCCAGTGTTTTTTCCCGCTACAGTAGGCGGAGAGCTGCCAGAGTTTGTGCCCGAGTTGCGAGTGGCTTGGATGTGTGAAGGGGTCAACAATTTTCCATGTTATTGATGTATATATATATATATGTACTATATATACATATATATATACACATGTGCGTGTGTGTTCTATATATGTTATCTGTATATACTATATTATATATATATATTTTGCATTATAGAGTATTATATATATGCTGTATATGGAGTAATATATGTATCAAATATATTGTGATACTTATTATATACATATATAATATATATTATATATATATACTAATATTATTTCATATTATATGTTACATGCACTATTATATACATAACCACCATTGTAACAAGGAGTTAAGTTGTACTCCAGATTATGCAGCTGAACTCACCACTGTTTATACCCAAGTTGTTTTTTTCACCCCGTCGATCTTTTTCCTCTCAATGGGGTACAGGATTGGGGTTTCCCAACCGCACTTCATGGATATCTCAAAGATCACCATAGACGGCATAGGCAGACGCGTGATAGTTCGTAGATGAAACGCAAGAAACAGGTAGAATACATACTGAGTTATCTGTTTACTTATTTTAATGATGCATGACTCGTCCATGTCAGTGATTGAATGAGATTTATCATTAACGAATATAATCAGTATTTGTGATCTTCAGGTAACTATTGTTGTCGTTTTGTGTTCTCAATACTAAGCCTTGATGTGTTCATTCTGTACATGCTATCTGTTCATTTTTTTATACCAGTGTTTAATGATCTTAGTACATCCAGCTTTCCTTTAGGAATAATGCCAGCCCCATTTGTTTCTTGACCTCTAGCCTGTTGATCATTGGAAGCAGATGAAATCACTATTTTCGGGGGGGGGGTATACCCCTTAAAAACCTGGTTTTGCTGAGATGGTGCTTCGTTTATTTCCCCAAAGAACAATCCAACAGAAACGGGGAAGCTATGGGAAGATTCTGTTTTGTGTGGGGTTAGATGAGTTTAACGGACCAGTTTCAGGAACCCCCAACTACTTTAGTGGTAAGCACCATGGTTTCCGGTTGAGATTTTCTCAGAGTGACCAATCCATTGAGGGTTTGTATAGCCCGCACAGTGAGGCTGAGACCCAATTCCAGCAGTGCCACCCAACAACGTGTGACCTGGTGGTAACGGTGGCACCAAGGGACTTTTTTTTTGTGTTGAGAAATGAGAGGCATATTCAGTTGACAAAATGATTGAAGACTTCATGTGACTTAGCCAAAACTTCTCACGGTTTATTGATATTCTTTGGGAAGTTAAGGTAATTGACTTGTGACATATGATACATTAGTATAAAATGTAAATTATGATATGAGAATTACTTGTTTGAGGGCTTAGCCAACAAAAACATGCATTTGCTGCCTTATCGGAGGAAAACGGATTTGCTGTAACCCCAAAACATGAATCAAGGCACGGTGCCAAGTATAATATATACCCTCCACTAGTATCCACTAGTCCTATCTCACCTCAGCATTTCGCAGATTATAGGTATACACAAATAATCCACAAAAAGGTCATGTTCTGTTCCATGTTCGACCATAGAAATGGAATAATAACACCGAAAAAAAAAACATGTGCCACCCAGGCTCGAAACACCAAAGAGGTCAGGGGATAAAAAAGTGTGGCTGATGCAGCTTATACCCTGGAGGCATTAAACGCATTAAACATAGTAGTCATCAAGAGGTACGAGGATTCTAAGCTACCTTAGAAGGTTGAAAGGATGGGTGCTCTGTATACGAATCTGACACCTGGTAATGTTGGAAAGGCATCAAAGCCAAGTTCGCCAAGCCCATACGGGTGTTAACGGATCTTACCCCCAGTTAATACAATTTCCCTAATCTCAGACACCCTCTAAATGGATTTACGAATGGTCTGAAATAAGTGTAAATCTTCCAGTATTCTGCCAGTAAACCATGGTTTCAAGGGGATGAAACTCAAGGGATTACGGATGCTGGTGAATTTTCAGCTATTCAACTGTTGAGACATCCAACCATAGAGTTTGGTTCTTGTAGTGATGTTTATCAAGAGAATTCGGTCTCAGGGCCACATTATATGTGCCCTGGTCAAAGGCTTCTGTGCCCCAGGTGTTCGCCGTAAGGATGGTGCTTTGGTGGCATGGCCTCACAAAAAGCAGCGAACTTGGCCAAGATTGCCCCCGATAAACGTGAGCAGCTGCTGGTCATTGCAACAAAGAGGTCTGATGTAGTGCTGGTCCAAGCCCAGGGAATCGACTCGTGCCAAACGCACCAAGCTTGACGTGACTAGGTGGCGACTCGCACAGAGAGGACCAGATGTCATGCGTCATGGCTAAGCGGCTAACCAATGGTGAGGGGCACAGACTTCCTCCATGAAGCAGGTGGCCATGGCTCTTTGGCCTTGCCGACTTGTCCCAGATTTGCATCGACCTTTGAAATCTTGCTGGTGCAGCTTCCAGGATTCCAATGGCTCCCCAAAAGTCGAAAATCTACGCGGTGTCCATTGATAAGGATTTATCATTGCGAAAGGAAGTATGTCCAATATATATATATATAATGATATAATGTGGTAAAGCCAATAGTCAATCATCCCCACTTCACCCGATGGGTGGTACAATCCCTCCAAAATTCGGGATCTATGATATCTATGGTCTTAGGTGAATCCAACATTAATAATATCAATATACATGGATCATCCCATCAATCAAAGAAACTTGATCTGGTTGGTGGTTTGGAACATTTGAATTATGTTTTCCATATATTAGTAATGTCATCATCCCAACTGACTGTCATATATTTTTCAGAGGGGTAGGTCAACCACCAACCAGTGATGAATCCCAAAATCCCAAGTAACTTGACCACCGTGAACGCTGTGAACATCCGTCCCGGAACTTGGCCCGAGAACTCAGGTGGAACGAGCCACCTTGGTGGCATGGAAGGACCTCTGAAAAATGATGCCGATGAAACATGAAGGGATTGGCCAACAAACATCTCAGATCCAACCAACCAATGGCTGTTGTTGTTTTTTTCTGTGAAAATGCTGATAACTTGAGGTTTCGCCAGATGCAGATAAACCCATTTTTTTTGATCGAACTGGACTCCTGGATCCTCAAATTACCAATGTTTTGATGGCTAAGAGTAGCAAGATATGCCATCCTGGTTTTGATGGCTAAGTTATGTTGGTGGCTTGGAACATAATATAAGTCATCCTTCCCATTGGTTTTCATATTTTTCAAGATGGTTATTGCACCACCAACCAGTATGGTTAAAGTGCAGTACTGCATCAAGTCTTGTAATCAAAACGCATGAATTCTGCAGGACCGAGTATGGAAAACTTTGTGCACTGTCAATATATAAAGACAGTTAACATGTATTTGAATACCGAGTATAATGATACCTAATAGGGATATTATAGGCTGTCAAATGTTGTGCAAACCACCAACGTTTATATTGGTTGCAAACACTGTCCAAGAACCAGGGTTTGAGAGTTGGACTGCCCTCACTAGGATGATCATGTTTGATCATGCTGGAAGCCTATCCACATCGCAGGTTTCTGCTTTCTATGAAAACATGCAGGGAAGATCCATCTTTTGAGAGTAACATCCATGGTGGTGAAGATGTTCTGGTAAATCAATCCATCGAATATCACATATATATACATATAGTATGTATATATATATATATATATGATCCACCTATACATATCATAATTGGTTGTAAGTTATATACAAGTCCATATATACATATCAATCCATGGTCCATCTATACATATCATAATTGGTTATAGGTATTATAAGTACATATAAGTATATAATATAAGTTATATCCTCAATTTCGATGGTTCAATCAGGTTTAATCCCTTGAAATGTGTTGCTCAAAAAAAAACACAAAAACCAGGAGCGGGTCGATGCCGCGGAGGGTTCACCGCATCCAGGCGGTTGGATAGCAGTCCAATTTCACTCTGGTTTATGGTAGATATGGAGGTTTCCTAAGTCATAGGGGTACCCCCGTTCATCATCCATTTTAGAGATGGATTTTCGAAATCAACCATCCAGCGATAAAGGGGTACCCCCATGACTATGGAAACCTCCATATATCGAACTACAATGGTTTATAAACCAACGTTCACATAACTGGGCACCACCTTGTGGAGATGGATGTTGGGATGGATCAAAAACCAATGGAAATTATATATATGAAATTACCATATGTCAGACATAGCATATTACTGTAGGCTATGACTTATGGTACCTGACCCATAGCCATGTCCCAGAATGGTCATTTCAGTGATTTTAGATGATTTAGTGAGCAGATGATGATGAAATGATGAAACATCAAAATTGATTTGATGTGCGCTTACCCCCAAAATGATCGTGAACAAGTAGAGAGGGAGGTGTGATGATCAGCCATGAAATTTGAGGGAATTTGTGGGGTAGCCTATCTTTAGACCCATGTGAACACCGAATCTGTAGTCAAAAGCCAGAGTATATGACCTGAAGAAAGGGTAGTAGACTAGTAGTAGATGAAGTTTCCTCCGCGGTGCACTTTTCCTTGGTGGATGTTCACCCTGGCAGGGCTTTGACCCACTTGCACGTAAGACATCAGAAAATGATTCGTTTGGGGGACCCTTGAACGGAACTTTAGAGAACCCGCTTGTGAAATTGGGATCATACTGTTTAATAGGTCTTGTTAACAAACCCATTTATAATTTGAATACCCATCCGCCAACCATTACAAAAGGATGGGATAGGGGTCGTTTTTCATGCTTCATTTTGTAGTTGGGGAGGAAACATGAGTACTGCCCGCAGGTAATTCGATTGCCATGCAGAAGAAGCTTCCCGGACCCATGCAGAAGCTTGATTTCTATGGATCCAACTAGCACACAATCCCTTCGATCACATCCCCCAAAAAAATGTTTGCAGGTTTCAAATCTGTTTTCTGAGGGTTTTAACATGTTTGAACCATGTTTTGAATCAATTCATGATGATCCTACTTTATTTCCACATGTTTTCCATATGGGACCCATGGATTTTTCACATTTTGGGACCCCAAAGTGGCGCTCCAAAGTGGCTCCGCAAGGCTGCATCCCCGATGTCTGGAATCTTAGCGGAGGATTCCACCGGTTTGGGACAGACATGGACAGATACACTGTCTTTCTCTGTTTGTGTTTTTGTTCCAGCTTTTGCCCCTTGTGTTCCTTATCTTTTTCGGTGTGTTGCCAACATGGCTCTTGTTCTTATTCCTGCCTTGTGTTCTGTGTTTGCTATTTTCGGTGTGTTCCTTCTGATTCTTGTTCTTATTATTGTTGTCACTGTTGTTCTTCTTGTTGTTTTTGTTGCTCTACTTCTTCTTCTTCTTCTTTCTAGTTGCTGATGGCCGTGTTTCGTTCCCATCTCCAGTCTTTATGGGTCACGTGTGCCATTGTGAGAGGGATGGGACTGGGGTGATAGGACCCGAAAAAACTACAGCGATGTTTCATCAGGTATGTGGCTCCGTTTGACGATGAGGTACCTCACAATCCCACGGTTGCTAACATAAATTGGTGAAACAATGTTCAGACAAACTTAAAAATATTAAGGTATGAAAACTAAAGCACCTTGTGCATCATAAAGCACCATGTGTATCATCATTGTACCCCTACGTTTGTAGCTTAAAGCCTTTTTTTTTGACACCACGTGATGGAGTTTATCCCCTTTCCTGCTTATATCAAGTTAAATCCATCATTTTCCTGGTGAAAGCCTGAGTGTTAAATCCCCAATGTTTGATGATAAAGCCCACGTTTGTTTGATGGTAAAAGCCATGAATTTGACCTGCTTCTGATCTCTGAGGCCTTGAGGAGCCCCAGCCCCAGGCGAGAAGGGTGAAGGGTTAGGGTGGGCCCCAGGAGCTAACTTGGAACTACTTGGATAGTTTGCTGAACTCGGGAAAAAAAGGGGGATATAGTATGTATATACTATACTAAATAGTATTTACATATATATATATATATAACTTAGTGATATAACATATCGGGAATATATATATATATATATACTTCTGTATAAACCAATTAGTAGGGTGAAACCAATGCAATTGAGATATAGCTGGTGGGCCCCTATATTTTGTAGGGATTTAACGTGATTTAACCATGAAAAAAAACATGAAAGTTGTGAAAGCCATGGAAAATGTGTAGAGGTGACCCTATCTTGGCAATTACCGCAGAGCGCACATGTCCAGTTCAGGAATGAGTGCAGCCCAGCGTGGGTCCTGAAATTCTAAACGACCTACTCAAAGCATCAGGAACATCAGGTAATATAGGGAGGTTTATAGCTGGCCCCGCAGTTATCAATTGGTGCGTAATCCCGTCCAAGTATAGACGTAACCACTATAACTAGTCAGCCTAGTTAGGAACCAAATTAGGGTACCACCCTTTTTTTGTTGTTCCCGAGACTCCCATTATATAATTATATCCCAAAATTTATTAGGGATGATCTATCTATAATTTCCATTCAATCAGATTAAATCACCATTTTTTCAATGGCCATTTCAGGAACCTAAATTGGAGGTACCTACCATATATAAGGCCTATACAAGGCCTATGTAAGGGAATATCCCCACAAAATATGGCCTACAATATGGTACGTTTGCGTACCTCCATTTTAGGATCCTGGAATTCCCATTGATTTTTTCATGGTGAAATCACCTTTTTTATTCTTGAACTTCCCCCATCAGGGCCCCACGGCCCCATCGTTTCATCAGTCACCTGATCCCCTGAAGGCCGATGATTTCGCCGGTGGAACGCTTTTCGTGACGCCCAGCATGGTTCCTGAAACGCAAATCCGAAAAGCCAAGAAAAGTGTGGATATATGTTTTGTATTATGTTATGCATCATATATATATATGTATGAGATGCTATATTAAGATGATAGAATGATATTAGATATATTGTGAATAAATCGTTTATACCCAATTTAGGTGCTATAAAGACTAATACAGGATTATATATATATACATAAGATTACGGATTACTCTCTTGTAAATTAACATAGACCCTGAAAATGACCAATCTTTAGCGGAAACTAGTTTTTCAGCCCCGATTTCTGCCAGGGTGTCTATGTTAATTTACTGGGTGGTAATCATACACACAAATATTATCCCATTAATATAGCTATTATATTCCATTAATGGGTACTAAAAATTGGTACTTAACATTATATTAGATTAATATTAAGTGCTAAATGAATCAAGTGCTGTATCAGTGATCGCCAGGCCCGGGCCTTTGGACTCCCCTAACCGGCGTCAACGCGTCCGCACGCGTCCGTGCGGCTCCTTAGGTCATACACTTTGGATGGAAAATGCGTTCTGTCTTCCAGAGTGATCACATATCATATTATATTTACATCTGTATATATGATACTGGTTGGTGGTTTGGAAGTTTTTTTGTTTTTCCATTCAGTTGGGAATAATCATCCCAACTGACTAATATTTTTGTTAAGAGGGGTTGAAACCACTAACCAGGATATATTATTATGTCCCAGCCTTTCTTTGGATTATCGAATTTCTATGTCCTTCACAATTGTCACATTGTCCCGTTGTACTAAACGATATGTCCTTGAGCTATGTTCAATTTCCAGCGAGTAAACTCGGAAGGGGAAACCAATTGAGGCACAAGCAAATCGAGCATGGCAATGGGCAATCCATATACGTATATTTCATATATGTATCATATATATATATGTATATAAATATCACGGGAACACCATTAATACATGGGATTTATCTTTGCCATGCTTTATAAGCCCATCTAAGTATTTACATATATAGCTAGCATAAACCGAATCGAAAGCCGGGCCTAGTCATAGACCACCTTAGCTGTCATAAATACTAAACATATAGCTGTCATAATCGAAAACCTAGCTGTATATCACAAATGATTAGCTATATGTGAGAACTACACGGATAAATGATATATACCTAGCTATACAATATTTACAATATATATATATACCATCTGGTTATTTAACATAGCCATGGAAAATCACCATTTATAATAGGTAAACCATCTATTTCTATGGGCCATCTATTTCCTATGGCTATGTTAGTCATAACCAGAGGGTATCTCCTCAATGTTGGAATTCACAGATCAATGATATATACCTAGCTATACTATATACACAATATATATAGTTATATGTATATATATATAGATCATAAACGGATGACCCATCCCACAAACAAACGGTGCTGAAGTCAGAGTTGCAGGTTTGAGATCTCCAGCCGTCCCAATGCAGCTCGCCTCTCCCTGCGACCCTGGAGACACGGAGGACCCGCGGCTTCATCAGTTGCCATGCTCAATAGTGCTTAATGATGATATATGATGATTAATAATGATGATAAATGATGCTTAGTGATTATCAATCCGGAGGTAATAGTGGTTGATAGTTAATATGTTTGTTTTTTTAATGATTGTTGATAGGTATTAAGAGGGGTTCATCATGCTTAATAGCGGATATGCATGATGTTAATAATGTATATTCATGATATAACAACTACCCTCTCGTAAACTAACAGTTTGCTATAGAAAATGGACCATTTAGTTGTTTGATTTACCTATTACACTTTTAGTGATTTTCCAGTTAGCCATGTTAGTCTACTAGAGTCTAGATTTACTAAGTCGGGGACTTTACACCAATCCTATTGTTGTTCACTATTTAGAGGAATCCACTGGGATTATCTTTGTGTTTTTTGTTGTGGCTAGCAAAGCCAAGATGATGGGGATACCCCTTTTCAGGAATCATAAGTACTTACCACCAAATGCTTATGGGATATAATGGACATAGTTTAAGATGTGTATATATACATAATTATCTTACTACATATACCCAACAATATGACAGTTGGGTTTAAAGCAAATAGGGCGTACCCTCAAAAGGCAATTGTTTGATTGGGAGAATGATGGCATCCTGATTTCATACGAACACCAACATGAAATTATGGCAAAAATGGGATAACATAAAAAAAAAAACTATATTATGTTAATGATTGTTGATGATGTAAGAAAATATGGTGATTAAGTTGATAATAAACCATTATATTAACATAAGAAATATGGTGATGGAACCTTATGATCATGTCTGAAATTGTGAGATAAGTATGAAAGTTCAAGCAGGCAATCTTCCCAGTTAAACAGGGTCCCGTTTTCGGGGATGATTCTTGGTTTAACCATGTTCGTCGGTTCATCTTCTCTGCTAGATTTGGTTTGCATGCAACCGATGTTGCAGATTATGTCATGATCTATGCATGTATATATGTACATATATATGTATATATATATATATATGATCACCCCCCCCATCAGGGCAAAGCCCAGGCGTTGCAGCGTAGAGGGTCCCCATTCCCAATCAAATGTTGTTGCAACTCTGCATTCCGTTGGGAAGATCAACAAAGGTATAAGGGAATATTCAAATCCCACCCCCGTTAGACTCCACATTCAGTTGGGAAGATCAATAAAGGTATTAGGTAATATTAAAATCCCACCCCTGTTAAACTTTACATTCAATTGGGAAGATCCACAAAGGTATTAGGTAATATTAAAATCCCACCCCTGATAAACTTTACATTCAATTGGGAAGATCAACCAAGGTACCAGGGAATATTAAAATCCCACCATCGTTAAACTTCCACATTCATTGAAAATCTTCGATAAGGGTTTAATTCTCCCACCCCCGTTAAACTGCTACATTCATTGAAGATCTTCAATAAGGGTTTAATTCTCCCACCCCCGTTAAACTGCTACATTCATTGAAGATCTTCAATAAGGGTTTAATTCTCCCACCCCCGTTAAACTGCTACATTCATTGAAGATCTTCAATAAGGGTTTAATTCTCCCACCCCCGTTAAACTGCGACATTCATTGAAGATCTTCAATAAGGGTTTAATTCTCCCACCCCCGTTAAACTGCTACATTCATTGAAGATCTTCAATAAGGGTTTAATTCTCCCACCCCCGTTAAACTTCTACATTCATTGAAGATCTTCAATAAGGGTTTTATGATGAAGATGATGATGGTGGTGATGACGGTGATGATGGTGATGATGATGATGATGATGATGATGATGATGCGTCGCCCGTCGTCATTGCGGGTCCGGGCAAAGCCCAGGCATTTGCCGTATATATATATATATATATATATAGATGATCACCACCCCCCATCAGGGCATATATATATATATACACATACAGACAAATAGTTTCACGTCAAAAACGTAAATGCTGCTGGCTGGTTCGATCTGCGGGTCTTTTTGGCCCGGCCGCAGGTGCAGATACCTTGGAGTCCTTCGATGAGGTCAGGGAAGGTGGTGTATCGTCCCACGAGGTGAGTATAACTTGAAATATGGAGAATAACCAAATCATTATGATAATGAATAGCATACTCATATTATACTGTACATATATGTATATAAAATAAGTATATATATTATATATATATATATCAAATATTTATCTAACTATACTGTACTTATATTTTTATATCAAATAATTATCTAACTATACTTTACTAATATTAGATAACCAGATCATTATAATAGTGGATAACTAATCAAAATATTAGTTTTGAAAGTATGGTTATCTATTCCTAATATTTGAAATAATTGATAACCATATAATAACTAATCAAAATACCAATCTCCTATCGTACCAATCTCCCATACCATATTCAAGAATCCCATCATGAACAAAATACCTTGGTTGATTGGTTATGATATATGAATTACTCTCACGTAAACTACCATCGCTGTATGGTTGATTTACCTATTGAACGTGGTGATCTTCCATAGTTATGTTAGTTTACCAGAGGGTATAGGGATAAAACTACCTGGGTTATTGGGGATTATGAACTAACCCGTAGTAGGGAAACCTATGAACCAAGTAGTATTTCATGAGATGGGAAAGGGATATTTCAAATGGTTCACAGTATATAATGCTTACATCCATCTGGATAAATTATACTGACCTCGGGACCACACTGCAATGATGATTAATAAGGCCGAACTATTCATGTTAGTGAATTATGTTGATTTATCCAGATCCATGATAATGGTTTGATAAGACATGATCAAACTTGGATTGTGATGGTGATGGTGATGGTGATGCTGCTGATGATGATGATGATGATGTTGATGATGATGATGATGACTTTCAGGAGGGCTGGAACTTGCAATCACCAGAATTCAGTCAAGCAGGGCAAGAGGTTTCGCATCTTCAATGGGGCCGATTGGGCACGGTTGGCTGAAACACCATCTGATCACATCTGTTTAGTGCTTTATCTCCTCACAAAGTGGGTCCCCAAGCTATAATTTGGTCGATAAATCCAGTCAACATCATTCAACTGCAATGTGAGGCCCCCCAGTTATAAGTTGGTTTATAAGCCGCAGTAACTATAGTTGTAAATACCATAAACTGTAGTTATTGGACTTATGTGCACCCACTTAGCTATCGAACGGGGGCCTCACATTGTGTTGATTGATCCACAATAAATCCAGCATGGGAGTTCCAGGTGGTGGCCCAACATCGTCCCAACACCGCTCCGACCCAAGTACCTTGGATACAGAAAGGACCGGTCTCATGTGACAAGGATTGCCAGTTACCCTAGGGTAAACATACAATTTAGACTATGTAGATGTGGAAAACCCATGGAAAAACCATGAGTTTCAATGGTTTCCCTCGGAAAATGATGTAGAAAAACTGTTTGTGTTCCAGATCTTTGTTAGTGTACTGGAAAGAGCAGCTAGGATCATGGGTTGATATGGAAGATTTAACCAAGAAAAGTGATCGTACTTCATCAACAATTATCGGTGATCAATCTACCTTCGGGTGCGGGATCCAAGCTTCGTAAGTTTAGAACCCACGTTAACTTTAGCATATCCCACATAAGGGTTTTACTATGTTTTACTATCCTGATTTCCCACTTACTATCCGTGATGCACATCCAAGTTCAAGTCGTGTTGTACGTTAAAACAAAAACATTGGATTCCTTTAACAACGGTTCAAAGTAGCGATATTATGTATTCTAATCAGTAAGAATCACAGCAGACAAATTTGAACACCTGGGATATGGGGGGAATGTGGCCAATTGCAAGTCAGACGTAGTGTAGGAATGGGATACCAGTTACATTACTGTACTGGCCAGTAACTACTGTACGAATAGTATAGTAATGGTATAGGTCTGACATTACTGGCCAAATATCTGTCCGTCCAGTCAGGCCAGTCATTACTGTACTGAGTTTGCCTATTGAATGGGATAAGATGGATAAGCAACATATTCTCTGGGATACCAATACCTCATTTGGATCCAGGGTGAAGACAAATCTTCAGGCAATATTTGAGTGGAACCTGAATCGTTGCATCCCAATCATCCAATCCGTTCAGGATAATATGTGGGATCCGTATTTGTTCCCATTGAATCCCATTACAGAGATCTCCATGTTGGGTGATTATTCCACTACGTTTGGATCCCCTTTTTATAAACCATTACATCTTCCACCCCGACATTGTGGTCAAGCATGGATTATTTAGCCATGAATTGGGGCACGGTATTCCCATGTTGTTTTGATTCCCATTGTGGGATGGCCCCCATGAATCCCATTCTTTGCTCATGGCCATAAAAATGGCAATTAAAAAATGGGAATCCCTAGTATGTCCCAAGCTTACAATATATCTATCATGTTCTATCCAATACAATTGACTTCTAGGACACAAGGTATAGATATGGTATAGAGATATTATAGATATGGTATAGATATGGTATAGATATGGTATAGATATGGTATAGATATGGTATAGATATGGTATAGATATGGTATAGATATGGTATAGATATGGTATAGATCTATTGCCTACCTTTTACACCAATCATGAACTGCCTTATATTATATTCCCATTGTTTGTTAGTTCCATTGCAAAGTATTTTTATTTGCTACGCACTTAAATTGATAAATTATTGGTAGATTATTTCCATTGTACCCAGCTGTATATGAATCGTTTGATCTATTTTTTATATAATAGAATAGTGTATCTATCATATCTATTGTATGCATGTATATAGTATAGTTGCTATTATTATCATTAGTGTTATTTTTTACTATCAACCTGTATATATATATATATATACACATCATAAAAGAAAGTGTCAAATCCACAACATCCCCATCCATCCCATGTAACGAATCCTCATGGCACCGCGAACGATCTCTCCAGGTCACGAAGTCCGCGAAAATGCGCAGCGTGGAACAATGGTCCGGGCCACCAGTGGGGGCCAGCAACAAGGGCGAGCGCAGCAACGCCTGCGCCTGGTGGGGATGTGTTCTGCCTATGGATACTCTCTGGTACCCTCTGGTAAACTAACGGTTTGCTATTGAACATGGCCCATAGAAATAGTGGATTTACCCATGAAAAATGGTAATTACTGTATCCATGGCTACGTTAATTTACCGGAGGGTAAATTAAACATAGACCCTGGCAACTAATTTTCCAAGCCATATCTGGCAGGGTCTTTGTGAATTTTTTGGAGGGTAATTCACCACTCAACCATACGAGATGAATGCTAACATCTTGTAAGTAAACCCTCAAAAGCAAGGATTCAATAACCAATGAATGATGGATACAATAGGTGTGTCTGAATTGATGAAGTTACCCCTCGGAGTTATGGCATTTGTTGATTAGGAACATGATGATTGAACATGGTATGGAATGGGGCATACAAGTTTCAAACAAAGCCGCCAATTTCATGTGTGTTTTTCGGATATGCACGGGATACAACCAACTGCACGGGATGATATCAGATGATGGCAAGCCAGCTGTTTACCACCGGCAAGTGGCCATCCGAAACAGCGGTAGATGTTCAAACAAACAGCCATGATTTTCCCAACCATGAATGTCCTTTTCCCATTGGTTGGTTGATTAATAGAGGGGTTTGAAACCCCGTTTAACAGGTAAATGATGATAGATGGGATTAACCAGCTCCCGGCCCCTCTATTTTTACCAAAAGGACATTACTGTTCCCAACATCAGTCAGTTTGCTTGCTTCTTAGTAGAACCGCCAGCCAGTTTCCGGATGTTTTTTTGGATTGCCAGCAGTTGGGTCAAGCATGCGTTGAATTGGAACAAACGGAACTTGGTGTGAATGCCTACAAACGTTTTTTTTGCACGTGTCTCAAGTCCTGTTTTTCTTAACTGTTTCTTTTTTGGCTGATTACTACATATTCCTACTACCAGTATTACATATATATATATATATAAATATATATATATATATTACATAGAAAAGCATCTCGCGCGATCTCACGTCTCATATTTTACAACTCATGCCACGTGAGGCTCAAGGTGCTCATGCCGGTGGAAAAGGACAGGATCTGGAGGATTTGACGAAAATGGAGGTGTCCTACAATTTGGACCCCAATAGAGCTGGATGGCTAGTGGAAAATCCATCTAAAAATGGATGATAAGTGGGGGGAATAGAATGGTTTATGATTATATATATATATGTATACATATAATGCATGGGGATTCTTAAGTGAAATTATCACGACCTCACATAACTAACGCGACGCAAGTGGGCGGAATGGTGGTTGGGGCTATCCCAAGCTGACCGAGCTGATTTCAGGTTTTCGAATTATCCCTATTCATTGCAATGTATTCAGATAGGTAATAACCGATGGCATACAATACTGGTTGGTGGTTTGGAACGTGAATGGATTATTTATCCATATATATATATATTCTTCAGAGGGGTTGAAACCACCCACCAGAATATGAAGTGATGCAAGCATAATGACAATAGCAATCGCAATGAAAATACAGCAAGAAAATAATGATCATTGAATTGGTTTAAGGGAAAATTGAAACTGGAAACCTCCATATTTCATAGGGAAAATCCATGGTTTCCGGTTAAGATGTTCCCATTAACCCAATCATATCAATCAGCTATAAATCACATTGAATTCTAATGTTTTCTCTAGTTAAACAGGGGTTGGTGAATCTCCTAATTGAAGATCACAAAATATTGGGGATATTTCATCTCCAACAGATACTTGAAAGTGATGTGAAACAAATCCCCAAGCCATGGGACATTTACCAAAAACTCTCTATAAAGTCTCATCAAAATCAGTTGTCGCCCATGAAAATCACTGTTCATCATCATTTCATCATTCATCAGCATTAATTACCGGTAATTTAACATAGCTATTGAAAATGACCATAGAAATAGTTGATTAGTTGATTTCCCCAGTAAAAATAGTTATTTTCCACAGTTATGTTAGTTTACCAGAGGCTAAATGACAATTTTCCCATGATTTTCCCATTTCCCATTGCTGATGGACACCGGCTGTGTCCCGAATCCCAGGACGGCGTCTCGGATGAAGCCGAGGTGGCCGGTTGAAATTCGTGGCCGTTGAGCCGGAAAAATGGTGGTTGAAGCAACGAAACAAAGGGATATAATTTGGCAGTAATATTATTGTATTGGGGATGAGACCTCGCTGTACAGGATGGCTCAACAGAAATCTTAGGATGAGGATCATTATGGAATCTTCATAGGGTGAATGGAGATACAGTTATGGCCATTTTTCAGTTATAAGTACTAAGAAAACCCCATTTATAGAATGTTTCTCATCCCATAGACATGACTAGTTATAACTGGTAAATGGCCATAACTGTATTGTATTGGGGATGAGTATCTAACAATATCTAACTGTTTATAGGTTATTATAAGTATATATCCATTATATTTAACTTATTTAACCATATTTTCATATAATAATTGATATTTAATGCGTACCCAACAATATTTACAAATATCTAATCATTGTATTTGGGATGAGTATCTAAATATATATATATATGATTATTGTATTTGGGATGAATATCTAACAATATCTAACATATTTACACATATCTACACTTTGTATTTTTTCTTATTTTTTGTTCAAAACTTGGGGGACGCTGGGTGATGTCAATGATGAAAAAAAACAGCCACTCTCGCGAGCTGGGCCGCTGGCCTTGCCGGACCAGAAAATATGCTGGATCAACTCTCAGATAGAATGTCAGAATATATGTTGGGTAGAATGCCAGAATATGTATATAATACATATATATATGTGTGTGTGTGTGTCAGATAGAGGGTTGGATACAGTGCCAGAATGCCAATGAATACGCCAGATAGAATGTCAAAATATGAATCATTTAGAATGTCGGTTGCTGGGGATCACTCGAAGAATGTATTTTCTGTTGACGAACCAGCTAAGGTGGTGAAGTATGGCGCATTAGATTTATCACTAAGACCTGGGTAGATATCTCTAATATGAAGCAGAAGAAGGCAGGACCGACGTGTCAACCAGGCAAGAAAGTTGAACTATAGACATTTAGCCTTCAGATAGTCAATTTTAACCCCACCTGGATGTAGATCTGGATTTTCCATAGACAGCCAGGTTTCACTGGTCAACCCATCCATGTCTCACAACTATTTATGCCCGTATGCTGATCGCATCTGGTTTTCAGCCTTTTTCACCAACTACTCCACATTAATTATGGTCTATACACCAACTGTTCGATTGAATGTGTATATGCAGTGTATATATGTGCACAGAATATGTAAATGTAGCATATATAATCAGATATATCCTCTGGTTATTTAACATAGCCATGGAAAATGGCCCGTTTCTAGATGATTTATAATGATTTAAATTTACCAATTGAAAATGGTGATTTCCCGGTTCGCTATGTTAAATAACCAGAGGGTACATACATTTGGTTGTTCTTGCCTTCATCCTTTGGTCTCAACATTCACCGTTGTTGCAGGCACGTCAGAACGAGAGTCGCAGCACGGCACGACACAGCGAAGCAAAAAATCAGATCGAAAGAGTTGCGCTGGATGTGAAGCAGGGCATGCCACAAACGACAATGTCATGGGGATTTAGTCGAAAACTGTGGTGATCTAAGCCCGGAAATATTTGGAAAAAGCTGGAATTTCACCCAAAAAACTATGGGGATTTAAGCCCAGAAATATGGAACCATGTCATGACAATTTAGATGATTTAAGTATCTAAGAATTGCAGGAGTTTAACCAAGAGATAAATGGATTGTAGTAACAAATGCGGGGGAATATCGGGTCAACCCACATGGGGAAACCAAGACCTAAGGCAGGCGAATCCTTCCAACTTCACAACCTCACCAAGATAAGCTGTTTATAGAGGGTGTTATAGCTGGTTGGTGGTTTGGAACATGTTTTCCTCTTTCCATATATATTGGGAATATTCATCCCAACTGACTAATATTGTTCAGAGGGGTAGGTCAACCACCAACCAGAGGGTGTTATCTCTTCAACATGACGATTTTTCAGGTTTTAGCTTTGTGAACTTGTCATGGAAACCCTGATGATCCCAGATCGATCTGCATCACTGTGATTTTGTTTAAGGTCCACCGTAGATGTAAAACTGCTACGTAGCACATATTCTACCAATATATGAAGTATCCCATATGTGTACGTATATATATATACATATATATATATTTAGAGCCATGTATTGCCTGTATTTATAAACATATTTATATATATATACACATATTTTGCAATAAGTATCTATATTATACACTTTACATACATAATTACAAGTTTGTTTGTGTATATGCCCTTCATATCTATGTGTAGATGTACCACGCAGGCCACTCACGGAGCAGCTTCGACGCTGGTGTGCACGCCTGGCCCTACGGGAGGAGGTGCGGTCTGCCGTAGTTTCTCAGAAAGTATATATACATACTACTGTATAATGCGATAATATATATCATAGCAATACTGGGACTTGATAGGGATTTAATGGAATTTAATTAAATTGAATTGGATATATATATATGGGTATTTTTTTTAACGACCTCGCTGCCACCTCACTGAAATCATGTTTGGGATTGGGGGAAGATCTTATTTGCCCATATATATATATATGTATATATATACATATATAGTGCTCCAAATACCTTCTCACATGGTATTTGGAGCACTAGGGTATATACATATACAGTAACATAAGTATTCACACAGGGATGGTTTAGACCATCATTTATAGACTTGTTCGATGGTTTGATGAGGACGGAACGACGAAAACATCGTTGGACGTGCCTTTTGAGGCATCGTTTTTGTGGTTGATAACTCCCATAATACCTGCTATACAACTGATATGTGGGGTGTTTTGGTGTTTTCAAATATGGAGGTATATGGAGGTATATGGAGGTATAACTGTTTAGTGATGGTCGGTTGATGTTTGTATGGGCTTCTACTAGCCAATACATGGGGAATGATCATTATCCATAACCTGGGATGGTATCCAGTAAACAAACCTGGGAATGAAACATCACTGGTTGGTGGTTTCAAACATTTGTTATGTTCTATATTGTTCCATAATATATGGGATAATAATCCCAACTGACTTTCATATTTTTCAAGATGGTTAAAACCACCAACCAGATCAACATTTTTGGGAGGCACTGGTTGAACCATTTTCCCCAGGCCCAACGGCCGCAGGTGTGGTTGGAGTTCACACTGGGCTCGCTGAGGGCCGAGTGCTTGCTGCTGGCCGACACGATGCTGGTGCGCATGGTGTTGGGCCGTTGGATTTTTTGGGGAAGGTGACTGGTTGATACCAAAAGTCAATGTAGCGGAGTTACCCTCTGGTAAACGTTTACATAACTATGGAAAGACTCACCATTTTTAATGGGTAAATTCACTTTTTCTATGGCCATTTTCAATAGCTTTTTGTACGGGAAAGTCCTTCAAGATACCCTTGTTGGTTATAGCGGGTTGCTAAACCACTTGAGGATGATGAAATACTATTCATAGTGGGTTCGCAACCCGCTATAACCAACCAACAAGGGTATCTTGAAGGACTTTCCTTGTTGGTTGGTTATCGCCATGAAATACCAGTCTAATGAGTCTTCAGATAAGTTTTTATGGCTCAGGTATATTTAAGAAACACGTCTGATACCTTTGGGTGCCCACCAGTGGTGTCCTGTGAATGTCGTTTACAAAGACTTGATAATGTTCCCCTAATAACCTGTCCCACTGGGTTCCCCAAAGTTTCAATATCTGTTATTTGTTTTCAAGGATGTCTCAAGATGGGGATACTCCAAAATATCCGTTTCAACTTCGGAAAATTCTGATGACGCATCAACTTTTGGGTGATAGACCCAATTTGTTCCCTTCAACTTGCTGCGTGTTTTTCCCAGAGGACAAACATCATCCCAGAAAAAAGTGCGGTGATATGTTCCCCAATGACCCAGGCAAATGGGCCTATATAGCTTTATTGTTTTCCACAAACATAAGGATCATAAGGCGCAGGTAGAAAGTGGAAACTATCTACATGATTGATTATGATAATGATTGCATTCCTGTGGTTATTTTTGGTCACTATGATTGGAATTCAATTTTGTTTATAGGAACCACTATTATACATATCTGGTTGGTGGTTTCGAACATTTTTTATTTTCCATATATTGGGAATAGTAACCCCAACTGACGAACTCATATTTTTCAGAGGGGTAGGTCAACCACCAACCAGATATGATGGGTACATATGGTTCTATGCCACTTAGTAGGAACCTGCCCCTTTGGTCGGCCCCGGCAGACCATGCATGCTGGCCTGGTGGCCGTGGTTGTGGCGCGGCTGGGTTAGTCGGAAAGAATGGCTAGGGCTAGGTGAGGATTTTGACTTCGATATGGGTGAAAAATTACCCTCTGGTAAACTAACATAGCTATTGCAAATTGCCATTTATAGTTGATTTTAACCATCAAAAATGGTGATTTTCCATAGTTATGTTTGTTACCAGAGGGTAAGATGTGGGGCAACACAGACTTTAGTCTTTAGTCCATTATTCCTTTAAACCATCCAATGATTGGGGTGCTGGATTTTGACCCATGCCCATATGGGGATTTTAATCAACAAGACTGGCTCGTGGATCTTGGTGGTGTCATAGATTTTTTTTTGTGTTTCTGTTTGTTTTTTTAGTTATCCATGTCTCAATAGCAGATCTTGCGTATAACTGGTGATTTGTGTTACTATGTTTTGTCAGCAAAATCGATTCATGTTTTGCTTGCATGCTTCACTAAGGAATTTGCGATTTAACCATGATAACATGGAGGAAGACACAAATCCGTCCTATGAGGGAAGAGAATCTGATTTTGACCCAGCTTTTGTGTTTCAAAGATGGTGGACATATCCTGAAATACCATAAGACTATAGGAATATGATGGGATATCTATTGTTGGGTTTCTACCAAAATATTGTTCGTTCTATGTAGAAATACCACGAAATAGCCAGCTTTGATTGTTAGGTTTACTATCTTTGGACCTGGGACGGCATGAACCCTGGAAACTTGGAACCCACTGGAACCCTTGTTTCTGTTAGGTTGCAGAACTGGGTGATCATAATATGGCTGTAATAGCCTGTTGGGCAACATGATGTTCTGAACCGCTGGATTTCAGGCTTCCAAAGTTCACGAACACTCTTGAGCATCTAGTTGACTCCTGGGATATGCCTGGGGCTTAAACAACATCAAGAAAGGGCTTTAAGAACAAAAAGGTGGGATGTAATCCAGAAGTTATATGCTTCCCTGTGAATCCCACGTACCTTCTGAGAGAGTGTTTTGGGTATGATTTCGAGGCAAAATGCTGGGTTTAGCTGGACCTTCTCACAGGAACACTGAACATAATATCTGAAAACCATGATTCCAATCACATTGACACGGACATCATTGAAATAACCATGCGAAAAGAACACGTCAGGATCATCAGGCTTAGCTTCATACCGGTCACTCTGGTGGCTTTGTCCTGCAATGTGAGCCGCCAATTTTATGGATAAGATAAGATAATGGAAACAAATATGCGGTGTTCAACCTAATTTTGGACACACCCTTATAGTTCATGAATCAGTTTAATGTTATAAATCATGTGTTGGTTTGTGCCCCCATTATTGGCGTGGCGTAGCAGTGTTGAGTTGCCTATCACCCAATTTGGCCAGTCCTCACGGTAACAATATGATTTACGTATGGTATATGTACTAGCATTTGTTCAAAGAATGAATGTACATGTGGGTAGTTGCATATATCAAGCACATGGGTTGCAATGTGGAGGCTGCAAGATATGTTTTTGTGGGATTGTAAATAACTACAAATCTTGGTTTTTATGGGGCATCTGTCTACATTTGAATGGGTGAACATCAAACCACATCCAAAACTGGTGGAGTCCACATTGTATCATTTGTTAACATTATCACATTCTTGTGGCTTCAAAACTATGCACCAATGTTTTCCCATAGTTTGATGTGTATGCCACATAGGATCCCTGGTTTGTGGTACATGGCCTTAACCCATATATCATATCATATATATATATATAAGTATATTAACTATATTATATATATATTAAATATATATGTATATGTATATGTATTATATATCATATATATATCATTTATATACAGATATATTTGATATAATTTATATATATCACATATATATATAGATATATCATATTTATATATATCATATATATATATAAAAATATGATATATATATATATATATCATATATATATATATGATATGTATATATATATATATCATATATATATATATATATATATATCATAATGAGTGGTTAAAAATATGTGTATATATATATATAATCCGTTAATCAAACCCATCTTTAGTGGGGGGGGGTTCTATGGTCATTACCTACTTACTCTGGGTTCCAAGCCTCGGAGCGTAGCTCCACCGAGGGCTGGAACTACTTCGATCGTCTCTGGCCCTTGTGGGAGTGGGCCGTCCGGGCCATAGGATTTCAGGGCAAAGATGCCACCCTGCCACCTTTGTTTGATGGGTTTTAGATATATGGATGGGTCAAAACGGTTGAAAACGTAGATTTTTTGATATGGTTATGGGTCAAAACTGTTCAACTGTTCAATACTTGGAACCTATAAGCCTATAGGCGACATTAGATTTGGCCAGCTGAGAATTGCCGAGATATATCTACCCGGAGCAGGGACCACCTCTTCCCAAGGTTGGTCTCAAATGGGTCATTGACCCCCAAGTTGCCACATTCGTGCTATACCAGAAATTGAACAGTTTGCTATGTTGTAGATGGCCGGTAGAATCAGAAATAGATGATTTATCATGATTAATGATGTTGATTTTCCATAGCTATGTTAAATCACCAGAGGAGTATAGGTGTATATATATATATAACTATATGGGAACGGCGCTGAGAGGCGCCTGGTGGTTTTCAGGGAGGTTGCGTGCACTTCCCAATGTAACTGCGCATGCAGCCTCTATGTTTGATGTCGGGTGTGTAAATAGTCAAGCAACAAAAACATATCAGGAAGCAGATTGACCTATAGAGGCCTATGCAGTTTTGTGTTACGATTTGTGAATTTTGGCTTCTGGCATTGCGCGGTTCCCGAACCAGTTGGACAAATTCACAGCGTAACCAAGGCTTAAGACCATCAAACATAAGAAAACTTGAAACTCTAAGCACGGCACTGAGGTTGCCGCCTGTCACTATGTGCAATAGCTACAGTTGGTTTGTTGTTTCAACACGTTGCAGGCATTGTTCACATTGATTCCTATAAGTGCCATGCTGGTTTCCATTGAACAGCACTTGTTAAGTCGGGTTGCAACCACCAAGAAGAGAAATTAATTGAGATGATCAGTCGCAACATCAATCTTTGCCAACCTTGGCATCAATCCTTGGCAATGGTTTCTGCGGGTGCGGGCCACACAGTGCTTCTTAGAAGTGATGGCAGTGTCATTACCTGCGGACATTGTGATCATGAAACCAATTATTTTTGCACCGTTCCCAGCATCCCACCTTTAGAGGAAGGATTGCAGTACGTCCAGGTTTCCGCTGGCTTTCGTCACGTGGTGCTTCTCAGAAGTGATGGCTGTGCTGTGGCCTTTGGAATCAACGGAAATGGGCAACGCAACACTCCACGCTTGGGGGAAAAAGAGTCATACACACAGGTGTCAGCGGGCCAGTTTCACACAGTGCTTCTCCGAAGTGATGGCACTGCTGTGGCTTGCGGAAGCAATTCTGATGAAAAATGCAGCATCCCCCCGTTGCAGAAGGGTGTGTGGTACACTCAGGTTTCTGCAGGTGGAAGTCACACAGTGCTGATACGAAGTGATGGCTGTGCTGTGGCTTGTGGAAGAAATCATGAACAGCAATGCGACATCCCGTCATTGGATCCTGGACTCTTCTACACACAGGTCTCTGCGGGCAAGTCTCACACAGTGCTTCTCCGAATTGATGGCACTGCAGTGGCTTGTGGGGAAAATGATGATGGCCAATGCAACATTCCATCTTTGCCTGAAGGAATATCCTACACCCAAATTTCTGCAGGCAAGCATCATACAGTGCTTCTCTGCAGTGATGGCAGCGTCGTTGCTTGCGGAAATAATGCTGGTGGACAATGCAACATTCCACCTTTGGACAATGCTGGTGTATCATACCTGCAGGTTTCTGCAGGCCAAGACCATACAGTGCTTCTCCGAAGTGATGGCAAGGCTGTGGCGTGCGGAGAAAATGATTATGGACAATGCAACATTCCATCCTTGGCACCTGAAACTCGCTACAGTCCCGACACCGTCTCCCAAGGGACTGACCTGGTGTTGCAACTTGAAGCGAAATATCTCCCAGATGGTGTCCTTCTGCCACTTTGATTTGCTAAACATGTTAAAATTTGTTTATTAATCTCCTGCAAATTCACCATAAAAATTGGAATCTATTAGAATTTGATGGAATTTGTCCTGATTATGACCTGGATCTATCGTTTTCTCCAAGGACATGCTCGGGCTTGACTGGCGAAGAGCTGCTGCGCTTGAAAGTCCTACCATCCGACCCGGCCTGGGAGATGCACAAGCGCATCGCACGGGAGCTGCAGGTGATCCTTCAGAGCCTTCGCATCGTGTTACCCGACGGTCAGCTCCTGGCCGAGTTCTGCCGCACACATCCACAGGCCACCATCGCCACCATCGAAGAGTTGGTTCCACGCGAAGGTCACAAGCGCCGGCGGCTCAACTGACGAATCGGTGGATTGGAAAAGGATTGGTTCCGAGGATCTAGGTTTTGCTATGTACCTAGACCCTCATGAACATCCAAAAATGCTGGTTTACATCTGTTTACCGTGTTTACCACCAAGGTTTTCAATGTGTTTGTATGTTTTTGTTTGTTTTTGTTCCAAAAGTTTGGAGTAGAGGGTCAAAGTAGATGCCTGAGGATATACTCCCCGACAGTGGAGGATGAAAATTCACTTGGAAAAAAGGGCGCACGGAAAAGCGGGTCATCAGTTCTGGCGCAGATGATTCTATCCTGGAAGTCCAAATGATCTGCAGATCGTTACTGTAGTGGCTGGGTATCTCAACTATGAGGTTATAGACCAGTTACCAACAAACAATGTGTGTGGGCCCCACAAAAACTACCAAAACCCAACATCATTGGCATTTAAGAAGACTTTGTGATGACATGGCTTAGGCACGGATGCGCTTTTTGTTTTCACATTCGTACCTTGATGTGCTACACATGGTTTAACCCTGCACACTGACAATATTTGACAATAATATCTTTGATTTATTTCACAGAAATATACAGTATATATATAATGTATATTACATATATATAGAGTATATATTATATGTACAGTATATATTATTTATATATATACAGTACATTAATTAATGTGTGTATGACATATAGGAAGTCCCAAAAAAAAAGGTCGGCTTTGCCATTCCACTGACCTCACAGGAGATGACTCTCAGGGCACAAATGTATCACCAACATATATTGAGGATGACGCTTTTAAAGCCCTACAATGTACCCTCTGGTTATGTCAAAGTAGCTATTGAACATGGCCATAGAAACAGTTGATGTACCCATTTAAAAAAATGGTGATTTGCCATAGTTATGTTAATTTACAAGAGGGTAATGATGATATTCGAAGATTAGAATTACTTGAAGATATTATAATTATCCATTGGCATCATATGATATGTATATAGTGTTTATTTCTCTATATATATATATGATAATTGAGGATGATCAGAAAAATATCTATTCTGGGAAGTTATACTAAACACATTTGATATATTATATATATATATATATTATAAGTATCCATTCTGGGAATCTCATGATCAAAAGATCTCCATGTATCTCCATGTGAAGTCTGATTGTTTCCTCAGTTTTTTTTCCCGGAGCCCAGGATGTTGGCATCAATTTGGAGATGCATTATTTTAAGATTTATTTGACATTTGGATAAACCTGATTATATGTCTGGTTGCTGGTTTGGAACATTTTTTCATGTTTCCATATATTGGGAATAATACTCCCAACTGACTAATATGTTTCAGTCATAGAATTGGATGATGGGAAAATTTACAGGAAACCTTTATATTTAATGGTCAAAAACATGGTTTCCTGTAGATTTTCCCTTAAAATCCCTTAAACCAATCCATTGTTTCAGAGGAGTTGAAAACACCAACCAGATGTTCACTCTGAAAATATGTTTTCCCAGTGTTTTGATCATTGATCGGATTGTCGCCGAGCTCGGCCATCTATGACAGCCGGTAGATTTGCTCAACGGCGATGACAGCGCCATGTCTTCCTACCAAGATTCGCTGCAAAGATTGCAGATTTTCATCTTGCATCCCTAAATATCATCTGGTTGGTGGTTTGGAACATTTTTTTCTTTTCCATAAAAATTGGGAATATTCATCCCAACTGACTTTCACTCCATCATTTTTCAGAGGAGTAGGTCAACCACCAAGCAGTCATTATATCCCTTTTTTTCACCAGGCATTGCGTTCCTGCGTTCCTATTCCAAGATGGGGATGGGTCGTTTCCACAACAATCCACAACGTCCATATGTTGGTCATATGAGTATCAGCAGTATCCCACTATCCATGAAAAAAGTATCCATCATATATTCCCATTATATGAACAGTTACCCTCTGGTACATTATCAGTTCGACCCTGGCAGTCATCGGGCTTGGAAGACTAGTTTCCATTATTTTTTTTTTTGGTTTTCAGGGTCGAACTGTTAATTTACCAGGGGGTAACTGTTCATTATATCACCTGCATGTGTTGTCCAATGTTCCCAGAGTTCTTGCTGCTTATGGTCTGAATCAGCTCCCAATGTTTATCTCAACTTGGATCACATTGACTCAGTTCGAGCATCTATCTATTGGTCATACCTAGACCCTCCAAATACCCTGCAGAAATTGTCATTGTTTTTAAATACTCCACAAACATATGAGGTAAAACATCAATTTTTATGGATACACTCCCCCTCCGGGTCTAGGTATTGGTCTGTTCTCAGGTCTTCTGCGCCCGTCGCGGGGCGCAGAGGGTGCAGCTGGCCTCAGATGCCTTCTCGAAAAAAGCCCAGGCGGGGGTTGTCCAGGGAAAACGGGCCCGAAATGTGCCTTTTTTCATAGGGAAAAGATGGAAAAGATGGGAACACTGATGTTTAAAACCCATGGGGAAGGGGTTGGGGTAGCCAATTGTCAGAAAAAAAATCTTAAAGAAAGACACTTCAGTAGCAACATAAGCAACGGTGGGAAGAAATACAATCTAATTGGTGCGTATGTATGACGGAAGCAATGAGAATCAAGTGGGATTTATCTGCAAAGAGCAAGGGGGATTCCCCAAAATAGGATAACATACTCCATATGCTCCATGGTGCTGGAATATTTACCAACATTTACCCGAACAAAATCACCCAGTTTTGTAGGTAAATATACCAGCACCATGGTTCGCATATGGGAGACTAAAAAATAGGCAGTTTGTTATGAGAGCCGATGAAAAATGTTTCCGTACGTGGTGGATCGATGTGGATCTATAGTTGAGTCCCACCCCCAATTGGTCGTTGGAGAAGCCCTTGGGAATCCGTCAATCCCCTTTTCTTACTGTCGTTATAAATCAACAGAAGCAGATAAATCCAATAAGAATTCCCTTCTTTAAGAATTACATTACCATTTCTACTCGTAAAGTCCACAGTTTTATTGCATCGGATCAGATCTAATCATTGGCAACTAATAGTAAATACCCCTTTGAAATGATTGATTTCGTATTGGATCATATTGGATCTATGAAAAATTGAGGACCCCTTAGGGGTGGTATTTAATTATGAGACAGATGGGATTTTTGATTATGACACATGATTTAGCCTACTATTTTATGTAACCAGAATCGTCGTCAGGTTACCATAATGTATGAAATTCCACATGATTTTGTATTAACCTATACTATTTTATGATGATATTCCACATGATTTTGCATAATGGATGAATGTCAGGTGGAATATCATCGTGCCCTACGTCGCATCAGTGTAGTGAACGCGTCAGGGGCCCAGGGTGGGCCCGGTGAATGGAGCGGGCAGAGGTACGCGTCAGTGGTCGATCTTTTCTATGAAGATGCTATGAAAAATGGTGAGCTAGTTGAAGCTACAAATTGAGGTTCCCATCCATATATTTGGATAGAATTTATATAGTACATTATAGTACCTATCATCTCGTGAGATATGGAATATTGATGAATATTAGAATGATCTTTACGAGCCCAGATCTGAGCGCATCTTTCTTGCAGGTTATTACTAAAGATTGGGCATGTGACCAGAAATGGATGGGATTACAAGCATCCCCCGACTGTGACTTATGATGATTAATAACTCAACATAGATACTATAATAATTAGTGAAAAGAGTCACTATTCTCATTGATAACTCACCCTTAGTCATAATTCACCATTATTTTGACAACTCCGTCTATAGTGATTTATAGTGAGTTATACCGAATAATATGGATACCCACTGGTAACACTTATTAATTTAGTAGCTGGCTGCCCAGTCACAAGCTCCGACCATATCCGACCTCCAACACCCCCTGGCCCGAGACATCAACTTCACCGTACAGTAAGGCATTGTTTGTCTTTTCGCAATTCATAAGCAAAGGTCGAAAATGATAAGTTTGGGTGGCATTGGTATATCCAACATATAGCATATCATAGCATAGATATAGCTAGATATAAATAAATATAGATACATGTGGACATAGTTACAGAGATATATATATAATATAATCCCTTGCCCCTAATACTAACACCCCCCTATTAATAAACACCTCAGTCAGGTAGTTTTTATTATTAGGGTGGTATTTATTATTAGGGAACCCTATTTTTAAACCTTAATAATAAAATATAATAAAAATTAGTTTGTTCGATTTCAAAATCAATTAAATTTCCTTATATAACGCAATTAAAATATCGCAAAAAAAATGGATTTTGAAGCGGACCCTATTAATAAATTTAAAACCATATTAAAAAAATAAAAACTATTTTTTTCGATTTCAAGCTCAATTAAATTTCCTTATATAACGCAATCAAACTATTGCCAAAAAATGGATTTTGAAGCGGACCCTATTAATTAAAAGCCCTAATATAAATAACTAAAAAAAAATCGGACGGACCCTAATAATAAACACCCCGGGGTTGACCATTTTTTTTTTATTAGGGGGCGAAACACACAAATGGTAGCTTTATTTTTAACTTGCTTTCTAAAGGGGATCAATTAAAAAACAAATTGGCCAATCTTAAATTTTCCAATGGACCCTAGTTTTTAGTATTTGGGGGACTTTTAGTAATAGGGGGAAAGGATTATAATGATATATAGTGATATATATATAGATAGATAGATAAATACACAGATATAAATATGTATATATATATATTATAGATATGTGGACATAGACACAACATACGTTTTTTTGGGGGTTGGCCCAGGAGCTGCCGAGATTCCCGTGATCGTCCCATCCTCTTGGAGGTGGCCCGGGCTAACATAGCTGTTGAAAATTACCATTTTTCGTGGGAATGAGGGAATGATCCCCAGCAACTGGGGGGAAACCCTCACTGAATAGATCTCAATCCTTAAATCTGGAAATATTATGTCGGAGAACAGCAGCCCATCCCGTGCTAAACGTAGGGAATGAGGGAATGATCCACTGGCTATCAAGAATAATCCCAGCAACCCCCAGCAACCCATCCATTCCGTACGTAAAACGCACCAGTAGTTAGTTATCTTTAGTCCTTAAATCTGCGATATTGAGATCTAATATGATCTATTGACATGTTGGAGAACTGGTATGTTGAAATTGAAAAAATCTGTTTGATGGATATTGACAAACTAGCCAGTTGAAAAAACAAAACATGTTTTCAGCCATTTTCTGGACCTTGTCAGCAACATGGGCAGGAAATGACCTGTAGAAAATGTGGAGCTGAACCAAACAGAATGGTGATACAGTCTACCCAACAATGATGGGTACATAGAATGTTAAATGGTTGGCTGATGGGTTATGCTTTCTGTCCATGTTGATATGTTGGTGATATATATATATGTGTGTGTGTATCCATACATCATGCATCACAGTTACGTTTGCAATGTTTACGTCCAGGTTAACATTGTTTTTCTTCATTCCAGTTTACCATGTCCAAATTGGATGAACCGTCCACGGCGCTCAGTTTGCCACTGACTCTCTACAATCACCATGTCTTTATATGTCTTAATATCATCATGTGTGACTGCCAGTCAGGCTACAGTAAAATGCAGCGAGACCCCTACCTCATCCTGACATAAGTGTTCATCGTTTTTTGTTTGATTCTGGTTTCTTGACCAACTTTCACCACTTTCACCACTTTCACCTTCAGACGTACTAATATTTATTTCATTGTTTTTGTCTTACTGGTGCTTAGCAGAGAATTTTCGGGAATGATCCATTTCATCACTGTAAGAACCATCCCAGCAACCCCCAGCAACCCATCCATTCCCTACGTAAAACGCACCAGTAAGTTGTTTACATGTTTTCCCGGTGTTTTTCCTTCATCATTTTCATGGACTGTACGGGTCTCCCACTAGGGCGCCTTTCGTCCATCCCGAAGTTGTTCACCATCTACGCATCCCAAGAAGCGAATCCGCTGTGCAGATCCACCATTCAAAGACTTAAATATCAAGGAATGATATTGAAATGGTTAATAATGGTTAATAGTGGTTAATAATGGAGAAACATGGCACCTGGTGATTAATGTTGATTGATAACTGGTTGGTGGTGACTGGAACATGAATGGATTATGACTGTCCATTCAGTTTTGAGAATTTCATCATCCTGACGAGCTCCATGATTTTTCAGAGGGGTAGGGAAAAAACACCAACCAGTATTGAAATGGTGGAATGCTACCGAATAATTCTTATGCCGTTTCCATGCCCAAATGGAATGGTATAGCAACTGTATGCCCCTGATACCTCATCTCTGATGGTTGCAGTCATATCCTCACTTTAGTATCATAACAAACCCAAGTTGGTGGTCTCCAAGTAAAAATCCATTGAACTAGCTCGTCGTTGGTCAAAACTCCATATTGTCATGCTGGACTAAACAAACAATGGAAATGTTGAGCAAATCTTCAACAAAGGGAATAATTACAGGTGAAACTTCCGTATCCGATCTACTTCAGGGTGATTATAATATACGTATACTTAATCCAGATAGAGAACAGATATGACTTTGAATAGATATAGAGTAGATACAAATCCCAGAACATCCCATAAATCACCATGAAATCACCATTAAAATCACCACGAGCCCCATCCCGTCTTGGAAATCGATGAAAACATGGACGTCGCGGCAGGCATTAGAGAAGCTTTTCCATTGTAGCTTGGTGCTGCGTACCTGGCGTACCTGGGAGCTTCGCCCTCTAAAACCACCCAAAAAGAATGGGATTTAAGCAGCGAACATATAGGATGTGTTGGGATTTATAATCATTGCGCACCATAAAACCTATATAATCTACTCCTCATATTTGTGGTACACACAACTTTGGATTTCAGCCACCTAAATGATGATATTCAGACTAATATTTACGCATTGAGTACCCCAGAACCACGAGTTCTGTTTGCTTTCAAAGCTTCACAATTAAGCATTCTGACAATGGGGTAAAGGATATATATATATATTATAATATATTATGCTATATTATATTATGTTATATAATATATACTTTAGGATCATGTAGGATCCGATTCCCTCAATTTTTAAGGAAACCCTCAAATGGATTGAAGCCATGTGACCAGCTATGCTGCTCTCAACCCTATACCAGGTGGCCCCCAGTTATGTTTGACCAAGCTATTTGCGGCAGCTCTCCGGTCATTGTTGAGATTGTGTCGTGTGGCTCCAACGGGGTCTTCAAAAAAGAGGTGAATGGAAAACAGAGACCTGTTGGATTTGTTTGGTCCAAATTAAGTCTAAGTTTGCTGTGCTTTGTTTAAATCACCATAATATCAACCTCTTCTTCAAAGGACTTGTTGAGAATTCAATGTTTCGGAATTTTCCAGCACTCCCGGACTGTTGACCGGCGTCCATCTGAGCAGTTCTTCCCTTGGAGTGTCTCAACAAGCTGGCTCAAACTTATTACCTAGGTAGATAATGGTAGGTGTCTGCCACATGAAAGCGCCAATTCTTTACCAAATTTATCAACCTGTTGTTGGATCAACCCCGCCTTTCTGATTATGATGGCACTGTAGAAACGATAAAAATCCAATGTTCAGCCAGCTGCTTTCAAGGAAGCCGGTTTTGGAAGCTGCCCGCAGTTGGAAAAGTCAAGACCTTGCCCGTCCTTTTGCCATGGTTTCTGCAGGTGGGAATCATACGGTGCTTCTCCGAAGTGATGGCAGCGTTGTTGCGTGCGGATTTAATTTTGATGGACAATGCAACATTCCGCCCTTGGATGTTGGAATCTCATACACCCAGATTTCTGCTGGCGGATTCTATACGGTGCTACTGCGAAGTGACGGCATGGCTATGGCTTGCGGCACGAATGACCATGGACAATGCGATATTCCACCTTTGGAGAATGGAATGTTGTATACGCAGCTTTCTGCAGGGGGAAGCTTTGCATGTCATACTGTGCTGCTCAGAAGTGATGGTTGTGCTGTTGCTTGTGGAAGAAATGATGCGGGACAGTGCAATATGCCAGAGTTGGAAAAAGGAGAAAGCTACACGCAGGTTTCTGCCGGCGGCTTTTATACAGTTCTGCTTCGAAGCAATGGGACTGCTGTTGCTTGTGGCAACACTGCCCACGGACAACGTGACATTCCGCCTTTGGAGGAAGGAGTGTCGTACATTCAGGTTTCTGCAGGTGGGTATCATACAGTGCTTCTCCGAAGTGATGGTGCTGCCATAGCTTGTGGACTGAATCGACATGGACGATGCAATGTTCCACCTTTGTATGAAGGAATGTCGTACACCCAAGTTTCTGCAGGCTTGGACCATACAGTCCTTCTCCGAAGTGATGGTAGTGCTGTCGCTTTCGGAAGCAACGAGAATGCTCAATGCGACATTCCACCGTTGGATGATGGCATGTCATACACCCAGGTTTCTGCAGGTGAGAGTCACAGCGTGCTCCTCCGAAGTGATGGCTCGGTCGTTGCCTGTGGCTGCAATGATTTTCGCAAATGCCGAATTCCATCTCCAGCTGCTGGGACCTGCTACATCAGCGATCAACGGCCCTTGGGCCGAGATCTTGTTCTGCAAATGGATGTCCTTTGTCAGGATGATGTAGATGATGTAGTCCTAACCTGCTCCAACCTGGCAGGTGTCAAGGTCTTCCGATTGACTGCACCTGGCTCCGATTTGGCCAGAGAAATTCACCAACGCATTGCGCACGAAATGAACGTCCAACTCCAAAGTCTTCGAGTCGTTTTGCACGACGGACGGCTGCTTTCCTCGGTGTGTACAAATCCAATGGCCACGGTGGCGGATTTAGTTGTACATAGAAAAGCGCCTCACAGAAAAGTCAGGCTAAGATAGATATATGATATACAAAATATGATATATCAATATTATAAACATATATATATGTATATATATATATATTGGTATATGTTCTAGATTTAGAGGTTGTACCGTGGCCATTCTCATTATATTACAACAATGGTGTTGGTTGGTGACATCTAGTGACATCTTGCTGCTCTCTGGCTGGGTCATTTCACCATGGGATTGGTCGGATTGGTCCCCCAAGGGATACACCATGGTATGGTTTGCATGTCAATTTGATATATAGATTGAGTAATATATATACATATATATACATATATGTTTTCCTAAGTTATTTTGTTTGATATATTCCCAGCTTTGATTTGCAAGAGCTTCGTCTGCTCAGGCAGGGCCAGCATGGAAATGGTGTCCGCATCTTGGGGATCCAAGGTGGTTTTGCTGGAAAATCCACCGTTTTTGTTTAGTGATAAATTCCAACTAAAGTCTCAATTGATGCCTGGGATTTCCCACTGCCACTGATTGCCACGTTTGATTACCGGAGGGTGTTCCGTTCCAATTCTTTCCAAGGCTTAACATGGCTTAACTACATGCCGATGCACTTCAACCTAAACTGTCCCTTGAACCGATTGTGGGATCAAACATTAAATGAGGGAGTGATTAACACCCATGGTTGGAAACCAGCTGTATCTGTGATATATTTGGATATGATCTATCTATCTGTATATATATATATATATGTATACTTGTGTATGTATATATATATATATGTATTAATACACATCTAATATCTATCCATGTCTCTATATTGTATATCTATCAGTATATATATATATGGTTGGAAATTGGTTCTGATCATCAACTGGGCCAAGTGGACCGGTTCCCAAGGGGCTTCAGAACGGGCGATTCAGAGTCGGGCCCCACGGTGCGGCAGCCGAACTTGGGACGTTTACGTGAACGTGCCGTGGTCAAAACTTAGATTGTAACCATGAAATAGATGAGATAGGATATTATATGTGAGATATGAAATAGATGATGATATTATATATGTATAGGGTATTAATGTATAACTATTGGCCATGCCCTCTGGACAAGGTCTGAACATGACTCTTTTGGCAATACTAAAAGTAAATAGAGCTAATTGATTTTTAGTATTGGAGAAAAATTGGAGTTGCGGAAAAATGTTTCTACTATTGACAAGATATCACTATTGGTCAGACAACATTACAATAATATCATATCCCTTTTAATCATACAATCCAAGTTTATCCCATTAAATCCAAGTTTATCCTATCCCATTAACACCCTATACATATATAATCCTCTGGTAAACTACTATTGAAAATGGCCCAGTCGAAATAATGGATTTACCCATTAATAGCATGGTGGATCTTTCCCATCAGTTACGTAAACGTTTACCAGAGGGTATGATATTATATGTATACCCAACTCCAATTTTTTCTCCAATACTAAAAGTCAATTAGCTCCATTTACTTTTAGTATTGCCAAAAGAGTCAAGTAAAGCAAATCCTTTTCAAAGCAGCCTTCACTTTTGATTAGCAAAAGCTTAGATTCCAGAAATCTGATCCAATTACCAAACAGCTGATTTCCTTATAAAACCCTTATTAAAAAGGCAAGAAAACAGGTCCACAAAGGGTACATTGTGATGCCCCCAAGTTAACATGAAGTTATGTTACTTATAACTTGAGTTACGGAAGTTAAGTTGAAGTTATGTTAACTTATGTTATACGATTCCTAACTTAAGTTTTAACTTCGATAACTTCTTAGGATGTTTTTTGGTCCTTTTTTTGATATTCCATGATTTTTTTATAGAATGATTTGGTTTCTGCAGTTTCTTTGTTTGTTCCAGGATTCTCTTGCGTTTTTGGCCGCCAAATGCAACGTTTTCATGGCAAGAACATAACCGTGCCGCTATCAGCGGAGGTCCATGGCGGTATGTGCATGTTTTTCATGCAAGCATATTCAATGAATTTCTTTTCAGCGGTCTTTTTGAAGATTCGAAAAAACTCTCCAGCTTTAATTAGGGCCAAGGGCGCGACAAAGAAATGTAAGCGGCACTTTTCCAGGAAACACACAGAAACACATTTTAAACACATACGCGTTTCCTACCCTCTACGGCCTGCCTGCTGGAAACACATACGCGTTTCCTAAGGTGAACGCAGTGCAACATGGAAACACATGCGTGTTTCCATCTGTTTTTGTTGTGCTTGGGTGGTAACACATGCGCGTTTCCAATCTGTCACAGAAACACATATTATAGTTCATCGAAGCTGATGAGTATCACTGTGCAATAGGAAACACATTTTAAACACATTGCGTGTTTTCTTGCGACTGGCTGCTTGGAGTGTGGAAACACATGCGCGTTTCCTTCATTGCTCTACGTTGTGATGAGAAACACATGTGCGTTTCCATGTCTTCTTTGATTTTTGAAGGGAAACACATGCGTGTTTTCTACGTTTGGGGTTCCTATGATGGGAAACACAGGCGCGTTTCCAGATCCAGGCTCTTCAGCGTAGAGAAACTCTTTTTTTTAGATTCAGCGTTTGAAAGTCTCTCATCTGCGCAAGGCTATACAGCGCATGTTGTGTCTCTATTCCAAAGTTTTCACTGCTTCCATGTTGGCGTTCGATGTTGCCCGCAGGCGGCACCGACTGGGTGGTACAGTCTGAAGCACCATTTTCTGCCGCTACCATGACGGTTTGGAAAAAAGACTCCCGTTGAGCACTGAAAAACTATCATGGCATACATGACTCAAAATGAACAACCAAAAAAATGCTAACTCACGTAACTTCGATAACTTCATTTTATTTTTTTCCTTGGGATAGCCAAACTTATGTTATAACTCCACATCTCATGTTATAAATTCAACATAAGTTATAGAAGTTAGCCTATGTTATAACTTATGCTACCCCATGTTATAAATCATCTTGCAGAATATATAAGTCAAGTTGTATCTCGGACCTCGGGGACCTCACAATTTACCCCTTTTGAAAGCCCCAGAATAGCAGTAACAAACCTGCACAGTTGTCAATAGTGGAAACTTTTTTCCGCAACTCCAATTTTGTTGTCCTCCTTCTCCTTCTTCTCCTTCTTCTCCTCCTCCTCCTCGTCCTCCTCCTTCGCCTCCACCACCTCTGCCCCCACTTCCATGTCCACTTCCGCCTTGCCAACTCTTCGCCAATCTCTCAGAAACCCAACCAAATCCATTCAGAATCTATCAGAAACCCAACAAAACCATGGAGAATCTATCAGATTCATATCATGATCCCAGCTATAGATTCCCAAAAATTATTATAGGAAGGTTGACCCCCCAAAAAAAAAATAAAAATAGGGGGGGAATAACTATTAGGCAGCCAACATTAACTTAGATTGTAACCATTCTACCCCTACCCTCCGGTAATCAAATATGCTTGGCTGGGAAATTCCCAAGCCGAAGGTTTGTAGCTGGAAAAAATCATCGGACCACATGGAAGATTTTCCAGCACCTCATGGTTCGATATTAAAAATCCCCAATGTAAATGTATACCCTCTGGTTATTTAACATAGCCATAGGAAATAGATGGCCCATTTATAGATGGCTTACCGTTCTTAAAAATGGGTGGATTTTCCATGGCTATGTAAATGGGATAAGACAATATATCTATATAACTATATATATATAGATATTAATGACGATCATGAATGGCTTGACTAAATCAAAAGAAGCATAAATGTCATGTGATTCAGTGAGGGATGAGATGTTTTGTGGGATGACAAGAAAACACATTGGGTTTTTTCAAACTTGGTCAAAAAGTGGGAGATTTCATGTTCATGTAACAAAACCTTGGTTACAAAACTTGGGATTTGGTGGCATATTGATGAGGATCGTGAATGGGTTGGATTGTATGCCCATCTTGGGGGATGGTCATCATTCAAGCTTCGTAGAGATTTATGTACCGATATACCCATTCTGTTTTGATTCCCATGAAATAGATGGATGACCATAAACTAGCAATTCCATGTTTTGATCCTAGCACAGATGGGCAATGAACATATCGAAACACGTGGGAATCCATTCAAAAAGAATGGAAGGAACCACCAAATGCTACCAGAAAAGTATCAACGAGCCAATTTGATTCAATTTCCACCTCTTTGTATCGATGTCAGAGATGTTCAGATTACTTGGTGAGTTCCACAAGATCTTTACCGAGATCAATCACCTCCATTGTTTTCTTGACACCAGATGCACCGAAAGAATTTGCTTTGCTTGGACCGTGTGGCGGTTCTGAATGAGCAGTGTTCAAAACCCGCAACGTCATTGCATGAAGTACCGCTTGGTTTACAAGTATAGTCTATAGTATAACTATAGGTTTTATGAGGAGGAAGGATTTAATTATGTATATCTAGTTACTGTAAGTGCAGGGGGCCCTTGTGATACCCAGGTTATGGATGATGATCATCACCTATGAATCATGATTGAGTGGGTTCAACTAACGCTACCTAACATTCCTCATCAACCAAGAGGCTTTCTTCACGCAGCCACTGTCCTTGCCAAGGTCCTGAAAGAACGCATGGTGGACTTCTCTCCAGTGGAACGCTTTGTGCCTTGGTGCTCTACTTGTTGATGCGAGGGGATCCGAGAACAAACATGGCACAGAAAAGTAAAAAGAGGCTAGCACCCGAAGATAGTTATAGAATGCTAATTGTATAAGTGTTGTATATGATGTTAAATGAATCATGGGAGTTCTAACTAGCTCTGTTCTTACATGAACCTCAACAAAGGTGCCAATCATATACACTATCCACCCTTAGCACAAGCCGTGGACACCGCAACCCCAAGGTTCGCGTCACTGCCATTGCTGTCTTCGCAAGAGAGGTGCGGCAACTATCGTGGTTGGCTGCGGTTAATCCCATCCCCCAGTGAAAACGACCAATAGATGGAGCTGGCAGAAGATGAAGAGACCATAGCACGCCTGAGAAGTGAGATTCGAGAGCTTGAAGACAGGAAGACACAGATGAGGAATAGAACGCGTGAGGAGCAACACAACTGTGGAGAGAAAGCAAAGAGCGCAGTCTTCCAGTTGGAGGAGAATGTGCTCAGCCAGGAGTGGCATGATTCGCGGTACCATGCCGCGATAGAGGCAGGAGTCAACCATTCGGCGCTTCGGCCTGCATTCGGGCTGCTGGGCCGGAACATCACCTGGGACAAGTTGGTTAAGAGCTACCAGCACACAGGCTTGGGCGCAAGAAAAGAAAAAGAGAAGAGCGACTTTGCATCGGAAGAAAAGTGTTAGGGAAAAGCAAAAGAGTGATCAGGTTGGACAGCAAGTGGCAGAGTTCGACTTCAAACCGGTTGGAGACGAGGGGATACCTCTAGAACAGATCCAGTTCGAACTCAGGGTTTCTGGTCTTTTTAAGTGGCCGAGCATCAGCTACCAACTGGTTTGAGGTGCGAATGACCAGCCTTCTGCAAGTCTATCAAGAGAGCTTTGAATGACTTGACCATCTCGACCCCCAAATAGGATCTGAGAATGCTCCCACGACACCATCAGGGTTTAACCGTTTAACCTGCTCATTCTTATAGGGATGCTGAGGCAACTTACAGTTATGGCCATTTATCACTTATAAGTACTAAGAAAACCCCATTTATAGAATGTATAATCCCATAGAAATAACCACTTATAACTGGTTTTCATGGCCATAACTGTCGGAAACTCCGCAGCTAGTTCTTCAAATCCCGATGGAGTCACTTCTGATCTTCAGCACTGTTACGCCCAAGTAGCGGTTGTTCAAATCGTGATAGTTCCCTCCCCCCAGTTTCACCACTTACAATGTGGGCCACCAAGTATCTAAGTTGGTTGATGCCTTGGGAAATTCGATGGTTTATGGTAAATATACCCTCCAGTAGTCAACCATGGCGTGCTGGAAAATCCACTATTTGTTGATTTTCCCAGCTATAAACCTCCATTTGCAGGGGAATATATGTAACTGGGTGAAACTAAATCTACAAACATTCCACTGTGGAGCCCCACATTTCTGCAGGCTGCTTTGGCCAACAGCCGACACTTAGAGAAGGCGCCAGATGTCATCAGTGGATGACGTTTAAGTGGAGTATACACAAAATATGCTATCGGAACAGGTAAATTCATACCCAAGATGATCCAAAATTGTCATTTTATCAGGGGATAAAAAGCAAAATGATGATCAACTGTTGAAATTTTGGTGTACCTTGTTTTCAATCAAAACCCATGTACGAAATATGTGTGTCAAGAAAGTATTTCACCTAACATCATGCCAGAAAGTACTTCAACTCAGAGGTACTGATGGATTGCATGAAGTATACACTCCATTGACAACCCACAAATCCCAAAAAATGTTTGCACAAATGTTTGTTGAAACTCACCAAAATAGTACATGCATATGAATCCTTTTGTGATTCGAAGGGCGTTCAATGATTCTTGTTTGCACTGATCCCTGAAACACTGGCAAGGGGGTTGATCCTGTCATTGGCCTACTGTAGCCATGTCATATTACCATGCACCGTCCGCAGGATATCGGAGGGGACCCGTGAATCGGCCAGATATCCGAATGGTTCATGTCAAACAACACGCATCATGACGGTGAAAGTGAATCTGTTTTTGGTATGTTGATATTACCCTCTGGTTATTTAACATAGCCATGGAAAATGGCCCATTTATAGATGGTTTACCTAATGGGTGGATTTTCCATGGCTATGTTAAATAACGAGATGGTAAGTATATTTGCCTCCCAGGTCCCCTGTGTTAATGCAACGTGCTGTGACAGTTTATGCCATGTACTCGTTCAACAAGTTATGGTACCCGAAGACCGGCACGTACGCCACAGACCGATGAGACTGGGTGGATTGCCCTGGCGCAAGAATTGGGTCGGGATGCCCAGGTACAATACGATGCCCCCAAAGTTCCAAGTTGGTTTATATACCCCATGATTTATCTATCTATCTACCTATCTATCTATCCATCATCTATCTGGCTGTTTGTCTGTCTGTCTATCTATCTATCTATCTATCTATTTATCTATCTATCTACCTATCTATCTATCTATTTATCTATCTGACTCCCTACTTACCTACCTACCTACCTACCTACCTATCTATCTACCTATCTACCTATCTATCTATCCATCCATCTATCTGGCTGTTTGTCTGTCTGTCTGTCTGTCTATCTATCTATCTATCTAACTACCTACCTACCTATCTATCTATCTACCTATGGATAGATGGATAGATAGATAGATGGATGGATAGATAGATAGATAGATAGATACCTACCATGAACACCCAAAAAACATGGCTTTAACCTGCTTATAAACCAACTTCGCGCTTGTTCGGGGGCCCAACATCTGGCAATGTGGTACACCAGCTTGGTGACTTCATTGCCGAACATTCTCAGCATTGCCGTACGACAGTGACTACTGATTACCTTTCTCGCACCCATGGGTGCTCCGCTTGTATTTGTCAGTCATAGTGGTGACTATCTATGTTTCCATACCAAAGCGTATTTCATTGTTGGACTTGATGTTTACTTTGATTGACAAGTTGTACCTCTATGTTGACTCAACATCTTTCAGGCCTCACACTACTCTCCAAAGATACAGATAATGTATGATAATGTCAAGTTTGATATGTTATGTGTCAGATATTTGGTGTAGTGTCCAATCATTTCAGCCATTGGTCTTACACAGCCTGTGGATCCAGATCTTTTCGGCACTTCGTCCCCAAAACCAAACCTCAACCACCCTCTGTGAAGATACAGCTGGACCATAGAGATACAAACTTTGCCCAAGATTTCTACAAGGTGAGGGCCCCCAGTTATGTCTGGTGGTTTATAAATCCATGTAACTAGTTCGTTATATATCCCTGGGATTTCCCAGTCATAAGATTGTTTATGAACCCATTGACTATAGTTATATCCCCTATATGTTTGGGATTGTTTGGGATTGTTTGGGTTTTCTATAAGGCCGTGGGCTTCAAATCATTCGACGTCCTGAGGCTATGATGATCTGTGGAACGCCCTGAAGGCTGGTGATGGTGCACCTCCTTGATGGGAGCGGTTTGCAGCTTTTGAGGCCCTAGGAGGTTTCCTAAGTCATGGGTGTACCCCCAGTTATTATCCATTTATAGATACGATTTCCATCGATTTCCCATGAAATAAACCGTCCAGCTTTTTGGGGTACCCCCCATTTGAGGAAACCTCCATAAAATTGTGAGTTCGACTGTTCGACTACCCAAACTATAACATCACTGGAATGGATGTTTCTTGCAAATGGTTCCATTTTGAATGTCACACAACATGAAAACACCATTCCATTTGTTGAGGGGGTTAACGGTATCCTATCATCAAAACGCCATCAAAACGCCATCAAAGCACCACGAAAACGCAACATACCATCAAGACACCATTTAAACCCCATTAAAACACCATTAAAATGCCATTTTCTTTGAGGGTAAAAAAGGTATCCCTCCTTGGAATCAAAGCATGTCGCGGCACCGCGCCAGAAGTGCAAACCCTGGGACTGGACGGATGTGGTGCAGACAGAGGATTGCCCCCGGGGGATGGCTTTGGATGTGATTTTTCAATCAAAATGCTGGGGAAAAGATGGTAAAACGGTCAAATCCATAAGCATGTGGGGAAGTGTGGAGATGTGTCCGTGAGTAGAGCACTGAAAAAATGGGATATGGGCAAAGAGTATAGATGAATATAGCTGAATATAGCTGAATATAGCTGAATAGTATGTCAACTAGTTGATGTTTTTCTTTCAAATTCACCAAAAGGACGGTTTTGCAATGGTTCACCAATTCGAAGCAAAGCCCAGAGTCATGCCATAGTAGATGTCAGTAGTGGTCTCTATAACTGGATGATTTGAATTTCCAGTTGGGCCCCCGTGGATGTCGGTTTGTGTTCACCCATTCGACGCTTAATCCCCACAGATCGTTATTTGGGTCCCAGATTGTGTGTGCCATTGGAGGAATACGATCCAAGATACAGTAGGTTTGACAAACCAATTTGTGCTACAAAATGAGAAATAAACCCCTGACGACATACAGGCTCATCAATATTTTCATCATAATATCCCGTATTTGTAGCATCTCATTCTTCCCATTACCCATTACATCACCATGACATCGTACAGAGTTATCATACAGAGTTCATCCCGTTGAGTCTCATGGTTGGTTCAAAACCCCATACCCCTCATATTTCTCATCATATGCCATATATTGCCATATAATTATCATATTAGCCTTGAAAATCCCTTGGTCATATTCATGAAAATGGTCACAATCCCACAGTATCCCACAATGAAATCTGATGTTTGCATGACAATGCATGTTTTGTACAGTTTGGCCATTTATCAGTTATAAGTACTAACAAAACCCCATTTATAGAATGTATAACCCCATAGAAATGACCAGTTATAACTGGTAAATGGCCATAACTGTGGATAAATCCATGGTAAATCCCATTTATACAGACATTGGCCAGGATTTGGTGCAAACGGATCTGGCGTATGAGGCCACTGTGGAGGCGCGGCCTGCCTTGTTTGAAACATGGGGATGGGTCAAAACCTATGATGAATACACATCCATGAGAATAGAATATTGGATATAGATAGAAGAATGCACAATATTCATGACTTCTATTTTTATGGTTTTGTAAAACAATATTCAATTTAAACTCAAAAAAACATCCATTAACCAGATAACCAGCTATTCTATAGGGTACCAGGGTGCCTGGTTTTTGACTCATAGCCGCATCGAAAGTTGAGAGTTGAGCAGTAACATGTGATGTGATCAGCAAGAACTCGATATTCAATTATTCAACTTACACACATGTTATTTTTAACCAAGAAAACATCAATTTTACCGGCAATAATGGAGATTTGACTCGTACCAGCAAGAATTGGATACTCAGACTCATGTAGATGTTAACCGTTAGAAGAATATCAAGTGCCCCCTCCGTTGTTTTTCGTTGGTTTATGTGTAGCCGTCCAACTATAGCTACATCTAGCAGAAACTAACTGAGCTATCATGGAGCGGCTATTGACCAACAAGCATGGGGATTGAACGGATGAAAAACCATCGACAGTTGAGAAGTGTAGCAACAAGGAAGATAAAAATAAAATCATTGCGCTCCGGTAATCAAGCGTGGCTGGAAAATCCATGAGAATCCTCTATAAATGGAGGCTTGAATGGGTCAATCGTTTTTGAACGGAACGTTTAACCATGAAACACTAATATGGTGGTTTTTTCACATGTTTGAACAACCAAGAGGATAGAACTGATCTGAACTGATATAGTCTAACAGACACAAACAGCTACTGTTCTTCGCTTTGGAAGCCGTAAGGCTAGCCATTTTCGCAGGCCTGGTGGGAAGATTACGTGGTGCCAGAACTTGAGCGGGAACGTCAACGGGCACTGCTGCCGCCCTAGGCGTTTTTTCGGCGGTGTTGGGATTGGTTTCCGTGGATCTCAGCGATCGGAGCATCAAAAACTTGAAGGTTGGGCCTGGTGAAAAAAGTTGGTGTATAGACCTCATCTAAACACCATATAGCTAAAACATGTTATACAAAATAGATGTTAATATATGTTGATATATGTTGATATATGTTAATATGCATTTTATGAATTCCAGTTTGGATATGTGTTTGACCCAACCTTGGATGACATCTTGTTCTGCTGCGATATCCTCATATTACTGTACTGAACATATTGCCATAGATGTGGGAACCCCAGCATTTACATAGATATTTTTCCAAATGGGAACCATGGGTTTTCCATGGTGTTCCACATGTTTAGAGATTGTACAATCATTCAGACCCAAACAACAGAGATGTTCTGCTCAGTCCGAAACATCGATTGACACCTCTGGACACATAGCAGTGATAGAACGCTTCACAGTGAATTTGAATCGGTTCTGAGTATCGATCTTTCGTTACATCTTTTGAAGAATAGTAGCATATGGTAACTCACAATTGGATGTGAACTAACATTACTAATCGCCTAAGATGAATTAAGATGTAGTAATTGCATGTAATTGTCCATCTATTGCCTAACAATTCGATGAGACCCAGCTCGTGGGATGCGAACGAGTGAACGAGTGAAGCCGATCTGAAACTCACGGAAACTATGGCGAAATGAGAAAGTCAATGAGCCACATAATATGAGAAATTCTGCTGTGTTTGGGTCATGGATTCAGACTTTTCTGGCAGATGTTTGTCACGTCATTCGCCGTCATTCTTGCTAAATGGCTTGACCATTTGACCCACATCCTTTGTTTCACCTGCGTGGCTGGGTATGGCTCAAAATCATCGCGAATTACGAGCAACGATGCATCTGAAGGATCATGAGATGTGTCTTGAAGACAGCCATACCCATGTCAGATGGGCCAAGGTTAGTTTTTTTCGGATTGTTGATGTGCTGCAACTTTAAGGTCGTCCAACCTGAAAGAAACATCCAAAGGCAATATACGTGATGTTTGCGTAATTTTCAGTGTCACAGCCATGATCTGCATGGATAGACTGATAGGGGGATGGGTCAAACCCTATTAAAAAAAACCATGTGATACCATGGGGGAATCAACATGCACTAAGAAGCTATAACGATTCGGCCATAGATTCCTCTCAACCACGGCCCATCGCCGTCTCCGTCTTGCCAAATGGCATGGTCCAAACCGCGGCCGTCTCCGTTGTGAGACCGGCCTGGCGCAGGGAGAAAAGATGCGAAGGATCGAAACGATGACCGGTTTGGTTTGTCCCAAACAGAAGGGAAACTTGCAAAATCATGAAACAGACAGACCCGTTTGAGCCCGTTTGTGCTTGTAAACTGAAACTAACTATATATATAATATACGTGTATATATATATATACGTGTATATATATATACACCTTATATATATACACATTATATATATAGACACATTGTATATATATATATACATTATATATATATACATTATATATATACATTATATATATACATTATATATACATTGTATAATTATATATATATATATAATTATATATACATTATATATACATTATATATACATTATATATACATATATATATTTACATTATATATAGTAATAATAATAATAACACTAATATTAATTATAATTATAATTATAACACTAATAACAACAATAATAATAGTTTGTAATCTTTGACTTGCTGAAGGTGATTGCTCTTAATCACTGCTTCATGCTTAGTGACCAGTTAGGAATCTTCCTGGAATCATGGATGGCTTGGACCGCGGCTTTTGCTGTATGTATTACTGGCTACATGATGGAGCCCCCATGTGACCTTCGTGTGGTGGTCCCGAGGTCAACGGATTTCCACAAGAAAGTTATCCTTGCACGCAACAGTCGTGCCGTCGGCCCAAAGATGTGCAGCAACAGGCACTTGTTGGTGCGAGAGTGTTGCCCTTTGCCCTTGACTTAAGGAATTATACATGAAATTAGCCACATGTATCCACATGTAACATGTCCCACAAACTACAACTCACCAAGTCAGATGTCAATAAGTTCAGGATTCAACATGTCAAGCATTTCACCAGGTTCCAGGTTGCCAACTGGCAACGCTCAACAGCAACGCGGTTCATGTCTTGCCGCACGACAAACAGCCTGCCCATGTGGCACCTGTGGCCAGTGCTCAGCATCTTGCTGAGACTTTGTGCAGGCATGGCACCGGACACCGGACGACATGGCCGGAAGCATGTTGCGGATTTGGCTGAAGCCATTGTGGATAACGGTTTTTTGGAGTAATTACACTGCGTTCTTGGACAAACCTAAATCAGTTTCAATCTCAGTTTTCAGGGGGTTCTACTCCAACAACAAGCGGGATTGGCCTTTTTGCACTGACAGTCCGGTCAACAAGGCCAGGTAAGCAATGGGTAATAGTGCACACAAACATTCCTCATTCACACCAACTCCGAGTTCCTCCAATTGATATTCGAACATTTGGTGACAACAGCCCAAAAAGCGTTGCGCAAGCACATCTCCCCAGTATAGTCTTGCTGATTGACCCTTCATTGAACGCTTTAGCATCGTTCTTCACAGTTTTGTCATGTGTTTCTGCGCATGTGAGGGTCCGCTTTGCATCAGATCACAACCTTGCCATATTCCCATTGAAGGTGTCAAAACTGCAGACCTGCAGCTCCCCAATCCCATTACCATCTGGTTATTTAACAGTTTGCCATGGAAAATCACCAGTTTTAATAGGTAAACCCAGGTAAACCATCTATAAATGGGCCATTTTCCATGGCTATGTTAAATAACCAGAGGGTAACATCTCATTTTTCATCCCTTAAATCCATCTTTTTCTTCGGCAGTCACGAGATGTTTTTGGGCAACGGTGGCAATGTCGCGTTGCGCGTTTGAGTAAACTCATCGTTCGCAACAGCAGGCAATGGCGGGGAATTTGATTGTGGAGATGAACCGTATCTGATGCTGGAGGAGGTGCATAGTGGAACCATGTTTTCAACGTGCCATGTGGATGTTTGACCGCAAGATCTATGGTGGATTTCTGTATGATTATATGATGGTTGGTGAATGATGGTTGATTTCTATGGTTAACAGTGGTTGATTAGTTGTTGTTTTAATAATCATGGTCCATGGTTGGTGATCTATGGTAGATGGTTGATTTTATAATATTTTATAATAATAGAACATAGTGGTGGTTAGTGGTTAGTAGTAGTTGACAATAGGTAGCAATACTAATAGTTGATTCAATAGTAGCTATTAGTAGTGGATGGTTTGGTTGCGAAGCAAAATAATTATGATTCTGATGGTTGATCTATGGTGAATAGAAGTTGATTGATCGAAAATACCCCAGGACAATGGATGAATCATGAAGAATTGGGAAGTACACTGCTCTGGTTGTTTAACATCGAACATCGGTGTATAGTAATTGCCCATGCAGTTCGATGTCCTTTTTTTCCATAGCTACATTACAAGAGGGTAGACCATTCAACAATGCAAAGAAAACATTAAAGTCTCCTAGTTGGTAACGAAGAAATCTTACAATGGACTTTGACATTTGACATCATTACCCTCTGGTAAACTAACAGTTTGCGAACTTGAAAATGACCATAGAAATAGTTGATTTTCCCATTGAAAATGGTGGATCTTTCCATAGTTATGTTAATTTATCAGAGGCTATTTGGAATGCATCTTCTGGAGCTCTGAGCCCAAAACCGTGGTTTTGACTACGAAAACGCCATGAAGATGGCTACAATTTGGGATGATTCGGGCTACCCCAAATGTTATAGGAACCCCCCAAATTACGTAAATCACGTCTGAATATCCAGTAAAAGCCAGTCGCTTCAGTGCTGGAACCACCGATCCTTTGCTGGTGGCTCACCCTCGTTGTCGTTGGTAAATCCCATCGTATAACAGTGATCAGCACCATGAACCCCCAGTGATGTGAACGTTGGTTTAAAAAAACATAGGAATAGTATAGATCTACCATAAAACATAGTGAAGTTGAAGTTATTTGCACCAACTTAGCTAACTTTGGAGCACCACCTTGTAGTTGAGTTGAGCATGTTGAAGGCAGGTTTCGATGGTGATGTCAGGATGTTGGCAAGTCTTCCATACATTGAACAGGTGGTGATTCACAAGTTGGAATTGTGTGGGTGTATGCAAGGTACCGGTGCATTAAAAAAAAAACATGGCAACGGGGAAATCTCTAATGGGAAGTGGACCCTGATGCAACTGAAGCTTACTGTATATAGATCATCCATTTATTCTTATGAAATTACCCCCTCTATGGAAACACATTACTTTGTTGTTAGGTTCCATAGTTGATTCATAGTCAGAGCTTTTTGGGGCGTTGTAAATCCCGATGCTTGAGAGTTACATGGATAAAACTGCTGCCAGGTCGCAGCACTTTTTGAGCTACATGGGAAAATCTGGATCATTTCTATGAGAGGCGACCATAGTAGCATAGGCTACGGTTGTTTGTAGCTCCAACAACTGTAGGATTTCTGGTGGACCTGGATATATCTATAGTGGGCCCATAGGTTCACAAAGCAGTTTCTACCTGTGGCCCACATTGTAGGCAACTTTTTAGGCAACGCTTGGGATGTGTTGAAACTATAGACGAGTTAATTGCAACTGATCTGAGCTTGAATCATGGACACAGGTTAGAGAGTTTGTTTAAACACAAGGTGCCCCTTTATCTGCGGGTCAAGCATCATGTTCTGTTACCGTAATATTACCGTAATATAGCTGGTGAACCGCATGTTCAGATAAACTCAACCATTTTGTAGTTGGTTATATATCCCGTGGTAGCCACATGATAATTTGATGGTTAATACCACAACCATGTTAATCCATCTTATATCCATGCAATGGTTGATAAGATATTAGGACATCCATGTTTGTTGATTATCACAAGCACAACATAAAAACATGTATATCCCATATGTTGTTGCAGTTATGGCCATTTACCAGTTATAGGTGGTGATTTAAATGGGATTATACATTCTATAAATGGGGTGACTTGTTAGTACTTATAACTGATAAATGGCCATAACTGTGGTGATGTTCCCATGATATCCCCCTTTTTGTTTCATAACCGCCACGACAGGTCTTGCACAACAACCTGGGAAACCATGGACCACACCACGGCGTCTCGGCACTCTTTAAGGTTGACCTATTAATGGTCGCAGAAATCGCAGTAAAACGAAGAAAAGGCATGGTTGAGAAAGATACTTGATCTATGGTTTGTTTATGTTGGTTTATGATTGTTCATCATGGTTAATAATGGAAACTCACCAACAATAATGGATGAATCATGTATAATTGGAGTGTACCCTCTGGTTATTTAACTTTGCTATGGAATAGACGGCCCATTTAGTTCGATGATTTATGATGATCTACCGTTATCAAAAAATGTAATTTTCCATAGCTATATTTAAATTACCAAAGGTTACATCATATCCACAAGAGGGGTAAGATGATGGTTGGATTTCCTTCTTTACCTGATCAAACCAATTTCCACCCCAAAAAACATGTCTGACAATCTTGGGACAACTCCAAAATGCAGAGGTTTGTGAACATAGCATGACTGTTTTCCCCCTTTCGGTATACCCCATTTTTGGATACAGCAACGATGGAATCTCAGCAACAAACATCTTAACGTAGCGCGGCAACACATATCGATGATTCGTTTTCCTCTGTGGGATGATCAGAGAAAATCCATGGAGAAAATGGGCGGATTTTCATCAGCGGATGACTGGACAAACTACGACTCATCCCTTGTCGTTTACAGCTTCCGAACTTGCAGCAACCAGCGGTTGATCTCGAAAAATTGAGGGTTCAACTTTGCTTTTGATTAGCCAGTATGGGGATGATCAAAATCTGTGGGAAATCCCTGGCTGATCAACTAGATTTGAACATTGCGACGTGTCGTCACGAACTGAGGTGAAGAAGGCATTGTCTACCAAGCGATTGAGTACTACAAGCACCTTGACAGAGTGAAGGATTCGAAGGGTTCGTTTCGCTGACCAACACGTCATTGACATTGATGAGCACAATGGGATCATAGTGATGACAAAAAAATGCTCCAGAATCGCATGGGAACAGCATTTGCAGTATACACCACACCGCCAAATTGTTTTGCATGCCAGAACAGTTTCTTTTCGTAGTTGCACTACCGTGCAGTTGGAAATAGGCTTAAATCCGATTTGAAGTCGGGAATTTGGAGGGCTGAGAACGATGCTTGGAAGGGAAACCGATTCCATGGCAGATGCAAATCATCGTGGTGACCCAGTCCCTTGCCTGTTGCGCGACACCTTGAGTTGCGACAGCAAGCATGGTAACTTGCACTGGGTGACTTTTTGTTTCACGTTTTGATGATCCTGACTTGGTATCGATGTTCTACACCTATAGCTATCCTGCTAGCTGAAGGGATTGATTCTTGTTGATGTCTGTACCCTCTTTGAAACGTTGGTTCTGCGGTTGTTTCACGATTTGCTGTCTCTAAGGAACATGCACCGTATCGTCCACGTAAACGTGCATGCTGCTGCTTGGTTGGCCAAATCTGGATGGGCCTCGGTTTAGCTAAGTTCGTTCGCTTGGTCAGTGTTTAATTGAACTAATATAACTAATTTAGGGTTAACTCATGGGATAATGATGGTTAATAGGATTTAATTTATAAACCCTATAGCCAGCTAGATCATAAGGTTTATAGCTTGATAAAGTTATAAATCCCATTGATACTAGTTGGTTTATCACTTGTTTTGCTCACTTTTTAGTGAATGGGATTGATTTCAACCGACTCATAGAAGTACAGTAGTTTGGCCAAGACCGACCACGGCTGGGTTGCTGTCAATCCCTTTGAAACAACCCCTACATCAAATTGAAAATGTGATGGATATTTGAGGTCTGATTTGTTTTATTCCATGGTTCTTTGTTACACAACATCTGCATATTTGGTCGAATTCTGGCATTGTTGATTGAATTCAATATTACAGTGTATTTCTACTATGTCAAATATGTTTTTTTCCGTCTCAGGCCAAATTTATCGTTAATTTAAGTCGGTCAAACAAACCAGTTGTTGCAGTTGTTTCAACATGTATTTGAAAATTATATAGTACAACTCCCGTTGTTTTATTTTTTATTGTTGCTTACATTCCCCCAACCAACATACAGTAGACCCTGCCAAGATTTGGGTTGGGAGACACGCTCCTGTGGGCAATTCTCTGGAGTGATTTGTGTCCACAATTCCAAACCACGACTCACCAGTTAACCATTGGAATGGTACAATTGTTTTTGGTTTACATGTGTCTACTGTATCTCACTAGATATATCTGCCTACCACAAACTCACAGTTTTTCCCTAGACATATACCATCTTTTGACTTTTTGAAACTAAGATATGTTATATAATATATCATATCATGATATATCTACCATCTCTACATATCACCAGAAACCATAGATAACATACGTAGATGAATACATGAGATAACCACAGATTCGTTGCCTTTTCATGCAGGCCGCTTTTCTGCCTGCCACCAGAGGAACATTTGGATTATTTTTCCATTCAGTTGGGAATATGTCATCATCCCAATTGGCTTTAATTCACCCCATCATTTTTCAGAGGGGTACGGAAAAACCACCAACCAGCCATGGTTATTTCACCAGCTCTGGGACGGTCACCACGTACGAAAGGAGCACGTGTCGAAACGACACGCCACACGATGGATCCCACGAGGTCACAGACTACCAGCCCTGGGATGCCTTCGCCAACGGCCTCAATGGGCGCTTCGGGGTCTTCACGCAGCGCCCCGGCAGAGAATCCATTCGAATGGTTAGAGAAAGAACACGTACCCTCTGGTTATTTAACATAGCCATGGAAAAGGGCCCATTTATAGATGGTTTACCTATTAGAAATGATGATTTTCCATGGCTATGTTAAATAACCAGATGGTAACATCAAGTAACCATGAAATATGGTGTGATGTTGTACAGTAAGCTATATGGATTATCCCACAATTACTGTTATTCATAGTGGATGATACTAGTATGAGTAACCATTAGTTACCATAGTCCATTAATAACTATGGTTACTAAATGGTACTTATATATATAGGATGATAGTAGAATACCATAGTTCTATAAAGATTAGTAACCATAGTCTATGATGAATTGGGTATAGAGATAGAACCATAGTTTCTCATACTTAGTGACCAGAGTTATTCATACTTAGTAACCATACTTACTAAATGTTACTAATACTTAGGAAGTGATTCGTAACCATAGTTAATGAGCCATGTATGTATGGACAAAATCACTGAATGGGGACTTCCTAAGCAGGGTTACTAATCACTTACTAACTTGGACGATCCCTGCCATGAAAGATGGATTTCCTGGGCGAATTTCCATGACAATGATTGTTTAGAAGGTAAAAACTTGCAGACTAGAAAAATCAGAACCTTTGGGTTGGGCAATGATTTCCAATTTGTTGCTTTGAGATTGAAAGTGCCATGGGCAACTTTCCTGAACTGTTTTGTTTATAAGTGTCCTTGCGGCGTGTTTTTTTTGGCAACAGAAGTTCCCAGCATGAACAATGTACACACTAAGTTATCAATCTCGTCCACAACTAGACCGCAGGATCTTTGTTGTGGTGAATACACGTCATATGCAAAAGGATCAACAGGTAGCTGCAAGGGTAGTGCAAGAACTGTGATTGTCTTTGGGTCGCAGCATTTCGCGGGCAAGATGGTGTGAACATAATTCAATTCACAAGACGCATGTACCATTTGGTAATCAAACATGGAAATTGGAAATCCACTATATATATAATTAGTGTGTGTATATATATACACTGTATATGAATGGAGGTTTTCAATATGTTTTCGATCATCTGACGACATGATCGATTTTCCAGCCACGTTTGATGACAACGAAGGGTACATGCAATGCGCCCCAGAATTTGATATTGCGCTGGTGACTGAGGGAAGCAGGGCATAGCGTGGATGTCATCTTCAGTCCGAGTCCAAGATCACCTGTGGCCCACTTGGTCTATGTTTGTCTTGGTTTCTATATGGAGGCTTCCTAAAATGGGGGTACCCCAATAGCTGGATGGTTTATAATGGAAAATCCTATTAAAATGGATGATTTGGGGGTACCCCCCATTTTAGGAAACTTCCATATATGGTTCTATATACTGTCGCTGTTTATTAATGTCACTTTCAATGGGGTTATGAACCAATGAACCAACCCCTTTTTCGGGAACCCCTGAAACAACATAAACAACCAACCAGTTGGATCTAACCCAGTTTTCTGCGGACAGTCAGTAGAGTCATCATCATGGAGGTATCCTGTTTGCGAGCGAGGCGTCTTCAAGCAATTGTTGCCTTCTCCGAAAACAGGGTACCCCCCAACAGATTAGATTGATCGATGAATATCCATGATCATGTTCAGCAGATCAAAAGCAGCAGTAGGAAATCGTAGGTTGATCACATGCTTCCGGTTGCTTCACTTGGCTCCATGACAGCAAACAGCAAAAATTGTCACTTCAATAAAGGACAGCCAGAAGATCCCATGAAAAAATGCTATGTGTTTGCACTTTATTCCAAACTTTGGTGCATGTTGCCCATTTAGGTGTACTGTAATACGTGTGTATATATATATACATTTGTCATAGTTGTTTCCTTGAAATGTTGGTACATGTTTCCCATCCTGATATGAGTATTTTGAAGCTTTGGGCTCACCAGCGCTGTACTTTTTAAAAACTGGTCCGCCCTGTCAGCATCTGTCAGCCAAGGCTTTACCACTGTGGACAAGAAACCTGTAGAACTCAGAACTTTCACCGTCAGCTTCTATGACATGGACAGGCGATGCTCGTAAGGGTTTGTGGATGTTTATGGATAGATATGTACAGCAGATAGGCCTAAATAAAACCACCAGCAATCACCAATTTTCTGTGGTTTGTATGGTTTTGTTGGTGGGGTGGATTTTTGTTGGGGGTTCAGGGTTTAGGGTTTTATGATGTTTTATATATTTAGGTCTATCTGCTGTACAACCATCTATGGGGTCCAGGGGACCCTTCCAGTGTTTTTTTGTTCTCAGGCAGTGGGGGGTCTTGACCGTCTTGAACCGAAACGATGTGACGATGATACGCGCCATGTTCATGTCTCACCACAAATTCAATGTTTGTCCGGAATGAATATTTAGATATACCCTCTGGATCCCTCTGGTAAATAAACATAGACCCTGAAAATAGCCAATGTTTAATGGAAACTAGTCTTCCAACCCCGATGACTGCCAGGGTCTATGTTAATTTACCAGAGGGTAGATATATTATATATTTATAGGAACTTCCCTCAAATAATAAATGTGAACAAAAAGAATGTCCTAAGTTGTGACAACGTGTCCTAGATTCTCTATAATTTTGATAAGTTGTTTTCTTGCCAGGCACAAACAAAGAATCAGCCCCAGTTAATTCACCCCAGTTTGTCCCTGCCTTGCCAGGGACAAAAATCCCGGAGAAGGTGTGGAAATGGTGATCCCAAAGCAACCCTATACCATGGCACCTCGGCTCATCCGAAGATCTCGTCGTATGATTTTCTCTGTGTTTTTTGCGGGCCACATGGCAGAGTATGATAGAGTCATGTTTGCCCAATCACCCATTATCATTAATTATCATTAATATTCATGAATTATCATTAATGATTTTAAGTTCTGTTTGGACTAGTTTGCAGAGGTGTTTGATGTCCGTCAATCTAGGGACCGCTATGTGCAGAACAATTCATACCAAACAACAAATGTAATTCACTCCGACATGTTAGCAATTCTCACTTAGATGCATTGCTTTCCAATGTAAAATATATTTGCACACAACATTTTCCCAGTAAGGTAAGACTTGAAAGTTCCTCATGCGTGGTCTGAGGTCTATTTGAGCAACACCACCCAAGTCAAGAAGGCTGGGCCGGTGCTTTACTGAGTCCTTGCAGATGGTCTACTTTTACATGTAATATCTATATGTAGTCACATAATATTTATATATATATACACATGCAAATATATATATATAGATATATGGAATCAGTAGCTCTACACATATATATATATATATCATAGTAACATATTATATATATATGTGATATCATATATACATATATAGATAAGTATGCCAACATGATTCAACCGCCACGGCCGCGAGAGGTGCGTCAAGCGGATGGCACCGAAGTCTACGAAGGGACGCAGATGGGCATCTACGACGACAACCCGGTCAAGGCGGTGCTGATTTAAACGTTTAAAGCCAGAGATATCCAGAGATTTTTCAGGGATGTAATATCTCTATAGGGGGATAAACAATGGGGATATATTCCATAGCATAGATATTCCATATGTTTTCAGGGATATATAGATATTACATCCCAATAATAATATCTATACAGTGGCAAAAACAATGAGGATATTATTGGGAATATTATTGAATAATGGGTATATAAGTATGTATATGTATATTATATGATAGTGGGGAGTTTACAACCAAGTGGCATTTTTTTATGATGATCATGGGGGTATGAGACTGCAACATTTTTGCAGGGATGTAGTGGACATATTACCAACAAGATTAGATATGGGTGTGTTCAACAGATAAGAATGGTATTTTTTGTTTTACCAACACAGTGGATGATTTAGCCAAGAAAAACGGTGATATAGGTGAAAAGTTTGTTTTGTATGTATATATATATATATGTATATATAGTATATATATGTGTAAAAGCTTTCCAAACAAAGTCTGATTTTATTTGGGTGTGTCTGAAAATGGGGTATACCTCCAAATGGCATTTGTTTGATCAGGGAAATGATTGTTATTATTTAGCGGATGGAAAAGGGTTTTTCCCGTAACTTGTCTAGCTATTTCTTTGGGAAAATGGGCAGGGAATTTGAGATCGCCAAACAAAATAGAATCAGCATTCTGTGATTTGGGGATGACACATATACACGAGTGTACTCTAACAAAAAACGTGCATATCTTGTCATTTATCCGATAAAGAGCGTCGGAGTCTAAGTCAATAGGTTGTTTTGTCAGATGTTTGCATGTACACTTTCCGTGTAGGTAGTAACTTGGTGTCATTCTAATGAGAGATCGGTCGGACCAAAATGAACATTGATTATACAGGAGTCACACAAAACTTGCATTTTGCACATATTACCCCAACAATCCCCAACGCGCATGTTATATATATATATAATGTATGTATAGTTTTACACATAATATATATATAATATATATATATATAATATATATAATTATATTATATGTATATGTATATATATGTATTGACTAGTAACTTCATGACTGATTGTGTTTTGACCAAACAGTGTCCGCATTGAGACATTTGGCATGTGTGTTCGTTTCATTTTCCGTTGGGTGTCCACAGTGTTTGTGCAGGTGGTGCATGAGAAGCAAGTGGATGAAGATAGGCAGGGACTGGATTCGTCTGGGGTAAGGTGGATGCAAGATGTCACTTGGAAAGGAATGTTTGCTTTGGTATAACCTTACACAGTTATGGCCATTTATCAGTTATAAGTACTTATAACCCCATTTATAGAATGTATAATCCCATTTATAACCAGTTATAACTGGTTATAAATGGGATTACACATTCTATAAATGGGGTTATAAGTACTTATAACTGATAAATGGCCATAACTGTAGACCCCTACTAAGCCCTAAATTTAACACGGAACCCCTTTGCACACGTGGGGTTTGGAAGAGGATGTTCCTAGTGAATATGGCCATTTTGGGGCTTCCACGTTCAATGAGACTCTCGATGAACAGTTCCAAAACATCCCACGTGGGAAGGGATTAATCAATCGATGGGCTCAGATAAGAAGAACATTTGTTTGATGGTTTCAAACTGTATGGTTGCCCTTTGGTAAACTAGCATGGCTATGGAAAATCACCATTTCGAATAGGTAAATAAACTGCAACTGGCTATGTTCAATAGCTATGTTAAGTTGCCAGAGGGTATTAAAAAAAACTCTGATGCAAAGTGATATGAATTTGGATATCGCATGGGTTTCCCAGGTCTAGAATTGCTGACTGCTTAGATGAATGACTCAACAGCAACTGTTCACCACTGTTTTTTCTATTGTTCATCGCAAATGCACGTTCCGGTAATTTAACCTAGAATTGAATTTCACCATTTTCTGTAGGTAGATGATCTAGATTGAATTGCCAAAGTGTATTTGAAACTGGTTGTTGGTTGCTATTTCCATTTTTTCCCGAGTTTATACATGGCAATGCCAGGTGTGTGGCCTTTGAGTTCAAAAACGTGAAAGAGGCGCATAGCACTGGGGTGAGATGAGATGGGTGATTTGGTTTACAGAAGATGTAAAACTTGGGTCTAAGTGGAGGTGATGACACCAGTCACTTTTTTGCCTCACCATATTGATGATGATGATTCGCAATAGGGAGCAAAACAAAGCATACTTTGAATTCGGGTGAAACAGGGTGTTGCACCAGCAACCAGCAACAAAGCTGGGACCATCCAACTGCCACAAAAGCCCGGTGAAATCTTCGCTAAAAGACTTCATCATACTTCGCTAACCTCATCCAATTTGTTTAGCTATGATGTTTCATATTCATACTGATTCATACATGTATAAAATGTATAGATGTAGTAGTTTTTGACAGTTTTTTTGGATTACCATGATATCTATATATATAGTATGTATAAAAATAGTCACATCTAAATCTATACATATCGATATATGTATACAGTACATGTGGATATAAGTAACAGTTGCTATTGATATTGGATCATCTCCATCCCGGCAACATGGACCCGAAAAAAAACACCAGGTGCACATGCAGTTCAAGTCCACTCCGGGAAGCTCAGCACGGACCACACAATTCGCGTGCCTGAACTCCTTCGTTTGCAAAGTCTGGGTGGCTCAGGTTGTGCTGGAAATCCCAGAGGTGACCAAATTACCACAACAAAAGAGACTTCAGGCTGGAGGTTTGAATTACAACGTCAATGTCAAGCTTCTTTGCAAGTTGATACATGGCATGTTGATGAGACTTTCTGGACTTTGCGACCTGAAGTCGTGATCCACCCACAATTTGTAAGTGGGGTACGGATTGCATGCTCGCGACGGGGGTGTTCTGTGGTCATAACCATTTCAAACAAAACACACAATTCACTGCTCTTTCACATGCACATCTTGCAGACACACCACCAGATTCCCCCTCAGGGGTAAAAGTTGTTCGACCATAAAAGGCCGTTTCAATGGAAACTATCTGAAGGTTGCATGTACTGTATACATATATAAAATAATAATAATAATAATAATAAGCATAATAATAATAAAAATAATAATAATAATAATAATAATCATGATAATAATAATAACAAAAGTAACAATGAAATAATGTTTCCCTGTCGTTTGCCATTGTTTGTTCTTGGGCCCGCCTTCAATCCCTGAACTATCATAGCGATAGAAATGAGATGTAATGGGATGTATACTTAGAGTCTAGGGGACTATACAACTATCATAACCATAGGATATATATATATAAAGGGGCTACGCCCCCTGCCGCCGACCCCTGGTCTAGGGGCCTGGAACGTAAGAAGAAAGGTTTAGTGGTGACCTGTTCTTGTGTTGGAAATGTATGTGTGTATTTCTCTTCTGACCCAGCGATGTCCGAAGCGGATCTGCACGTGCTTTCTGGGGCCTTGGCCTTCGGGGGTACGGAGACCCTGGGCGCTGGTGCGTTCCGGGGGATCAGCAGATCAGCTTTGGAGGTCGCAGGGTTGGAAAGTGAGGAGGAGAACAACAACAGCAGCAGCAGCAACAACAAGAAGAAGAAGAAGAAGAACAACAACAACAACAACCACAACCACAACCACAACCATAAACCAAAACGAAAACCAAATCCAAAACTACAACAAGAAGAAAAAGATCAACAACAACAAGAACAAGGCCAAGAACAACAAACAACAGCAACAAGAAAAAGAAGAGGAGCAAGAACGACAAGAGCAAGAACAAGAACAAGAACAAGAACAACAACAGCAACAACAACAACAACAACCACAACAACAAGAACAACGACAACCACAACAACGGCAAGCACAAGCACAAGCACACCGACAACAACCACAAGGCGCCGCAAAACCACTTTTTCTCGGACGCGCTCCCCCTGCAGATGGCTGGGGTCGGCGGATATATATATATATATATATTAACCATATTAGCCACAGCACAGCAAGACAAACTTCCACGCGAGCAGAAGGTCCCAAAACGGACACTGCCCACTCATCGAACCAGCAGCTTGCTGTCGGGCCTGACACAGCACCGCCACGACTGCACATATACATCTGCCCGTACTGTGCCAAGTCTGTGCAAAGCCCTGTGGCAACAGGGCGCGTCGATCACCGCCGCGGTAATGGCTGCGGCAAACAATTTCGCGTTGCCAATGGCCTGCTCGCGCACATATTCGCATGCATGTCCAACATGCGGCACGGTGGTGCACTCAACACTGGCTTCCGGCCGAATTCGGGTAACGCATCGCAATCCCAGCGGCCGGCAGTGTCGCACCAACCAGTGGCGCGTGCATACCTGATGAAGTTTCCAGCTTAAGGTCGCCGCACCGCACGGCAATGCCCCACATTGCTTTCTGAACCTACAAGAAAAGTAGCCGTCTTCCAGCTTTCCAAGTTCAGAAACGGCGCCTCCGCCACGCCCAAACAGCAGGGCCCTGAAGGACGGACCGAGCCTCCGGGCAACGGCTCCCACTGCCTAACGTTGCTTTCTGAACCTACAAGAAAACTAGCTCTCTTCCAGCCGTCAAGGCTCACAAACGGCGCCCTCGCCACAGCAAAACAGCAGGGCCCTGAAGGACGGACCGAGCCTCCGGGCAACGGCTCCCAAACTAGCTCTCTTCCAGCCGTCAAGGCTCACAAACGGCGCCTCCGCCACGCCCAAACAGCAGGGCCCTGAAGGACGGACCGAGCCTCCGGGCAACGGCTCCCACTGCCTAACGTTGCTTTCTGAACCTACAAGAAAACTAGCTCTCTTCCAGCCGTCAAGGCTCACAAACGGCGCCCTCGCCACAGCAAAACAGCAGGGCCCTGAAGGACGGACCGAGCCTCCGGGCAACGGCTCCCAAACTAGCTCTCTTCCAGCCGTCAAGGCTCACAAACGGCGCCTCCGCCACAGCAAAACAGCAGGGCCCTGAAGGACGGACCGAGCCTCCGGGCAACGGCTCCCACTGCCTAACGTTGCTTTCTGAACCTACAAGAAAACTAGCTCTCTTCCAGCCGTCAAGGCTCACAAACGGCGCCCTCGCCACAGCAAAACAGCAGGGCCCTGAAGGACGGACCGAGCCTCCGGGCAACGGCTCCCAAACTAGCTCTCTTCCAGCCGTCAAGGCTCACAAACGGCGCCTCCGCCACGCCCAAACAGCAGGGCCCTGAAGGACGGACCGAGCCTCCGGGCAACGGCTCCCACTGCCTAACGTTGCTTTCTGAACCTACAAGAAAACTAGCTCTCTTCCAGCCGTCAAGGCTCACAAACGGCGCCCTCGCCACAGCAAAACAGCAGGGCCCTGAAGGACGGACCGAGCCTCCGGGCAACGGCTCCCAAACTAGCTCTCTTCCAGCCGTCAAGGCTCACAAACGGCGCCTCCGCCACGCCCAAACAGCAGGGCCCTGAAGGACGGACCGAGCCTCCGGGCAACGACTCCCACTGCCTAACGTTGCTTTCTGAACCGACAAGAAAACTAGCTCTCTTCCAGCCGTCAAGGCTCACAAACGGCGCCCTCGCCACAGCAAAACAGCAGGGCCCTGAAGGACGGACCGAGCATCGCAATCCCAGCGGCCGGCAGTGTCGCACCAACCAGTGGCGCGTGCATACCTGATGAAGTTTCCAGCTTCAGGTTGCCACACCGCACGGCAATGCCCCACATTGCTTTCTGAACCTACAAGAAAAGTAGCCGTCTTCCAGCTTTCCAAGCTCAGAAACGGCGCCTCCGCCACGCCCAAACAGCAGGGCCCTGAAGGACGGACCGAGCCTCCGGGCAACGGCTCCCACTGCCTAACGTTGCTTTCTGAACCTACAAGAAAACTAGCTCTCTTCCAGCCGTCAAGGCTCACAAACGGCGCCTCGCCACAGCAAAACAGCAGGGCCCTGAAGGACGGACCGAGCCTCCGGGCAACGGCTCCCAAACTAGCTCTCTTCCAGCCGTCAAGGCTCACAAACAGCGCCTCCGCCACGCCCAAACAGCAGGGCCCTGAAGGACGGACCGAGCCTCCGGGCAACGGCTCCCAGTGCCTAACGTTGCTTTCTGAACCGACAAGAAAACTAGCTCTGTTCCAGCCGTCAAGGCTCACAAACGGCGCCCTCGCCACAGCAAAACAGCAGCGCCCTGAAGGACGGACCGAGCCTCCGGGCAACGGCTCCCAAACTAGCTCTCTTCCAGCCGTCAAGGCTCACAAACGGCGCCCTCGCCACAGCAAAACAGCAGGGCCCTGAAGGACGGACCGAGCCTCCGGGCAACAGCCCCCAGTGCCTAACGTTGCTTTCTCAACCTACAAGAAAACTAGCTCTCTGAGCTGTCTTCCAGCCGCCTGCCTAACGTTGCTTTCTGACTCGACAAGAAAACTAGCTCTCTGACCTGTCTTCCAGCCGCCTGCCTACCGTTGCTTTCTGAATCGACAAGAAAACTAGCTCTCTGACCTGTCTTCCAGCCGCTTGTTGCTTCCTGGCTTCTTGTTTCTTGCTTCTCTGACCTGTCTTCCAGCCGCTTGTTGCTTCCTGGCTTCTTGTTTCTTGCTTCTTGCCGCTTGTTGCCTGTAATTGCTTCTTGCTTCTTGCTTCTTCTTTCTTGTTTTCTTGCTTCTTGCCCTTGCTGTTTGTAATGACTTCTCTGACCTGTCTTCCAGCCGCTTGTTGCTTCCTGGCTTCTTGTTTCTTGCTTCTTGCCGCTTGTTGCCTGTAATTGCTTCTTGCTTCTTGCTTCTTCTTTCATGTGTTCTTGCTTCTTGCCCTTGCTGCTTGTAATGACTTCTTGGCCCTTGCTGCTGGTAATTCCTCCTCTGACGCGCTCTTCCTGCTGTCGGCAGGGGTCGGCGGATATATATATATATGTTTTTTTACAGCTTAAGATTTTGGGGAATATCATCCTTAGCCCATTTTCCCCAGCCCGCGGGCCCGTTGCGTAGCTGCTTGCTGTGCTCGCTAGCTTTACCGGCTCAGGTGCGACCTGACAGTCAAACTGCCTGGCACAAGGACTGCCTGTCCCTTTGGGATCTTGAGATCCTGGAGGTTCAGTCTGACATGCAGGTTACCCCCTGGTAAACGTTTACATAACTATGGAAAATCACCATTTTTAATGGGTAAATCCACTATAAATGGCAATTTTCAATAGCTATGTTAGTTTACCAGAGGGTAAAAGAAAAGAAAGACACAATTTCCGTCAAAATGATGGTGATGGTGATATTCTACATTCATTGAAGATCTTCAATAAGGGTTTAATTCTCCCATCCGGGTTAAACTTCTATATTCGTTGAAGATCTTCATTGATGATGGTGATGGTGATGGTGATCATGATTTTGATGATGACGATGACGATGACGATAGTGGCAATATAGCGAAAACACATATTGACAATTATCAATCTGGCAGTGATGATCGTCTTCATACCTTCCCCATCGTCAAGCTCACGTCGTCAGGACAACAATGGGGAAGTGGAGGTTGGGCCGCAAGATTCTGACAAGGTGCGGCCAACATAGGACCGAGGTGTTTTGAACATTGTTTCTCTGGAGATTGCCACAACTTGAGATACAAAATACAAACACCATTTTCTGGATTGGGAACCAGTTTGCCAGGCAAGTAAACATCACATACATGTTTGATGATTTTATTCGGTTGTTTACATGATCATTATCTTGTATATAGTGTGCTGTCAGTGGCAATACCGTAGCTGGTTGGTGATATTTTATTCGACATCCATACTGATATCATACTTAAGTACATAATAATATGTATATATATATATATAGTCTATACATATATATATACCATAGTTTGTTTTGTGTTCACCCATGTTTGCCCAGCTTTGGAAGTAGCCCATGGACGGTATGCAATATGTTCCGATCCGAATGGGCATGGAACTATCGGAAGGGTCTGTTTGCCAAGGCGCCCATTCGCGCACGCACGGATCTACTCTTTGAGTACACCTTCCCCAAGCACTTGTACCTTGGCTGCCGGTGACATGGTGAAAACTGATGTATTTTTTTCTTGATTCTATAGCCATATTCAGGGATGGCCATCAATCCATATCAATCCCTTAATACAAATAGGTATATCATGGTATATCCCATTCTTATATATGATTATCGGTATAGAATATCCACCCATCATATTTCGAGTAGTTGGCGCCACCCATTGCGGGATGGAGGACCATAACCCGTGTACCATGTTCTGACCCTATAGAACAGATGGTGACATTCTCATTGTGGAAATGAATTAAGCCTGCCAGTGGATGTTGATGCCTGAAAGTGGTGTGTAATGGTTGGTCAGCATCCCTCACCTTCCAGTTACCTGTCAGATAGGCACTGAACCTCCGTTCAACTCGTCTCAGACGTAAATGGAAGGTTCAAAACCGGTCATATCTGAGATATGTAACGCCAAGATACGCCAAGGTAACTTCCCACTGAAAACAGTAGGAAGTGCCAGTGAACGAATCCCATTCTGACAGCCTGACTTGGGCTTGAATTACATCCTCACAATGGCCTTGAAATACCATTCTTAGGCCATTATTGTGACATATATTCTCGGATTTATCGTTACATTTCCATTGTTTGGATAGCCCCCCGAATAACCCAACTATCATATTGTTGTTCGTGTAAATATATATATATATAGACAGAGAGAGAGAGAGAGAGAGACGATGCGGTGAAATAGTCAGACAGAAAGTTTTGAAGCAGTCTTTGCCATGGAACAATCATTTATAATTATATATTATATTGTATCCCAAATTTATTGAAACATCCATGTGCAGAAACCTGCCCCCCATGAGCGCCCCTTCTGGTATCCCATGTATCCAACTGAGGTTTCTGGGAGACGACCTCACTTTCAAAGCCACGCGTGTGGATGGACAGCGGCCATGGGATTGGGTTTGTTATTGGATAGATTAGCAAAGATAGATAGATTAGATTTGATTAGATTAGATTAAATTAGATAGATAGATTAGATTAGATTGGATTAGGTTAGATTAGATTAGATAGATAGATGGATAGATAGATAGATGGATGGATAGATAGATAGATAGATAGATAGAACGAACACTAGATAGATAGATAGATAGATAGATAGATCGATAGATAGACAGACAGACAGACAGATAGATAGGCAGATAGGCAGATAGGCAGATAGGCAGATAGGCAGATAGGCAGATAGGCAGATAGGCAGATAGACAGATAGACAGATAGACAGATAATGATAGATACATAGATGAATCATCCATATAGGAGTCTCTTTTAGTATATTAATTTGAGCATCAGATCTGTGTTCAGCATTTGGTCCTTTGTAGAGTATGGGAGGTTCTCACACCTGGCCAAGGTGATGGCCCCCAGACATTCTGATGTATTGCGTTTCGATCCATGGTTTTCAATGAAACCCACACTTTAAACCATATGTCCAGTGTGAAAGTCGGGTTGAAACATATCTTTGTTAAATCTGAAGTGCAGAATCAATGGTTTCTGGCACTTTCCACTTCAACTTTTGTTACCTTCAATCCATTCCCATTCTGCTGTTGGCTGTGGTCATTGAGACGGTCGGTCAGGACGGCCGCTGCCAAGCTGGTTGAATTTCAACCAAAAGACGTTGACGCTTTCGGGCACGCCTTCGTTGCATGATCGCGGCATCCTGAACATCAAGGCTGGTTTGGTTCAACACACCACTTCCAAAGTTTCGGGGATGCGTTGGTTTTACGACAGTGGTCATCCCGGCAGTTCAAAGTTTCTGTTGGGATAAGGGATAGAAAGAAGCGCCGAAAATGACGAAGCTTTGGGAAGACTACCAGTCTGATAGGGATCCAGAGATTTCATGAACTACCAGATACATGTACTTTGACCCGCCCATGGCCACGAAAGTTGAAGATGATATAATTCGCAAGGAGCGGTTTGGTTGCTCGGGTCATGGATTTTTCCGGGAGCTAAGTTGATTTGATCTGAAAATAGGGCGCCCCAAAGATCAGGTCCGCAGCGAAGACCCTGCAGGGGTGGAGGCACTTGCGGTTGACGTGGGAAGGGCTGGGAATGACTGGGTGGGCACAGGTTCCAACAGTAGGGAATATTTACCACCAAATTCACCAAATATGGGTATATAATGATATAATGGGTTTAGATAATACCCTCTGGTAATCAAACATCGCACTGGAAAATCACTTGTAAACGGAATTGTTATTGGGAAAATCACTACTTTAGTGTCCATCGCCAAGTTTGATTCCCAGAGGATGTATATATGCATATATATCTACTGTGGGGCCAGATATTGCAATCCAACTACCCTCTGGTAAACTAACATAACTATGGAAAATCACAATTTTTAATGGGAAAATCCACTATAAATGGCCATTTTCAATAGCTATGTTTGACATAACCAGAGGGTAAACCCCACAGGATATTCCAATGGATGGCCTTAACCCTTCGAGATCCGATGGCAGGCGAGCACCACCTTAACGTTGGACATCGGCGGTGGTCCAGCTCTCACCAAGTTGCGGCCCAGGAAAATGGGACAGGTCTTGCTGGGGTTTTGATGGTGAGTTCACCCAAAATGGTGATTTTTGGTTGGTGATTTGTGTTGGTGATTTTGGGTTGGTGATTTGTGTTGGTGATTTGTAGTTGATTTATAGTTGATCGATGTAATTAAGTTGGTTTATAGTTTTGATAATTAAACCACCAAAAATATCCAAAAATAACATGACTGGTGGCCTGTCTCTTGGGAAAAAAAATCATTTGACTTTCAGGGGCAGGTACCTGCAATATGTCTATGTAAGGTCCATGTAAGGGATATATACTCCCAAAATGGTTCTGTACCTGCAGTTGCTACCTGTAACGGCAATTGAACATGGACTTGACTGAGAATTTGGACCTTGAAGATAGGCTTCTGCTGGTTTGAAACTACATTGATTTTCAGTAGGATCCGTGGTGGATGAACCAACAATGGTGGGGATCCAAGGGAATATACCAACAATATGGGCATGTATGGTTGTGTCTGAAAATTTGCGATTTACCTCCATATCATTGCCATGTCAAAATGGTGAAAATCATGATCATCAGCTAGTGCATTGTGAGGAACATCATATTTAGACATGGCCCCTGCAGGCATGAATGGGAGCACAAACTACAACATAGAATTTGCCTACAGCAATGGTGTTTCAAGTATATATATATTATATATATAATCCAAACAGGGTCATTGACAACTATAATGCAACACTTAAGTGCGGTTATCAGTTCAGTTGGAGATCCGTGGGCTCCAAGTGCAAAGATTTGAAGATTCGGATTTGATTTACGACGTATTTTCAGAAGTTGTTAGCAAGTATGATTATCATGATACAAATCCCTTTCCATACTAAACACATCTAAACACCCCCTAGAAACCATATATACATACAATATCATACAATTATATTTACACTTGATTGAAACCGTTGATGGTGCGTTTAATAGGGGAATGGGATTGACACCATGTGTTGCTTCCAAGGCCTATCCCTACGCAACGTGTGAAGCCCGGCGCGAACTTTGTGTACACCTTGCCCAAGGCGGGTGGAAACACCAATTGGGTTCCGACCACCTTGGATACAATAGTCATTGGATTGGTTTCAGGGAAAATTTTATCCGGAAACCTCCATATTTAGCGGTAAAAAAACATGGTTTCCAGTAGATTTTCCCTTATACCAATCCGATAATAGGGGATGTGTAGTGCATTATGTTGAAGTATTGTGGTTAGTGAACTGGAAAATTGGCTATGCAAACTGAATCAAACACAATCAAACTATATCAATTGATGGAACGGAATACAGATTGTCATCGCAGAACTTGGATTTTTGCTGGATGCAAAGAAATCGTAGATCTGCATTTGCTGCATGCGGTCGACCCATTTTCTTGCCGTCCATTTGCTGGATGTGAAAGCTTTTGAGCCATTCCCATGGTGCGTAGCTAATCCATGTAGGTCCTACATGATGAACCATGAATCAACAAACTTAGCTAGTCATCATATGTGGAGAATGAACATCAATTTATCAATACAAACTACTGTTAGAACGTAGAGCCGTTGAAGGTTCATAGTTTGTCAAAGTTGCACAAAGCGGACTGTTGCCGTTGTGTCACTGGTTGCAGGGCATGTTCATCGACACCATGGACGGAGAGAAGTTGGTTTTCAAGGCCTCGGGCAAGGTGCGATGGCAGGGTGGTTCATGGTTTCCGGTGAGGTTGTTTTCCTGAAAACAAAGCCTTTAAGCAATGTAAGAACTCTTCTATAGTATGTATCAATATATATATGTATATATATATATGTATATACATAATATGTACATACAATTAATAAGAAAAATATTTCATGTTCGTGGAAATTCCATCGTTTGTTTTATCCTTACAGAAACGCCAGGGGGGCGCGGCGCTTCCCAAGTGGCTGCACTTCGATGAGGAATTGGCTGGGAGGAATCGGTTGGGAGACACGTTCACCTCCGGTATCAAGCTTTTGGAATCATATACACACAGCCCTCTGGTAAACGTTTACATAACTATGGAAAATCACCATTGTTAATGCGTAAATCCACTATAAATGGCCATTTTCAATAGCTATTTTAGTTGACCAGAGGGTAATACGAAATGTATTAATGGAACTGTATGGAACTCTATGGAAGTTAAGTATGGATATAGTTCCATATAGAAGTATGATGTATATGGACCTAAAATATGTATATATATATACATATATGGAACTATATGGAATCCTATGGATATAGTTCCAATTAGTTCCACATAGTTCCCATCATTGTATGGTCCCAAATATCTGTAAATAATGGTTTCTACGCATTGTATGGTTTCATGGTGTTTCTTTTAAGCGGCAAACATGAATAAGTTTTGTCTGTTGTTATTGTAGTTGATGTGTGTTGATGTTGTTCCCAAGCCTTTTCTTGGTAGGCATTTCCCAAAAAAAACATATTTGATTCTTATACTTATATAGAATTTTATAGAATCATGCGTCCAATTGTTGAGTCAGAACTCCTTTTGGTTCCTTTTGTGTGTCATGTTCAACATGTTCCCTCTAAAGAATCTAAATAGATTTGCTTGAACATATGGTAGCCCCCAAACCCCATCACTGCAATGAATATCGCGCATCTTCGGGTTATCAAATCCCATGTTTTCCGCATGTTTCCATATTTGTTTCCCATGTTTGCTGGTTGATCAACTTTTTTTTTTCGGATGTGATCACCCGGCCAGTCTCACGGGCGTTTCTATGGCCTGCCGCCCCAAGATGCTCACGGTGTCTTGGAGGCGCCGATTGACGTCGCTGATGGCGGCAGGGAAGACTTTTTTATGAACCTCCCAACAATGGATGTTGATGGCAAGGATTTATGTAGACTGTCGTTTTCCTGTGTGTTAGAGCACTTTGAGGGTCAAGGTATATATATTATATATTATATCCCCCATGTATAGCTCACTATAAAGTGGACATCCTTTGCGCTTATAAAGTGGGTTTCCGGTCGCCACTTTATATACCGACAATGGGGGATAAAGCCGTGTTTTGCGCGAGAAACATGCCCTTGGACCTGGAAGATGACTTTATAGCAACGTTGGCTTTCCAGTTTATACCCGGCTGGTTCCCCACAAGGAAACGACTCAATATATGCGGCAATGCATTTTATAGACCGTTGGTTCCCTTCAAAGAATGGCCATAATATGTCACACCATCCACTTTATAGAAACATGTCTCCCCAATGATTTCGGGCCAATATCTTTCTGTTGGGGCTGTATACATGGCAAAGCACTTTATAGAGTGAAACTTGCCCTGAAACTTGCCCTTTAAGAAGAAGAATTTGTGCTGCATCCAGGGCACTTTATAGAAAGAAAATTGCGGCAGAGCATTTTATAGAGTCATGAGATACATCATCCAAATCACTTTATAGAGCTGCCCAGGACCCCATTCACCCTGAGGACCCCTTTCAAGGGAAATCTTCTTCTCTATAAAGTGGCCAGTCCAGGTAAAACCCCTGAAAAAACAAAATCTATGTTGGGCTGGCCACTTTATACCCCCTCCCCAAACAGAGAATGCCTCTATAAAGTGCCCAGTCCAGGTAAAACCCCTGAAAAAACACATTTTTACCTGGAATGGCCACTTTATACCCCCTCCCCCAACAGAGAATGCCTCTATAAAGTGGCCAGTCCAGGTAAAACCCCTGAAAAAACAGAATCTATGTTGGACTGGCCACTTTATACCCCCTCCCCCAACAGAGAATGCCTCTATAAAGTGGCCAGTCCAGGTAAAACACCTGAAAAAACAGAATCTATGTTGGACTGGCCACTTTATACCCCCTCCCCCAACAGAGAATGCCTCTATAAAGTGGCCAGTCCAGGTAAAACCCTGAAAAAACAGAATCTATGTTGGACTGGCCACTTTATACCCCCTCCCCCAACAGAGCATGCCTCTATAAAGTGGCCAGTCGAGGTAAAACCCTGAAAAAACAGAATCTATGTTGGACTGGCCACTTTATACCCCCTCCCCCAACAGAGAATGCCTCTATAAAGTGGCCAGTCCAAGTAAAACCCCTGAAAAAACAGAATCTATGTTGGACTGGCCACTTTATACCCCCTCCCCCAACAGAGAATGCCTCTATAAAGTGGCCAGTCCAAGTAAAACCCTTGAAAAAACAGAATCTATGTTGGACTGGCCACTATACCCCCTCCCCCAACAGAGAATGCCTCTATAAAGTGGCCAGTCCAGGTAAAACCCCTGAAAAAACACATTTTTACCTGGAATGGCCACTTTATACCCCAGCCAGTGGGCTCCAGGACTTTGACCCGGAAACGGAAGGACTGACAACAAGGTAAAGGGGGAAAACTACAACGGAGAGGTACAACGGGAAGGCTACCACAAGAAAATGAGACATGTCACGTTTATATACGTTTATTGTTTTCAATGTGTCATATAGATTGGCGATGATTGGTATATTGAATATGTTGTAGATGTATTTGGAACATATGTATACCTATGATTCACACATCAATATAAATATATATATAAATCATAAACACATGCCAAACCAAAAACTTTTAGCTGAGTATTGTATTCCCAATCTGTTGGCAAATGTCCAGCCGATTCACCATGCGTGACCCAACAAGATTCAAACTATGGATTGTTTACTTTTGAAAAAAATACTGGGTGAATCTACGTATATCTATGACGACAATCTCCCAAAATCATCCTAAAAATCTATGGACATCTATGGACCAAAACCACGGCCACATGCCCATCCTCTATAAAATGGTTTGCAAGAAAGTTCAGCTCTATAAAGTGGCTTGATCACGTCATTTCTGGCAGCCCCACCCTCTGTATAAACTGGCCGGTCCATGCCCATCCTCTATAAAATTGTTTGCAAGAACCAGTAAAAAAATATTTTCGAAAGTAAACAATCCATAGTTTGAATCTTGTTGTGTCACGCATGGTGAATCGGCTGGACATTTGCCAACAGATTGGGAATACAATACTCAGCTAAAAGTTTTTGGTTTGGCATGTGTTTATGATTTATAATTTATCTATATATTTATATTGATGTGTGAATCATAGGTATACATATGTTCCAAAATACATCTACAACATATTCAATATACCAATCATCGCCAATCTATATGACACATTGAAAACAATAAACGTATATAAACGTGACATGTCTCATTTTCTTGTGGTAGCCTTCCCGTTGTACCTCTCCGTTGTAGTTTTCCCCCTTTACCTTGTTGTCAGTCCTTCCGTTTCCGGGTCAAAGTCCTGGAGCACACTGGCTGGGGTATAAAGTGGCCATTCCAAGTAAAAATGTGTTTTTCAGGGGTTTTACCTGGACTGGCCACTTTATAGAGGCATTCTCTGTTGGGGGAGGGGGTATAAAGCGGCCAGTCCAACATAGATTCTGTTTTTTCAGGGGTTTTACCTGGACTGGCCACTTTATAGAGGCATTCTCTGTTGGGGGAGGGGTATAAAGTGGCATGTCCAACATAGATTCTGTTTTTTCAGGGGTTTTACCTGGACTGGCCACTTTATAGAGGCATTCTCTGTTGGGGGAGGGGGTATAAAGTGGCCAGTCCAACATAGATTCTGTTTTTTTAGGGGTTTTACCTGGACTGGCCACTTTATAGAGGCATTCTCTGTTGGGGGAGGGGGTATAAAGTGGCCATTCCAACATAGATTCTGTTTTTTCAGGGGTTTTACCTGGACTGGCCACTTTATAGAGGCATTCTCTGTTGGGGGAGGGGGTATAAAGTGGCCAGTCCAACATAGATTCTGTTTTTTCAGGGGTTTTACCTGGACTGGCCACTTTATAGAGAAGAAGATTTCCCTTGAAAGGGGTCCTCAGGGTGAATGGGGTCCTGGGCGCGCCGCGCGCGCGCCAAAAAGGTCTCAAAATTGGAGCCATTTTGGCGCGCGCGCGCGCGCGGCGCGACCAGGACCCCTTTCACCCCAAGGACCCCTTGTGTTAGAGGCATTCTCTGTTGGGGGAGGGGGTATAAAGTGGCCAGTCCAACATAGATTTTGTTTTACCATAGATTCTGTTAACGACTTCGATATAGATATTTGTCTGGCTGTTGGTTTCGTTCGGTTTCGAAGTCATTCGAAGTCTTTTGGGTTCGCCATCGATGAGATCGATGATATTCCCCCAAGGTTTGAACGTGGCCCCTCAACTTTATAGACAATCATGTCGATGCTGCCATCGTCGCGATTAAGAAAATCATCGCTACTACAACGATCGTTGTTTAGCCGGAAATCCACATTATAGTGCCACTGTTCTGCACAAGTATTACTATCTGGATGTTCGGCATCTCACTTTATAGTCATGGGACATGTTCACAAGTACCCTCAAAAACCTGCATCGAGTTTTATGTTTTTACGCGGCCAGGCGACTTTATACAAACGTTGGATTTTGACTTTATAGACAAAACATGTTGGCTTTCCACTTTATAGACTCCAGACATGTGGCCATTCCAGTTTATACCAGGCTATTCTCTATAAAGTCGGCCGCAAAGCATCTAGCGGGCTATACATGGGGGATTATATTATTATTATTACTATTATTATTATTACTATTATATTATATTATATTATATTATTATATTTTATTATATTGAAATTATTATACTATTATTTAGTATGCTATATTATATTATATTCTATTCTATTATATTATATTATATGCGGTGCGTTTACCACTTTCCATGGCATTGGCTTGCAAAAGCCATCCTCAGTTCTGACCCGGCCGTTCATACAATGCGGCCTCCCCAGTTATAAGTTGGTTTATAAACCTTTAGAAATATCTACCACAAAGCACAGCAAAGCTAGTTATCAACCAACTTGCCTATTTTATCCAATCTTGCAGTTCCAACATTGTACCTCGTTTTGGCCCTGCCACATCTCCAGTCGTAGCTTCAGCGTTTTTCAAAGGTGTGGCTCACGGCCATTGATTCCCAACATTTCTCCGTCACCGACAAGTTCGACATGATCATCGGCCCGGTGGCGAAGAGCTGGGGCGTAGCCTTCCTGGTTGGTGGTTTGGAACATGAATTTTATGATTTTCCATTCAGTTGGGAATGTCATCATGCCAACTGACGAACTCAGATTTTTCAGAGGGGTTGAAACCACCAACCAGTTTTTTTGTTGACTGAGAGTAAGTCGAGTACGTGCGTATTGTTTTTAGGCTTATGAATGATTGATTTCTAATAAAATGCACCTGGCATGTCAAGGTAGAAGCACTTCCAGAATTCAAAGATAATTCCTAGACCCGTCTTGATAAAACGTGATTACACAAAATTTTAGACGTCTTGAATGATTTGGTTATTGAAATTGTCGTGAGTCATTGTTTGTCCTATTTCTGCACTCCTTCTGCACACCTCTTCACATGACAAAACGGCGATGGACTTTGCTCTGCTGCCCACTCTGTGATCAGATTGTCCTCTATCTCCACTGTACCATGAATTTCTCGGCATGGGTTTCAGCAAACATGTTAGACAGATTTGGATCATAAAAACACATTGTTTCGTCTACTTGTTTCCTTATGTTTCCTTACCATCAAAACAGACATGCTATCTGATGGTGATGAAGAGGCATGTGGTGACAGTTTTTTGACCCAGATATGACTCAGAATCATTGAGCCCCAGATATTGGACACAACTTATTAGAAAGAACATGGTGATTGATACCCTGTTGTAAATGTTTACATAACTATGGAAAATCAACATTTGTTCTATGGGAAAACTCACTATAAATGGCCATGTTCAATAGCTATGTTAAATTACCAGAGGGTATCTCTAACTCCTTGAATGCCCCCATGTTGGATGTCCCCGGCCAAAGTCCTGCAGCGAAGTGAAAACGCGCAAGGGGCGTTTTTGGGGAACGAACTCATTTAACAAAAAGACATAGAAAGATGGGTGGGTCTTAAAATGAGAGATCCCCAAGTCACCATGGTTCTTTCAATACTAAGTTCGGGTCTGATGAATTGGATGATAACTGGTGGTACCCCCATGACTTCGGAATCCTGGTCAGTTAAACACAACTAAGTTGATGAAGTGGCAGACTTGCTTAAGTTGATGTGCGCGAGTTTCAAAGTCTTCAAGATTTCGTGGTTTGAGGTTTAATAATCCAGAAATTGGCTCATTTGGTTTCCCTTAAGATATCTTATTACAACATCCCCAACCTTGGATAGGTAGTTTAATTAATCCTTTTTGTTGCCGTACTATAAATGACAAATAACCATAACCAGCCATTTTTCTTGTGGACTACCAAAGATTGACCATGATAAGAATTCAAAGATTCACCTATTTCAAGCTCTGATGGCTAGGCTGCCTGGGCCATGGCGCATGGAATCGGTGATTTCGCGAGGTTCAGATCACACAGTACTTCTCCGAAGTGATGGCCAAGCAGTTGCCTGCGGGAAGAACCTGAATGGACAATGCAACATTCCACCTCTGAATGCAGGGATCGAATACACCCAGGTTTCTGCAGGAGAACTGCATACAGTGCTTCTTCGAAGTGATGGCAGTGCTGTTGCCTGCGGGAAGAATGCTGATGGGCAATGTGACATTCCACCTTTGGACGAAGACATGAGATACACACAAGTTTCAGCTGGCAGGTTTCATACAGCCCTTCTCCAAAATGATGGGTGTGTTGTGGCTTGCGGATGCAATGATGATGGACAGTGCGACATTCCATCATTGGATGAGGGTTTGTCATACACCCAACTCTCTGCAGGTGGATTTCATACCGTGCTTCTCAGAAGTGATGGTTGTGCTGTTGTTTGTGGAAGTCATGATAGTGGACAATGCGACATTCCGCCTTTGTTTCAAGGCATCTCATACATCCAGGTGTCTGCTGGTCGATTTCATACAGTGCTTCTCCAAAGTGATGGCCGCGCTGTTGCCTGCGGATGCAATGATGATGGTGATGGACAGTGTAACATTCCACCTTTAGATCGCGAAATGTCATACACACAAGTGTCAGCTGGCAGGTATCATATAGTTCTTCTCCGAAACGATGGCCATGTTGTTGCGTGTGGAGATAATTATTTGGGACAGTGCGACATTCCACCCTTGGATGAGGGGATGGCATACATCCAGGTGTCTGCTGGTGGATGCCATACAGTGCTTCTACGAAGTGATGGGACGTGTGTGGCCCGCGGATGTAATCAGTTTGACCAGTGCAACATTCCATCTCCAAAGACGTGGGGTGAGTGGGTGGGTTTCACAACTGCAAGCCGTCGATATATGTGCAATGCCAATCTGATGCCAGTTTGCATGAACCATGTTTTGCAACTCAGCTTTGCTTTTCAAGATGATGCTGTCATCCTGATATTCTCAAGTCTGTCAGGAAACGAAGTGCTCCGCCTGAATGCTCATAGGTTTGATCTGGCCCATGAAATCTGTCAGCGCATTGCACGTGAATTGAATGTCGAGCTACTGAGTCTTAGAGTGGTCTTGCCCAATGGACACTTGGTGGCATCAGCCTGCAGTGCAAATCCAAGGGCCACGATAGCGAGCTTGAGTCAACATGGTGGTAAGTAGATGTTTGCACAGCTCATTAAGCGTTTCACATCATCCAGACATTGTTTTACCAAGTTTGGCTTGAAGCCAGAGATGCAACAAGCAGTGTTTTTTGTGCAGTGTCGCCAGCTGGGCCCAAAGTGGCACCGCCAAGGTACGAGACCTTGTGTGTTGCAAAGGGCAAAACAATGGAAAAGTATGGACAAGTCCAGTTAGATTGAATCTACCTGTTATGTCGAACATAGCTATTTTTAAATGGCCGTGTCGAAATAGTGGATTTACCCATTCAACATGGTGGTGATTTTCCATAGTTATGTTAGACATAACCAGAGGCTAGATCAATGTTTTGGACTGTGGCAACACGCATCGTCCCCGTTCGGTTTGTTCATGACCACGATGGGGTGATCGGAGCGAGAAATGCCAAGATTGATGGTTAGCTGTGGCGTGACCAGTCATTCACTTGGGTATCTTGGGTTGTAACGTGTTGACTAGGGTATGTAGAATGGTGATGGTTAATCATCATGTTCCCCAGTTTCAGTCAGACCTAGTGACCTAGTTCTCTCACTTCCATCATCCAGACTTGGGGGTGCAGTTCCATTTGCTTCCACGTAGTGGGCCGCTGGCCACCACCGTCCCATCCCCCCTAGTGGGCCCAGTGAGGTCATGGAAGTGGCAAGTTGAAGTATGGCGCAGGTAGTGCTGCGTACAACGATCATGGGGAACAGAGATGAATAGACGGCGTTTCTGAAATTAAACGACTTTTTTGTTGACCGGGAAAATGCAGGGCATTTCCGAAAAAAAAACATATTTTGTTTGACTTTTTTTGTTTTTTTTAAGGTCGCTATCGTTTGGGGGACGGACCGCCACCATCAAAGCATGGCGAAAGAAATGGGGATTGAGTCAGGGAATGTCCCAAGGCGCCAGGTGCATGAAACACACCACTTGGGATAGCGCAGTAATACATGGGTTACTATGGGTTACTGACAAGTACTAGCAATTACAAGCCACTTCGTAGTTGGGATGTGCATGCATCTCATATGTTTTTTTTTTTTTTGTATGCTACTTCGACTGAGGCAATGCTCATTGAAATTCTACTACGAGTCGCCTTAGTGCGGCCTATAGCCAGATCTAGATGGAAAAGCCACAGATTTTGCAATTGTTTGTTGGTTGTAAAGTTATAAATATAGTTTTAACCAACGGAACCATCATAGTCTCATAGTTTATGGATTGCACCGACAGACTTTGGTATAGCCATCATGAACTAACTGTGACGACCCCATCTTAGAGTACTTACTAGAATCTCCATTTTTTCAAAAGGCATGACAGTAGAATTACATAACATCATATAACCACAGACTAAAGCCATCCATAAAAAGCACTTTAACTACATATATATATATATATACATAGCTAATTACTCTAACCATCAGAAAAAGAACAAAAACACGTTTAACATATTCAACATAGTTTGATAAAAATTGCTATAACCACTATAACCAATTACATATAGATGATTTCCATCCACTTGCCACGTGAACACCCAGCCGCAAGCTGATAACGCTCCGCTCCGCAGATAACGCACCGCCGTTGGTGGCGAAACATTTGCGCAAACAGCGCATTGCAGCGGGACAGGCGTTCAGATACCAGGCCTTTGGCTGGGAATGGTGCAGTTTCATGCCTGGGATACTTGGAGTATATATCACATTTATATAGGGATTATATAGGGACATATATCATATATATATATACTGTACAGACATAATATAGGGATATAATATGGTGGGCCTTTAATAATGATATCACCATACGATAGATGGAGGTTTCCAAATTCATCGCGACCTCACTAGGATGATGGTTGTCCGCACATGGATGGAATATATGGAATCTTAAACCAACGCAACAGGGAGATGTAGCAAAAAAAAATGGTGGCATAATGGGGAATCAAGTTGGTATTCAGTACAAACGTGGTGGACCAATAGCTGTATGGGATAGTTGGCCCATAGAAACAGATGATTCATGATGTTTTACCAGACTTACGAATGGTGTAGCAAACCGTTAAATAACCAGAGGGTATAGAACCAGGATTTCAGAACATGGAGATAAACCAACAAACATACACCAATTCTGCACTAAGGTTTTGTTCCATAGTCAGATTGTGAAGACCAATTCAACAGGAAGGACGTTTGACCAAACAAAATGGAGTCCTCAATGACATGATGAAATCAGGACAAATCGAATAAACCACCATAAACCTACATGGGAGGTTCCTAATTCATGGGGGTACCCCGAGTTATCATCCATTTATAGATGGATTTCCATGAAATAAAGCTACATTACACGGATTTTCCATCAAATAAACCATTGATGTCCATAATCCTACAAGGTGGTGCCCCCCCAGTTATAAGTTGGTTTATAAACCATAGGAATAGTATAGATATTCCTACCATAAACCATAGTGAAATTGAAATTATGTGCACCAACTTAGCTAACGAACTGGGGCACCACCTTGTACCATCAGGAAACGATGGTTTGAGTTCACCGAGGCGGTCAACAAAAGAAAGTTTCAGAAACAGAAACGGTTGAAGGAACATGAAGAAAACACTGGGATATATATATATATATATGTACATATATATATATATATATGTACATGTGCAGTGATTTTTGATTTACCTTATCCTTTTGTAATATAACGTGTTTATATTAAACAATGTTAGAATTATATATATATATACATCTATTCATCTAGCCCAATTTTGAAATTTGCTGAAGAAAACCTATCTGATCTATTTGTTTTGATCTTCTACCCAGTGATGTTCCAAACGGACATCACACCCCAGAAAGCCCGATCCTTCAGGTACCATCGAACATCTTTGTGGATTCGGAATCTTGCCGCTGATCCGGGGGCCAATTTGTTGTTCATTGGCATGGGATTGTTCTCCATTAGTACCCACTTAGAGTCGACAAACTGGTTTGATTGAAAATGGTGTACCCAAAAATCCATATATTGATTACCCTCTGGTAAACTAACATAGCTATGGAAAATCACTATTTTTAATGGGTAAATCCACTATAGATGGCCATTTTCAATAGCTATGTTAGTTTACCAGAGGGTATCATGCTCATCAAAATTTATTCAAATGCCCATTTACGCGGGTAAATACCACAGTTTCAGACGCATCAATCAAAAGATTGTTTACTGAATGACCCACCTACCCACAACTGGGCTGCAATGCCAACTACAATAAGATCAACAAGGATTCTACAAGGGCTCTACCAGATGAGGTAGTGAGGCCCCCCAAGTAATGTGTTGGTTGCTTTATAAAACCATTAACTATACTTATGTATATGGAGGTTTCCACAAATCATTGTACCCAAAAAATGGATGGTTTATAAGGGAAAATCCTATGAAAAAATGGATGATTGAGGGGTAGCCCTATTTCAGGAAAGCCCCAGATATCATATATCCCCCCAAAAAAGACCAAAGGTTGCCCACGTTGGTCAACTGAGCCATCCAGGGGGGCTTCACTTTGTAACCAAACCGCCAGTAAATTCTCGACATGCGGAGACTGTCAAACACATGTGAATGATTGAATGGTTGGTGGCTGCTCTTAGGGATTGATTCGAAGTGACATGACTTAGAAGACTTAGCACATGTTTCTGTTCATCATTTTACAAATACAAGGTGAACAAAAAGGTGAATACAATGGTGATTTGGTTGAACTATTGTAGTGCATGCCTGCTTGTCACGCCCTTGCAGGGGGTGCCCTCACCTTGTTTACTGCTACTCTCGATTGAAATGAATTTATATATCCAGCTTGATCTTTTCCAATGTCAATTGACTACGATTATATATAGATTCAGAATGATTAGAATTCATATAAATTCATAAAATCATAGATTTTTCTAGAGATTTCTTTTAAATTCCTAGAGCTTCGTAGAATTCTTCGCTACCGGTCAACACTCATGGAGTTGCGCGAATCCGCGACGTTTTGATCTGGATCCCAGCTGCTTCAACCCAATTTTCCAAGCCAAGCCAAACAAAAAAAAACCTGTTGGGGGAAAGATGATTAGAGTTCATGTAGATAAACTTCAGATGTCACTAGAAAATTAGGTCTGCACAAACACCAGGTAAAAAAAAAAGTAAAAATCACAAAGCATCACTTTCACTTGTTTAACAAAAATGCTGAATTCCAAATGTTCCTTCAAAAGAGGATCCTTCTAAAGTTGATTAATCCACAAATTCCGCAGATTGAGCATCCTTTCAGCCCAATTTATCCACCAACTTGAAACCAAATCTGAGACAAGCTGGTCCATAAACAACATTATATGGCTATAGTTATAGTTGTAAAATGTTAAAAATACATATAAAATACCATAGAAACCAGCACTATATACTAGTGAACTAAACTACTTTAGCCTTTGCCTCAGCTTGTGGAGAGCTCGCCGGGGACACCGATCTCCACCATGCCACGGGCTGCTCCTATGCTCCAGCGGCTCCAGACGCCATGGAGTTGTGATGGCTGGTAGCCGTGCAGTGCAAGAGAAACTAAGCAGAAATCGGACATCACAATATTCACAATTTGTAAAAAAAAATAGGTAGCCGCAGAATACAAGTATGGATTGCAATTACTATTCCAATCTATTCCAATCTATTCCATATATTGGCTTTTGAATCATGGACACAGGTGTTTCTCTTGGGTCTGAACATATCCAACAAAACTCCATTGGTTGATCATCATTTTCTCCATTCAAATCTTGGCAAACTTGGCGGAAAAAAACACACATTTTCAGACAATCTCCGCATGGTGATGTTTCGGCCAAGAAAAATAGGGGGTGTTAAAGCATGATTTTTCACTAACACATGGTAAAGTTCCTCCCAATTAAAATTTATTAAAACCCTCCATTTCTAGAGGATTGCCGGAGGGTATCGCCCTGAAAAAACTGGGTGTTTTCCACCGAATGGGATGGTGATCTCAGTGATCTCCTTATGATTTGATGGCACGTTTTGGATGAGTGGTACCACTGGTCAGATCAGGATTCCAACCGCTGAGGAAAGGTGTTCACGTTCCAAAGAGTCCTCTAATTGTAAAGTGTTTATTTGTAATGTGGTTCAGATGGTATAGTAACTATAGTATGATTAATATGATTAGTGATAATGTACTTGACATGACTGTTTGGATTGTCAATTGCAAAACATGTACAGATAATCACGATAAGTAAAAGTATATCCGTGACAGATTGATTGGATTACATGATAGTATGTGGATAGTAATGGATATTTGGATATAATGTACATTCTTGCCGATTGTAGAGTACACAAAATACAATACTTTAAAAGCTATTTTTTTTTCAATTTGTTACTGTCTGCAGATTCGTAGGATGTTTTGCAGATTTTTGCCGTCTTTCCGGATTCGGCTGGGGAGGTGAATTGGGGTTGGATTCAGGGTGCGAAAACATAGGGGTAGCACCAACAATTCAGGGAGTGCTGAGCTGTTAGCTTCCCACTTTTATATAGTGGGTTGTTTCTGTTTTCTTATTCTGTTCACAGAACCACTGTTGATGATTGGTTCTGGGGTCATATTATCCAATATAATTAATGAGGATTATCACAATCCATGAGCTGGGAGACCCAATCCAGCAACCAGTAGGAGGATAAAGGGGGGGTTTGAACACTGCTCAATCAATGGGAATAGAATGGAATATAACCGTGAAATAAATAGATGTTCATGGGGATTTAACGTTGATATAAACCACACAATGTCCGTTTTTTTTTGGTTTTGTTGAAGTGCCTACAGTGGATTGCAGCCCATTATATGCCCACTTAAAATCGGAGATAAACCACTTACTAACTGGGTCTGAAAATAGGCTAGCCTTATCATACCATGGGTGAATCATGATATTCTCTATCAAGATTGCTATTTCAGGAGTGATATGACGCCCAATTTTTGGAGCTATCCAACTAGTTAACTAACTCAATGGCCCTTTTTTCAGTTGACGAAATGTCCCAGGAATGAGGTCTCCAAGCCCCCTTCTGCGGAAGCGCCATCTGCGCCGCCCCTGCCCTTCTTTGTACAGCGAACGGGACCCGCGGTGGTGGATGAAGAGTCCAGCGACTGGGCTGAGAGGCAGAGTGTAGCCCACCTGGGCTTTTAAGTGGGGTGATAATCAAAATTGGGATTCCAATTGACATTGGGATTTTACAAAAAAATGGAATTATGAACAAAATTGGGATTCTGAACATTTGCATTTCATCAACAAGACAAAGAGGTTTGTGCATGATTGTGAGCCACCTAAAGACATGAAGCCAACCCACCGCCGCACATTCAGGCAAATTCCACCGAAAAAACTCTGAAGTAATTTTAGCCAGAAAACAGCTGATACTCTTTGCTTCATATTGGTCAGGGGTTGGTAACTGTCCCATTTTGGGAATATTGGACATCACCTTATAGTAGCCATTATAGACCATGGTGGTCTGATTGAAAATAGTAGACTCTCTGGCCATTGTTACCGCCAGCATTTGTGCCAAACTCCCGAACGTCTGTCGGGACGCTTGTCGGAAGCATCATTTTTGGCGACCCGCTGTGGGCATTTGGGGATCTAAAAGCTTGATGTCTCTGGGTTATCTGCTGTGAATGTACCCAGACATTCATTGATGACCCTCTCTAGGGTGAATCTGCTGTGCTCAAAAATTCGTTTATTATCGTTTATTTGTTCATCGCTTTTCAAATAAACCCCGAATAGACCATGCATAAACCCCAAAAAACCTAGAAAAAGAAACATGAAAAAACCCTAAATTAATCCTAAAGAAATCCTACATGAACCCTAGAAGAATCAGGCTGTTTTCATTGGGAATCGGCACCTCGCCGGAGCAGAAATGTTCATGCTGAAACCATGGATCTGGATCTGATACATTCATCAAGATCCCCATATTGAAACCATCTGAAATCATCACCACGCTTGCCCAATGTTGGATCGGTTTTGTGGGAACAGGATGGCAAGCGTATCGGTGAGGCTTTTTGATAGCCGATAGCTAAATTGACTTACATACGTAACTAGGGTTTATAGGGCATATGAACTATAGTTTTGATGTGTTCATAAACCAACTTACAACTGGGGGGCCTCACCTTGTATTGTTATTCCAGAATTATCTCAACGGCCATTTCAGGAACCTAAATTTTGAATTGGAGCTACCTGTAAGGGAATATCCCCACCAAATATGGCCACAAATATAATATACCTTCATTATAGGGTCCTGAATTTTCCAATGGAAAACCATTTATAAATCATGGGATGTTTTTCATAAGTTTGGGTTAGATGAACACATTTAGGACAATTGAAAAGCCATTAAACCCTTCATTATATCCCCATTATCACCATTTAGGGTTTATACGGCATATATATATATATATATATCATATAACATCATATAACTATGTAAATTATAACTATGGTGTATATGATATATAACCTATAGATAATAAATACAGTATATATTTGTTACAGGTTCTTACAACTATAGGTAATTCAAGTCTTTATCAACCAACTAATCGGGGGGCTTCACCGGAAAATCCCCATGGGTGAAATCGAGGTGGCGACGAGGTCTGCTACGATGCTCCTCTCTTGGCACCGCGGCAGAGTGTCGACGTCATCGACATCGCCGACGCCTCGGCCGCCGTTGCGGACCGTGGGGCGCTTGCGCGGGCCAAGATGCAGACGTTGGGATGTGCCAAGAAGGACCGCAAGGTGCAGATGCGCCAAGGAAGTGCGTTTCAGAAACATGTGTTCTTTGGGTGCCTGGAAGGCCGAATTAGATGAAGATGATTCTATAGTTGAATGATGAACCAATATTGTATATACTGACTGTTGTGATACATTTACATACAGATACATATCCAATTTATGTATATATATAATCATGTAGAAGCTGGATGGCCCATGTAGATTCGGATATGTTTCCAAAGATGAGGGCTTTAGCCAAGCAGCGGAAAGGGGATAAATGGGCCAGGAATTGTCGGACCCTCCCAATTATGTGGCTGTTACCATTATGGCTTACCCCCTGGTAAACTAACATAGCTATGGACAAACATTTATTTTTTTGATGGGTAAATCAACTATAAATAGCCATTTGTAGTAGCTATGTTTGACATAACCGGAGGGTTTCTGCTGTCTTCCACAGCATGGTTAGCCGATGGATCAACTCACCTGTCTGGGAGGCCTCTGATGAAGACAAGAAAGGTGCACCGCGGGTCAGCCTTGCAATGGGGAAACCAAACTGGTTGGTGGTTTGGAACATTTTTTATTTGTCCATAATATATCACAGAGCCATTGAATATTACCATGTTTAATAAATCAATAGCTGGTTGGTGGTTTCAAACATTTTTTTATTTTCCATATGTTTCCATAATATATGGGATGTCATCCTTCCCATTGACGAACTCATATTTTTCAGAGGGGTAGGTCAACCACGCAAAGTTCTTCCAAGATACTGGTGTTCAATGATTCAGCCTGGGTTTATACTAGCTGCTTCAATGATGTTTATGGACTCACCATAATGTCATGACCCCTATATGTTGAAATCTCGACCTTAACGGACCATCTGCGCAGTTTGGGGGTTTCACAGAGGGTAATCCTGCAGTGGACGTGCATGCCATTGACTTCATGACTTCATGATGGCGACCCTACATTGAAATCATGGATATGTTCCTTTCCAGGTGCCAAGCAGATCACCAGCACTGCAGTGACTTGGCTGAGTCAAACATTGATGGCGCCATTAAGATGTTTGTGTATATGCCAGATATCTATTTGCAGTCTATGACATGTTATTTATATATATATAATATTATATATATAATATATATATATATATAACATAGTATCTATATGATACACACGTTTTCGATCATATTACATGTTGTCCACATGGCATCTACCCATTCTTGTTTGTTGAACAGGCACTGTTGTCTTTCAACATTTGGGAAGTCTCAAAGGAACAGGACCAGGAAAGATTTTAATGGTTTTCTCATGCTGGTACCAGGGTGAAGTGGCCATCTATTTCCGGTAACTTCCTTCGGGTAATCCCAAATTCTGTTGGCTGATCATCTTCAAACTATGGTGGTAGAATCCCATCATGTCAGAAACCATCCAGCTATTGGGGTACCCCCATTTAAGACACCCCCATGTGGGTTCAATGTGAGTTCAACCCGTCCGCAAAAAGGGGACTGGTTGGTGGTTTGGAAATGTTTGGAACATGTTTGATTTTTCCATATATTGGGAATACTGATCCCAACTGACTCATATTTTTCGGAGGGGTAGGTCAACCACCAACCAAGTCCCCAAAGTCCTGAATTGTCCCATGGTTCCCAATCCTTGTCGAACGACCCCAGGTTAGAGATCGCCCAGAGCCACCTCCGGAGGCGGTGGGTGGTTGGAGGTCCATGACCCAGAGATCAGTAGAAAGTACATATCAATATCTGGGAGGTTGAATGACATATATAGGATAGAATAGTAAACGTTTCTTATCTATAAATGTATCCCAGATATATCCCATAAATATTGTCAATGAATGACAATATAGTTTCTTTATCCCATTTGAATTTGTAAATTGAATAGATTTATCAATTCACACAGTTATGGTCATTTATCAGTTGTAAGTACTTTATATATAACCCCATTTATAGAATGTTTCTCATCCCATAGAAATCACCACAGAAATAACTGGTAGCCATGGCCATAACTGCATGTGTTGAACTCGTCATTTTCTCCATGAAAAGCCATGGATTTTTGATCACCGGGTAACCCGTTTCGAGCATCCACCAGGACCTGGACAGCGAGTTTGAGCGCGACGACGCGTCGGAGCCTTCGGAGCCTTCGGAGCGTCGGCCGTGGTCCACGGCGACGAGTTCGACGGCGAGGTCCTCGACGTCGCTGGGCGTTCGGTGGTGCCCCGTTGTGAGCGAGACAAATCGCGTTTATAGTTGGCGCAGAGAATTCCAATTTTACTATGGTTTATGGTAGGTATATTGACATACTATTCCTATGGCCCTATGGTTTATAAACCAACGTTCACATCACTGGGGGAAGATCAACTCCTAAGTGGCACATCAAGCGGGGATAGGCACTGAAAAAAATGCAACTTGAATGAACAGTGCATTTTTCATGATTAAAATAAAGGGGCAGGCTGAGAGATCGTTGAAGGTTAATTAGTTGAGTGGGTCAAAGTGTTGGGTAAGGCTATCAATCATATAGTTCTATTTCCCTCAAAGTATTCTATGATACTATAGCTTTAAATGCGCGCATTGCTTATAAATCTTGTAGGAGCAGTGCCCTCTGTTCAGAAATACTTGGGAGCAGCTCCCCCAGAATTTGAGGATGTTTACTAACTTTTATGGTGCTAATTGGTGTTATATGGTGTTATATGATGTTAATGAGGGTCTGTAGGTGCGAAGACTGAGACTGGTTCGCAGCCCTTTGAAGGAGGCTGCCAAGCTCAAGGAAACCTTGCAACCACTGTCACAGAACCAGCTACACACCAACTTGGATCGATGTGGTGTGTCACAAAATTGGGACCTCAAGCTGTACCCTCAAGGTCATCAACTGGAGTTCAATCATACTGTATGGTATGCTTGATCTTCCGGTCTGCATTTTTCTCAGCGTTTTAATATTCATCATTTTCATCAGTCAAATACTAAATTTGGAACGTACACTACACTCCATGTCTTGCCAAACCCTTACTGCATGTATCAATTCTTCATTGGTTACAGTTATGGCCATGGCTACCAGTTATAACTGGTTATTTCTATGGGATTATACATGCTATAAATGGGGTCTTGTTAGTACTTATAACTGATAGCCATGGCCATAACTGTAGATACCTCGTTTTGATGACCAGACTTCCTATGGATGGATGGTGAATCCTTGTCTTTTTCGTGGATCCATCATTGTTGAAACTGGTATCTCACAGTTCTAAGGTTTCTATCCTAACTTCGATGTTTCATGATTATTATATCTAACACACACCAAACGTATATAGATGTTTCAGAAATTATTATATCGAACAAACAAACACTTCTCAAAACTATAGATCTAAGAAACAACAAAAACAACTCCAACCATAGTCCCAAACGTTGAATTCCCAGCCGACTCCAACCCCTTAGGACGTGGTGGGCCCAATTTTTCCACATGAAACACGGTTTTGGCCTTGGTGTGGCTTCTCTAAAGGCCAGAGACGTGGGGGATGCTGCTGACATTTTTTTTTCATGGTGGGTTATCCCTGAAGAGAAAGGCTGGGGAGAATATATATATATATATAGTAGCAAATATAAATATTGTAACTGTTAGAATTAAAAGTATAGTTTATAATTATCTATATCAGCATGATTAAAGCTATAGTAGAACTAAATTTGCTATCGATTTATGGTTACTACAGTAAATCATCAATTATTATACATAGCCAGTACTTCACTTCTTAGGATATTGTTCCCGCTAGATTAAATACATGCCAAAGAAAACCCTTGTTTAGTATTGGATTTGTTCATTTGGGGTCCATATGGAGGATATTTGATTTGATCGGTCAATATGCTTAATGGGAATTTAATCTACAAAAATGGGGATACAATGGTGATCTTATTGGAATATAATATAGGGGGATATATATAAGCAATAATATGATAGTCGGGTGTGTCTGAAAATGTTGTATTTTTTTTACCCACCACAATTGCTACAGTCTACAGTATCTGAATTGGTTAAATGATGACAAACCATGATCTGGGGATATCCTGTCTTCAAACAAACCCAAATGAGGCCCGCCAGTTGTATGTTTGTTTATAACCCCCTCAACTGTATACCATACATCCTTTTTATTTAGCCAATTCACTTGTCTATCTTGGTTGGTTTAACATAGTACATCAAACGTTGCTTTATCCCCACTGAGTTTTTTTCCACCCCAATTTTTATGTGGACACTTCACCCACCGTTTCGGAAAAACACATCGTTTCTTTGGATTGATGGATGTTCATCCCCTCAAACATTTTATAGGTATTGATCCATAGCCCATAGCCATATAGATATCATGATTAGCCATGTACGCTTATAATCACCATTCATACATTAAATCAGCTATAAATCGCATTAAATCTTCATTTGTTCTCTAGTTAAAATGACCAGTCTCCCATGGTGTTTCCATGTTTTCTCTGTTAAACCACCATTTTCCCACATGTTTTTGTCCCATTTTTTCTTGGTTAAATTACCATGTTCCATCATCTTCCATCATGTTTATGTTCGGCCTCACCTTTCACCAGGTGTCCCTGGCTCGCCTGGACCTGTCCGACACGGATCTCCCATCCTTGACAGCTGCGCTGGAGAAACTGCTGCAGCACTTACGGGACGAGGCGGGCGGGACTTGGCGGCGCTCAAAAGATGGCTGGTTGGTGGTGACTGGAACATTTAGTATGGGGTAATGATGGTTAATAATGGTGAATAATGGTTAATAATGGTTAATAATGGTTAATAATCACTGGTTGGCGGTTTGGAACGATGGAATTTGATGACTTTCCATATATTGGGAATGTCATCATCCCAACTGACTTTAATATTTTTCAGAGGGGTTGAAAGCACCAACCACATGGCTTTGACCGCCAAAGTTGATGGGTTTGGTATGGACTATGAATTGCCAGATAAGCAAGACGGTATTTGTTTTGGTAAATATGAGTCCTTTCATTTTTGTTGCTGCAGATCGAATGTTGGAAGAGTTGATTTACTATGAAAAAGGATCTGTTAACATCACATTGTTTTTTTCAATAGCGAAATTAAGAAGGACTTACTGCCAAACAGGTGGAAACCCTCAGACAATTCTGCGACGCAAGCGGCTTGAAACAAAAGAAAACTGGGATGATTTCATATAGATTTCATACATTTCAAGTTGCCACAATCTATGGGGGTCTGTATTGAAGAGCCAAAACCTAGGAAGTATGTCGGCCCTCTTTATGCAGGTTCTCCGGCAATAGTGCGTTTTATTTTGGACTTGGAACAGAGATTGAGACTCACAAGCAACAAATATGTTCATGTCATTACGTACCTTTTTTTGTTAGGTGTTTAACATCACCAAAAAATGCTTCAACATTGGTCAAACACGGCAATTTCACTAGACATTGGATAAACCACAAGTAGCCTATACCTGTACAGAGTGCTAGAATGTGCAGATGATGCAATCCCATTGATTTCAGTTTGTTGAGCCACATCCTCTGGTACTCAAGCATGGCGATGATAGAACATGTCTCAATAGGATAATAATGAACTTACAAACGATGTAACGGCCCACTGTCCACTGCCTGAATTTGCCAGGCAAGATTCTGAAATACTTCCTCGGAAGATCCTTCAACAATCACAACGCGTTTAAAGGAACACAATAACAAAAGAAGATGGCATACAACATACCCTCTGGTAAACTAACAGTTTGCTATTGAAAATTATAGTGAGTTTTTCCATTAAAAATAGTGATTTTCCATAGTTATGTTAGTTTACCAGAGGGTAAATCCCTATGCCTAAAACTGATCCTCAAATGAGCAGTGTTCAGAACCCTGTGTGACCCCTTTTAAACTGGTTGGTTGAGGACAGGATTCCCCGTTCATGGATTGTGATGATCCCCAATGTATTTGTTCGTAAAATCTTCGAGCTAATCATGAACCAACCACTGCTCAAATAGCTCAAATCCCTTTAAATCCCATGAATTCTCCATTTTTTGGTTGCTTAAAAATCCTATATCATAAGATATTACATAAACCACCAGTCCTATATCATACCTATTACATAAACCACCAGTAAACCACGAGAAACCACCACTCCCCAGGAGGCTGACAGTGAGCAGCGCCACCGAGCCCCCGTGCGACTGCTGCTGGAGCTGGACTTGTCCGACAACGGCATTTCTGTCGCTGGGACGTAAGCGAGTTGGGGGTGACACGGGTGGGTGCTGGAGTCTATCTGACAATAATGTATGATATAATGACTATGATATGTATATATATACTTAATATACATGTGTATGTATACATATATGCATACATTTTGGTGAGACATATAGTTGCTGCTTGGAGTTCTCCTGAACTACTGTGTATATATATACATTTAATCATTTATGAACACAGCATGTGCTTGTATATGAAGGAGTCATATGAGTCATACGAGGCAAAATCCCGATTGAGATTCATTTTTGCAACGTTGGAGGTTAGACGTGGCTCTGGAGCATTGCCACCGAAACTAGCAGACCGATCCCAAAAAATAGGGGAAGTCACTACTTTGATGGTTTTTGATTGTTTGATGCACCCTCTCTGGTAATTTAACATAGCTATTGAAAAGTTGCCATTTATAGTGAGTTTTCCCATTAAAAAATATGATTTTCCATAGTTATGTAAACGTTTACCAGAGGGTATTTCAAAAGAATGGGAAGTCTAAGTCACTACAAACACATGGACCAGACTTTAGGGCAGGCATTGCTGTGCAGGCTTAGAAAGCACGTCTGTGTCCTAGTGGATAGAAAGCTGTGCGCAACAGGGTCAGAATCATGGTTGGGAAACATTTACAATATGGCCTCCGCTAAGTTATAAGTTGGTTTATAACCCCATCGAACTATACATGTATATAATATATATATACATCCAGCATCAATCCTAGGTAACCTACCTCTTCTTCCTTTAGTTGGTCTAGATTTCGACTTGCTATCTGGACTGTGCGGATTTAGACATACACCGCGGCACCGCGTTTTTCCTTCTTGTCTCAGCTGTTTGAAGCAGAGGAGACAGTGCTGGTTTTGCCCCATGTTTAAATGGTTAGATGCCTACAGTTATGGCCATTTACCAGTTATAAGTACTTATAACCCCTTTATAGAATGTATAATCCCATTTATAACCAGTTATAACTGGTAAATGGCCATAACTGTATGGTAAAGAGTTTATCTTATATTAGAGTTGCCTGCGCAAAAAGCGAATCGAGGATGTCGGAGCGGTGTGGCTTTTCAGAGCCTTGGTGTTGAGAGATCTTGAGATGAAGAAAGTGGTTGGTTGGTTATAACTAGGGATATGTGATGCTTTGTTTGGGGGGATGTACCCCTAAAATTGGATATTCTTTGGATTTGTGTCATGAAGATATGACATAACCAAGAAAACAGGATTTGACCATCTACAATGGAGATAATTGGAGATACAACTAGGATTTAACAGGATTTAACATGATTTAACCATCTACAATGGGGACATAATGGAAATATAAGTGATATAACCAATGATACTCTCCGGTCTCATCAGACATGGCTGGGAAATCCCCGAGGTAAATGGAACTTTGCTGGGAAAATCGTTGAGGGGGATTTTCCAGCTCGCCATGTTCGATCAGCAGACCACGTTGTGAAAATAGCGGACTGGGGTCTGCCCTGGGTAGCGTACATCTAAACTGAATTGGGATTTTGGATGATACATGTCCATTTTTTTGTTCGCCGTGTTTGTTGGTGAACTCCTTTGCAATTACGCCGTGTTTGTTGATGAACTCATTTGTATTTATAATAGTTGCCTCATGTTACATCGCTGCTTTTATCTATGTTTTGGACTTTGATGAATAAATCATCCTGTTTGATTGTTGACCTATGTTGACCTCCTGTTCGACTGGTGATTTCCCGATGTGAAATTCCCTATGATTTGCTGGTCAAGCTGGCAAGCCATGTCCCACATCAGATCTGGTGGTTTCATGGGACTTCCCAATACCAAGATGGGATGAGTAAATACCGGTAAATACCAGATCTGGTAATAAAAAAAGGCAACATAGATGTGATTTCATGGGACTTCCCTTCATACCAATACCAGAGATGCCTAGTAATTGCTCTGCGGATTCATCATGTGGCCTTCTCACGGATGAGTGAAACCTGGATTTTGACTGTTGGATCCCAAGTAGATCGACCTATCACTGCATGGTGAACGGTCCTCATCTTCACGACATCGTCATGGTTGCTGGTTGAAGGTCTAAGTCATGTTTTGTTTATGTTTCACTGTTTCAGGGATGATCCGCAATGACAAGCATATTTTCTTTGGGGTTCAAAAAAAAACCGACGCTCGTTTGTTTTCTTATTCCTCATATGTGGCTTGTTAAATCCCATGTGTCCCCCCCCGATGCTTGGCAAAACTTGTTTGTTCTTACAAAAACTACGTTATCTTCCCATGAAATATTGTGGATGGAAGAAATCCTGCACCAGTTGGTAGATGGTTTATCCCCTTACAATCCCATTATTTCCAGTGTTTCATAGGAATCCAATAATAATTCCCCTGCCTGGTGCAGGATTTCTTAACCATCCACAGTCTCATTTCCCATTTTTTTTGGTCACCATTCACTAGTACAAAAACCATCTCTTAGCCATGACTTCCCCCTTCTTTGTCCATTGGATAAACATATCATGTCCCCATGTTTTTTTCCATTGGATACCCTCTGGTAAACTAACATAACTATGGAAAATCACCATTTTTAATGGGTAAATCAACGAACTAAATGGCCATTTTCAATAGCAAACTGTTAGTTTACCAGAGGGTAATGGTTACCCACTATACAAGCCATCCACTATCCTCCCGGTTACCACATATCCCCACCATGGTTGATGAATTCCGTGGCTTGTTTATACAGTTATGGCCATTTACCAGTTAATAAGTGGTTATAAATGGGATTATACATTCTATGAATGGGTTTTTGTTAGTACTTATAACTGATAGCCATGGCCATAACTGTAGCTTATTGACTTATTGTTTATTTTTCCATTGGGTAAACATATCATTTCCACAATATCTCCATGAAAAATCGTCCGTTGTTCATCCTGGCACAGGTTGGCTGATGCAGCGCCCTGGCGAAGTGCGTTGTCGCGTTCTTCGGATGGCGCGGAACCGTTTGAGCGACACGTCCTTAGTGTCTCGGCCTTGGTGGGAGACTTGATCAATGAAACTGGGGAGATCTGGCTATGGATCAATACCTATAGATACCATTTTTAGTGGGATGAACATCCATTTACCAGCTATTTTGATGTTCACCAGGGGTACAAGGTTTTGACCCACTGCCATCTCAGAAATCTATGGAAACTGTAAAATCTGGTGCTAAACGCAGGGAATTTTCGGGAATGATCCATTTCATTACTAGTAATAATCATCCCAGCAACCCCCAGCAACCCATCCATTCCCTACTAAGCATCAGTAAGAAATGAATAGAAAGTCAAGATTAGCTCCAAGATGTCAATCCAAAATCCAAACGGTTTGGGGTTGAACATGGAGAAATATGAGCCATTTCATGGATTTCATGTTGTTGGGTTTTCTTAGGGGTATTTCTTGTATTATTTTTGATGGTTTTCATGATTCATGCGGTATATGGGCTAAGTTGGTTTAGTTGACCCGTATAACTATATGGTTTATATGGGTTTATATCGGTTTATGATGTTTCTGGGCATTGTAACTACGTATAGTTCATGAAGGTTATAACGCAACTTTTATCCAATTTGGGATTCAACCACTATAAATTAAAGTCGTGGAGGTAAAAGATCAGACATTTTGTCTGGGGAGATGAAACGGGATAATTTCAGGATATACAGGTATATACTTGGTGGTTCACCCCCACTTAGTAAGTAGGTTATACCCCTGGTTATAACTGGGCTAAGTAGGGTTAGTTCACTTATAACTGGGGTTATAATCCACTTACTAACTGGGATGAGCCACCAAGTATAATGAGATAGTTGACCACGTTAATGGAGACGGGACATCATAGCATATCATGTGATATTCACAGCAGAAGAATGCTGATTTCATTGGCAACCTCACTGGCCAAGGTTTCCTTCTGATTTGGAGAATTTCTGAGTGGCTTCCACTTGTATGTTTGTTTGTGTTGGCTCTTAAGCCATTTACAGAAAAATCTATATATATATATATGTTGTTTTCTCCCCGAGATATTAAGAGCAGCATATCATCACCTTGACCCATAATCAATTTGGACAATCTCCAGAACATGTGGCAAATACCTGAAATGAATAAAAACTATGGTATTTACTATGGTATTTACTATGGTTTCTAATATATAATGGTATTCTACCAATGGTATAAAATAATGGTATTATTTTTAGTATATTTCTAATTATACCATACTATATAAAATATGCTTATATTATGGTATATATATTACCTGGGATCCCTGAAAATATAGGAACTATGGTATGAAAATATGGTATAATATTATTTATTATGGTATATTACCTGGGATAATCCCCGAAAATATGGTAAAACCAGTAATAAAACCATCCCCTTTTTCTCTCCAGGAGTGGCTTTCAGCCTTGGTTTGCCCCTTGGCGCCGGCGGTCCAGCTTTGGGAAACGAGGTGACGAGGTGTTTTCTTTTGGGGTACTAACTCATACTATATTGTATATGTATATAATATAATATAATACAATATAATATAACATAATATAATATAATATAATATAATATAATTAATATAATATATATATATAATTTATATATAATTCATTTATAATTCATATATAATTTATATATAATTTATAATATATATATATATATAAGTCACTATTCAACTCATATCTAATTTTGGGAAATATGTTCCGTGTTCAACTCAGGTCTATTTTTTAAAACGCATTCTTCTGACGGTCATTCATTGTACAAGTTGGACTTGCTCAACGGGCGTGCGTGTACCAGAAGCATCCAAGAACTTGTGACCTCCAAATCAAACGAAAGATTCGCCATGTTTTTTTGCAGTATCTGAGTAGAATGATCACGCAAGTATGGTTTCAACATGTTGAACAACACTTTCAGATGATTTTTCAAAATGTAGATGTTGGAACTAGTTGGAACCCTGTTTTTTTTTTTAAGCGATGTCCAGTTGCCTACGCGTTCCCCTTGGTGCACCGTCCAGTTCACTGAGGTCAACAACATTCAGCCATCGAAGAACTTCATTTGGCGGAGAATACCATCTCTGCAACAGGCGGATCATTCGGAAAGCTCCTAATATCAACTATGAAATCATCCGGGGTAGCTCCAAATCAATGGTCATTTGGATGGGGGCAAGCCCCAATCATTTGGATTTTTGACTGACTTGGATCATCTTGGATCCATTGGATTGGTGATTGATAAGCTGTGACACTTCTGGATACTTTGATTCACCACAAAAACAAGCAAATGAAAAAACATACCCTCTGGTAAACTAACAGTTTGCGAACTTGAAAATGGTCATTTAGTTCGTTGATTTACCCATTAATAGCATGGTGGATCTTTCCGGTTCGTTATGTAAACGTTTACCAGAGGGTAATAATAACATCTGAGTACTTTCATGTTTTGGTTGATGTCAGTTGATGTGTGAAGTTGTGCATGTGCCGTGGTTCTTCCAAAGCGCCGTGGAGGGTTAGCAGCGTGTTAGCAGCGTGCCAGGTGCTGCTTATTTGCTGCTGGCCTTTGCTTTGTCCCTTGGAAAATCCTTGGAAGACATGCCGGGAGATTGCACAGGTGGACTTCACAGTTTTACACAAAAAATGGGCCACAAAAATTGTAGTTTTGCGTGCCCTATGATGTTAGATTCTTGAATGTTTCTTGACTTGGCTGAGTAGGCTTGATTCTTCGGCCATGCATTTCTGTATGCTTACATGCAGTACGACAATCATGGCATCATATGGCATTGTGCCAAGAACAAAGGCTTGTACGAGTAACATCGATTAACTTCTGCCGGATCCTTACAGAAGGCCAGAATCTAATACCCTCTGGTAAATTAACATAGACCCTGGCAGATAGGGGTTGGAAGACTAGTTCCATTAAAAATTGGTGATTTTTAGGGTCTATGTTAATTTACCAGGGTGTATCTGGCAATCTATGGCAATCTTATATCTGGCATTATATGGCAGAAGGGCCGGATTAAACAAAGGCACGATGCCATGGCAGTTGATTTTATCGCTATTCTTGCTCGCTTGAATGTCCTGAAATGTGTTGCTGAAATCTGCTGAAAGTCCTTCCAAGTTTTGGCTGTGTCAGGTCCAAATGTTCAATCATACAATCATTTAACTTTAGAATATGTGTTGCATACATATATATTTTTCGGTCAGCAAGTAAGACATGAATTTCCATATATTTCCCATACATATCCCATGAATTTACCATAACTGGTTGGTGGTTTGGAACATGAATTTTATATGACTTTCCATTCAGTTGGGAATAATCATCATCCCAACTGACGAACTCATATTTTTCAGAGGGGTAGGTATACCACAAACCAGATATTATTTGGTTTTACTAATAATACTTATAATAATGATATTCCCATAATGTGGGAAAAACACATTATAATGTTATTATTATTGTTTCTTCCAGATAAATATATCACCCATAAATGTCCTTCGCGCTCCGAGGCACCCCTTCGAGGCCTATCCCTTCCTGGATCCCAAAGGCCTCTTCGCTCCCGCCAACGTCACCTTGGATCGGTGCCTTGGACCCGAACCACAGACAGTCATAGATAGATACAGGATGGGGTCCCCCAAGATAGCTACCCTCTGGTAATTTGTTACATAGCTATTGAAAATTGCAATTTATAGTTGATTTACCCACTAAAAATGGTGATTTTCCATAGTTATGTTAGTTTACCAGAGGGTAAGTTGCCTTATTTTTGTGGCTGAATTCTATGGTTTATGGTAGATAGAACTACAAATAATGGGGGTTATAGTGGTTTATAAACAAACTTATAGCTGGGGGGGGGGCATCCTGTAGTGATAATGTGATATTTTGTTATAATGGTCGGATAAGGATTGGATAATTGTAGTGTTCTGATGATATCAGATAATTTGTTATAATGGTCACAAGTCATAGACATAGTTATAGTGATAACACTTATCTTATAAAATCTGATAAAATTATGATAACATGTGATATAGCCTGAACTTCCCAGTACTCGTTGAACTGGCACCTTTGCAAAGTGCTCGTTTTCCAAGGCCTTTTCACAAAATACTTTTAAAACTTCTTGATCATGCCTACATTCCCTGTGCATAATTAAGTGGCTCACTTGAGCAGGCCATAGATGCTCACAATGATAACCTAGAAACATATTACTATCATGATCTATCATGAATAAATTATTGTTATTATTAATTTATCAACATATCAGACCATGCGGCCAGGTTTAAATTCTTTGTGAGCATCAGCTTACATACAGTAATTGTGCTCTATGATGATCCTGGAAGTCGTCCTATTCACCAGCCATGGAATACCAATTTCCAGCAACGCAATTGCCATTCCTAGCCAAGGAGAATGAATCATGACCCAAATTGAGGCGCAAGCACGTTTAACCAGCAAAACAGGTTCCATTTCTGGAAAGTGTTTTTTGTAAATTGAATTCATTGTGGTGTTTGCCACATGAGTTTCTTACCAATCAGTCGTCGCGCCACTTCCATATTTTCACACTGAGTGCAAGCATCTTGGACCACACACTGATTGGACCACACACTGATGGATCATGTCAACTCCGGACTAATAAACCATGGTTTATTTGTGTGGGTACCTTCCAAATAGTCACAATATGATACATAAATGGTATCCCCCCCAATTAATCAGCCGTTTGGGGTTTATTAATCCAGGGTTGACATTAATTGAATTAACGGTACAATCATAATTTCACCAAAATGTATAGCTGGTACTAGAATGTGGGCCCCCCAAGGTACTTAAGTTGAATTGAATGTTCCTCATCCAAAAGCCATGGTGGATATATTGACAGTGAAATGGTGGAAATAAATGGACATAAATGAACATAAATGAAAATAAATGAAAATAAATGGGATAACAGGGATATAATTATCTGGGGATATCACCAACTGGATGATTTGCAACTGGAAATCATCCTAAAATTCGGGTCGCACCTTGCTGGTTGACGCTCCCCGCCTGAGGAATCCCATTGAGGAGCCTGGATTGCTGGCCCGACTCCGATTGCGTGGCGTGGCAATGCGGGGCGGTGACAACTGGCTGGTGGCTGGTGGTACAAAGGCAGTTCTACTATTTTGTCTCAGAAACATTGCAAAATTATGCAAAAAATGTAAATCAAGAAAACCGTAGAAAAAAGGGAGCAACAATGGGAGATAAACATCCTTATTGCCAATTGTTTCCATGTTTTGTTTGGACGCGAACCATGTTTTCGTCGGCATGTTTTGTTATTGAAATTTCCTGGATGCTTCTGCGACCACATCATAATCTTGATCCCAGCTTGTTGGTTCCATGGTTCCACTTCAACTTACACATTTACCATCCCTAAAATGAACATATAGTACCCTCCAGTAAATTAACAGTTCGACCCTGCCAGATAGGACTTGGAAGATGAGTGAAACCATTAACAATTGGTGATTTTCAGGGTTTATGTTAATTTACCAGAGGGTATAGACTCTAGACCCTGAACATATCAGTGTTTGAGTGGAAAATCATCTTCGGACTCCCAAGCCACGGCAGGGTCGTCATACAAAATGACTATGCTGCAGCCTCCTCCCAGGCTCCAATTTGCGTGCTGCTTGTAAAGACGGAAATCTCAGGACGGAACGCCGAACGAAAAAGGGATCCCAAGCATAGACAGCCACGGGAACAACATGGCAATACAAGAGAAGTTAGATTGTGAGCTATCCTTTCTTTCAAGACAAACCTATTTGGCATAATGATAGTCTATGTGGCATTTTTGTTTTTCTTGTGGGTGATTTTCCATCCACCTAAGATCAAGCTATTTCCATGCCTCGGCTCATTGGAATAATGTCGGACTGTTATCCCAAATGTTGGTCCCAAAAGTGGGTGCCATGTATTTCCCCCTCGTTATCTGGCGTGTTTATATCACCAGTTTCCCATGGCTTTTTCCGCACAGCGACATTGCCATATCAAGCCATTGGGATCTCCTCGACACACCCTGCCCGGATGATGGTAAAAACCACGACAGGACTTCCAACTTTAACTCAACGCCTCATGTACAGCTGCTTGGCTAAACAATCTTCGTTTCGGTGATGATTTCAATGAGGTTACCATAGGTTACCCTCCAACAGTTGGACCCTGAAATAGGCGGAATGTTCAGTGACTAATCTTCCACGCAAAGGGGCCATGGCAGGGTCTATACTACAGCAAACATGTTTACCTCCTTGATACACCACGACAATGATCAGAGGATGCAACTTCAATGCCAATGCCATGATTGTTTTAGGTATCCCAATGAACTTCACCATTTTTTTCAGGGAGATCAAAGGTTAATCATGTTATTGTTGGATTGTTTTGAATCCTCATCTTTCTTGGTTCTGTCCCTACTCTATCCCTATTTCTTAATTGGTGTTTTTGGCTAGCAATGTTTTATGTCGTTAATTACGAGGTGTCCATAGGTGTCCCAGACTTGCTTTCAGGGATTACAGGAACTTCATCTATTTCAATACGTTTAACCCCGGTTTCCCGGACTCGTTTTTTCCAGCAAATCAATCAACCCATACTTGGATCACTTGGAAAACCCTGAAATGGATACTAAATGCTTATATACTTGGTGGCTCATCCCAGTTAGTAAGTGGATTATAACTCCAGTTATAAGTGAACTAACCCTACTTAGCCCAGTTATAACCAGGGGTATAACCTACTTAAGTGGGGGTGAACCACCAAGTAGACCATTTTTAGACGTTTTCCCACTGGGATCATCGGCTCGGCGGCGTCGCGCCGAAGAGGCTGGGCGCGACCTTCCCGGATGGCGCGAACCGGTCCTCCACCGCTGCTTGGAGTCGAAGAGAGATTTTGCCATGGGAAACTGGAGATTTCTGGGATATAATATTATATATATAATATGTATGTATATATATATAGTTTATCCGTATTATCATTATCATCAATTATTAGTTATTATTGTTATCATCATTGTTGTTGTTCTTGTTGTATATATATATATACATTACATTAGGTCATACAACCCCACAATTCATATAACATTATATAACTATGTTACGTAATAAAATGCAATACATGTAATGAACTGATATGATCTATCCATGTTGATATTAATATATATCTTGAAATGTCCCTTGGCTCAGCATCACTGCATCCGACTCCGTTCCAAGGTGTTACCGTTGGCTCTGGAGAAGGTCTGCGCTGGTGGCTCCTGGCCCTCTCTCCCGCAGCTTCCGAAACCGCAGGTGAAGGTCTCCCGGCGGCGAGTCAACCGGGTTTGCCCCAGAACAAATAGGTGATGTAGCCACAAGGAATAGGATTTCATATGCTTTTAATAGGATATATTATAGTGGGATATTCATGGGATATAGGATTTTAATGGGATATATAGTGGGAGATTCATGGGATATGATGAAATATCATGAAATATCCAAAATGATCAAGCAAATGGAGGGTTTCCTAACTCATGGGGGTTACCCCAAATCATGCAAGTCATGTTAAGTATTGAAACCGATGGTGACTTGGCCTGGGGATCTCCCATAAAAAGGAAACCTCCAAAGAAGGCACTGATGGATGAAGGAAAATACATTGCTTTATCATCATACTGCAGAACGACAATAAATTGTGGTCTCACCATGAATTGACACACCCATATCATGTTGTTTCCGAGATTGAAAACTTCAGATTGAAGCGGTGCTTTCGGGGCTTTCTTTGGGGCCGGGGTTTGGTTCTCAAGTTCTCTAGCCATCAGGGCCTTCCGCTGGCAGGAAACTTCCGGAGATGCCGAAGCCTTCAACCGAAGCATGGCTGAGATGGAGATCGAATTTCTCCTGTGGGTTGATATTTGGGACGGTGAAGTGCATCATTTATTTCACAAGATGTAATAATGGTTAATAATGGTTAAGATGTCAACCACCAACCAGATAAGATGTTCGGTGTGATATAGATGGATGACACTTTTGAATTACAGGAGGGCCCAAAGGGGTGTTGCTGTCTTTCAGCTGGCAATAAAATATTCGGAAACTCGCTGAAATTAGAGTAGAGCTGAAGTAGAAGTAACCAAAAAAACGAACATGATATTGGAAACATATTGACACTATTTGTGTCTATTTGTGATCTTAGAACTGACTGGTAGTCGAGAATTGTCCAGTTGGGAGTACCAAGTTTTCAAAGGCCAATTTGCAGCCTTATTGCACCATATTACACGCATACCCAAGAGCCAGCAGAATGGGTGAAAGTCATGCGGGTCAAATTTTTGAAATCCAGGGACCCACAGATGAAACAGGTGTGTGTTGAATGAACCATTGGGTGTTCGAAATTTTGAACGCATCACCAAATCTCAAATGAACACCACAAACAAAAATTACTTTACTTCGTGTGATCCCCACCATGACATTTATATCTTCTGGCATTCTATCTGGCATATCTTCTGGCATATGATCTGGCATATCTTCTGGCATTCTATCTGACATATCTTCTGGCATTCAATCTGGCATTCTATCTGGCATATCCTCTGGCATATATTCTGACATATCTTCTGGCATTCTATCTGACATATCTTCTGGCATATATTCTGACATATCTTCTGGCATATCTTCTGGCATATCTTCTGGCATATCTTCTGACATATCTATCTGGCATATCTATCTGGCATATTTTCTGGCATTCTATCTGGCAAATTTTCTGGCATTCTATCTGGCATTCTATCTGGCATATCTTCTGGCATATCTTCTGGCATTCTATCTGGCATTCTATCTGGCATTCTATTTGGCATTCTATCTGGCATATCTTCTGGCATATCTTCTGACATTCTTTCTGACATTCTTTCTAACTTTCTTCTGCACATTCTTTGTCCCATATCTTCCTACATGAGGTCCGGCAGGGAACACTTGGCGTGGATGGATGGTCGTGGTTGAGGTCCGGCAGGGAACACTGGGCGTGGAACACTGGGCGTGGATACTCGCGGTTGAGGTCCGGCAGGGAACACTGGGCGTGGATGGTCGCGGTTGGTTGAGGTCCGGCAGGGAACACTGGGCGTGGATGGTCGTGGTTGAGGTCCGGCAGGGAACACTGGGCGTGGATGGTCGTGGTTGAGGTCCGGCAGGGAACACTGGGCGTGGATGGTCGTGTTTGAGGTCCGACAGCGAACACAGTGGATCGCGAGTCGCAGTTGAGCAGGAGAACGAGGAGGACAACGAGAGGAGGAGGAGGAGCAGGAGGAGGAGGAGGAGCAGGAGGAGCAGGAGGAGGAGGAGGCAACTGACATAAAATCTAACAACCCTCACCTGGCAGGTGGGGAAATATGGTTAAATATTGTTTATTCATGTTTATTCGATCTTATTCGCTGGTTGTTTCAATATTTGTTCAAGCATGCTCTACACTGTTACACTCTATATCTACTCTGGCAGCCTCAAAGAATGCTTACATGCGCGGGGAGAGGGGAGGAATATGTTGAAACATGTCGAAACATTCAAAATCAGCCAATTTCCATGGTTTTTGAGCGTTTCAGTTTTTGATGACGATCCCCAATTGAAACTCGGCGACTTGGACCATAATTGGACAACCAATTTTGGGTCAACATATTTGAGGCGTTTGAAGATCCAGGTATATAATATATATATATATAATGTGGTTAAAACAATGCCATAAGCCATCCCCCAGTAATCACCATTTTTATAGGTGGTATAAACGTACCATTCCCAGTCATGAGTAGTTTATTATTGTTTTAACCACATTATATTGAACATACTCATTTATAGTTGATTTACCTATTCAAAATGGTGATGTTCTATAGTTATGTTAGTTTACCACAGGGTATATATACATAATATATACATATACATGTTCTATCCCTTGTGATCCCCATCCCCAGGATACGCTCCCCGGGGGAAGACCTTCCGTCGAGAGCTGTTAGTGGATGATGAGGAAGGTGCTGGTCTGGAGCTGGAAACGGTCCCTTGCAACGATGCCAGGGACTGATTTCTGGATTTCCCGTGGAAAGCTGTGAAAGCTGAGCCGGTTTTTGGGGATTAGTCAAGGGTGGATTCTATGAACGGGAGCCCAAAAACTAATGCAAATGGAGATTTGTTTGGCAAGATTGGGGATACAACTGCGACTACTTTAAGTAGATCTCTATTTTTTTGCAACAAATGTTGGACTTCACAAACAAAAAGACTGGGCGTGTGGCTTACAATTTAGGTTTGCTTGGGCAAGGGAATTTACCAATGTTGTTTCTAAAAAACCTTAGTTGACGCAGACTTCCCCAATAACGCTAAGACCCACACGCTGACAAGCTAGTAAGTTCAACCGAAGTGGGTAAATGAGATACAATCTCAGATTGTGATATGATGTAAATATATTCAAATATCGCTGCTTTGATTTTATCCATTTAATCCCTCTCCCTGAACTTAAGAATTTGGGAACCTCAGAACCGAGGGAATTTGTCTCTTTGGACCAAGGAAACCTCCATTCCGCAACACAGTGTAAGTTTGGTCCGTTTGGTCCGAGGAGAACACCCAGCCTTGCAAGTAGCCAAGTCAGAGCAAGGGAAACGAGGGTATGACGTAACTTGCATCGATACACTCCTAAATAGACTGCTATAGCTATCTTTAAAAAGATAGAGTATGCACAATTTTCCAAACCTGCTTTGCGGGATTCCCACCAGGTTGCACGGGTATAAAGGTACACATGAATTGGGTCATTGTGTCGCTGGATCCATCTGACACCAACAGAGATGCTGGATGTTTGCCTTATCGAGGTAAGCGATGGTTTGCGGATTTGCGAAATCATGGAGATTCTTGGCTGGCAGGGCAGAAAAGGCTTGCCTTGTGCATTTTCCCACCTGACACGACACGACATGAATGAGCGACAGGACAGGCGGGACATAAGTGTTTCAGAGATCTTGTTTGACTGGCCAATGGTGTCAGCACCTAGCCCGATGTTTAAATTTGCAGGCCTTCATTTGACATAGGTGGAAGAATGCTATTGTTCCCAAAGACCGTTGAAGCGTTGTGCTGATCTGATTTTCCACGCAGCAACTGCAGGTGAGTATAGTCATGTGTGGTTCTTTGATGGAAGCAACTGCAGTTCTTTGCAGTTTTTTGTTTTACCCTCTGGTAAATTAACATGGACCCTGAAAATCACCAATTTTTAGTGGTTTCACTCATCTTCCAACCCCATAAATTGCCAGGGTCCCACATGATGAGCTTCTTGTTGGGTCCAGCTGAGCCTTGTTGGGTCCAGCTGAGCGTTGTTGGGTCAGCTGAAAGACGTTGTTGTTACGAATGACCAGCTCTGACCTGTCAACCAGTCGGTGTTTTCTCGTGCTAACTTGCTTTAAATGTTTAACTGCAGTTGGCGAATATTTTGAGAGGTCAACTTGTGAAGTAGCAAATCGATAGATCATGATGCATTTGTTCATTGTTTTTTTTGTTAAGCCACACTGCCACACTTTTCGTAGGGTTGCGTGCATTGGCTTACATTCCCATTCACAGTAGGTTTGCCTGCCACTTGGCCCTGCTTGGCCCTGAGGATCCCTGGACAACCGGGCCTTCGGCTGGGCGACGTTATTGCAACTCAGCTGTGATCCCCAAGGGTTGGCTGATGGTGCTGAAGGGGAACCCCTAAACACGTGCTAAGGGGCTTAAAACCAGAACATGATGATGGATGTGGGGGTTTCCATAAATGGGGTACTCCAAAGTGGATGGTTTATTTCATGGAAAATCCTTTTAAACTGGATAATTAAGGGGTACCACCTTTTTAGGAAACCTCCATGTTGCTGCTTTATTTAAGGCTCCGTGAGGAAATCTGTAACCAACGATGGGGCAGGTGTTCCTGTTTGGTTGCTGGCCACACGGCCACAGGATGGTTATGCCATGCGTTTGCATACCAACCAACCTGTAACACCGCCATGCGGCAGACTAGATGACTATATAGATGGGATAAGTCATCGAGCAGGCCCATCCCTTCACAATTCAAGATTTGAATCTTCAAGTTCACCGTTTCTTTTCAGCTTGGTGGTTTCTAATATGTTGAATGTTCAATCAGATTTGTGATGATCTGCAACAACAAATATGTTTGTCTGCGGATTGAAACCACTACGTGGTGGCTCATCCCAGTGAGTAAATGGATTATAACCCCAGTTACAAGTGAACTAACCCTACTTAGCCCAGTTATAACCAGGGGTATAACCTACTTACTAAGTGGGTTGAAACCACTATACCCATTGTTTGCCAGTCTTGAGTGTTACGCATGCTACACCTTGGATGTTTCTCCTGGCCACTGCAACGAAGATGTGGTTGCTGGAATGCGGCAATCAGTGTACTTACACAGACTTACACATCTCAAAACCATGGCTTTCAAGTTGCATGATCTAACAATAGTATATATATATACGTATATATGTATATGTAATACACGTATTGTATATACTCATATACTAATATATATATACACTGTACATATACACATCATTTATATGTATATAAGCGCATGTAATCATTTTTAGGGCTGTTGAAAACAGGCTAAACGTATTCATTAGGATCTGGAGGATCCTGGAGGATCCGAGTAGCTCCGCAAATAGCTCCCGCTGAGAAACTCAGGTGGCTATCGATGGTTTACCCCTTTGGTGGCACGCGTGTCAACGCGACCAAGTGGAAATCGATGAGGACGTGAACCTGCCACGGGCAGGGGGCAGGGGGCAGATGTTGAGCATGGAAGTAAAGCATGAAGCTTTTGGGGTCCTTATGAAAGTGATGCAAAAACCCTGTTTTTAAATGGAGACTGTCACTGAAATGGCCGATGTTCCAGTTTCGTGCTAATTGACCAGAGGGTAACAGCACATTTGAATTGTAATGTGAATGTCAAATGTGAATTCATGATTTCGACTTCAGAAAATATCAGTGGTTTAGCTAGGTATGTTGGTGTTAATCTAGATACCCTAAATTTTGATGATGTACGTAAGACGCAAGTGTTCTTGCTGAATGCACATTGAGCCGAACGGATTTCAATGCGTCTTGGACAGATAATATCTTATTTGCTTTCTTTGTCGCCTGATTTTGATACATATTGCTCAGTACTAGTGGATTCTAATTATATATATAGATACATTATACACATGATTGTACACCCTTTGGTTATTTATAAATAGCCATGAAAAACGGCCCATTTATAGATGATCTATGATTATGTTCATATTGAATCATCTTACTGTAGATATGCTGCTGCTAAGAACCACCTGGGACAACCTTAGGCCAGCCTCCTATGGTCATGGCTGCATGGGGAGATTTGTTTAACGAAGCTCTGTTTCCATCCATGGATTTCCATCCATTTCCATTGCCGGCCATTTCCGCCTAAATGGGTGTGCCAAAAACTGGCTAGTCCTTAAATCCAACTTGTCTATCATCATGTTGATTTGGCAAAACCCATCATTTTCTAGCAAAACATATGGCCATTTTTGCACCCAGCTCTCAGGCTTTCAGGACGATCATAGACTTCACCCAGTTCACCCAGAGGGACTGCTGGCACGATACTAACGGGATGATTCATAAATATGTATATACACACATATATATACATATTATAATATTACATCGAGTCAGTATATTATATATATACATATCAACTCTGTAATCACAAGATACCACAAGTTTATTTTTGTACTTATTATTATGATGGTATCATAAACTACTCTATAGGAATAAGTTGGTCCTATGGGCTACGAAGGACGACGATGCCCCATCCGCACGCTTCCGCGCGCGCTTTCGCCGCGGCACGCGAATGGATATCCTGCGCAGTGAGGCGTAGCCAGCTGGGATGGGGATGTGAACCATATTGGATACCCAGTCAGCTAGTTGGGACACAAGCCAGGCGTAGTATGTATTATATATATATACTTTATACATATATGTTTGGAATATTTCACATAGTGGTTGATTTTGTCATAAAGGGGTTTTGTCATTTTCCCAAAAATAGGTTCAATATGCCAAAAAATATCATCTAGAAATCAGCGCACAGGCATTGGCTGCATTTTGAAAAGCCTTGATGTGAATCAATCGATAGAAAGATGATAAAAATTCATCAAAGGAAGTGGATGGAATTGTTTGAGTCAACAAGGGGTTGGGGATGAATAAAACCATACAGAGGTTCTAAGATAAAGCATAGGGAGATAGCACAAAAATCTGAGGAAGCCCATGACAAAAAGAATATGTTTGTGTTTCTCAAGCGGTACGGGGTACCCCAGGTTTCCCCACAATAAACATGATAAGGGTAAAAGACAGTGTTGCAGAAATGACAAATCAAGGTACTCCAAAATCCACTGGTAAGATTTGCGTTTTCCAATATTAAGATTCAGATTGCTGTGAATCGGAAACGTATTATGCACTGTACCCCCATTACATACTGATATAAGGTGGTGAATTCTCATTATGTCTTGTTAATGTTAATGCATGTTAAACTTAAACCATTGTTGGGTAAAATCGAAGAATTGGTGTAAGAATCAATATCTCATTAGATCGTATCCCATTTTACCATGCCCCAAAAATCTCATTTCAACTGGTACAAAGGCCCCATATCTCAAGGTCATACATTCCATGACACATTTCCATATATCACTATTTTATTGGTAAAAATCAAATAGTCGTTTTCAGTTTCATATGACTTTTTATTGTGTTGCATATATATATATATATATATCACATCATGTCTTGAGTTATTGCTGCCATATACCCCACCAATCCCCCTTGTAACCACCATGATTAAATCTATCGAATCAACCCTGGCTTCGGATTTCACGGTCATTGACATGATAGCTCCCGCATACTGTGGATGGAAGAAATCCTGCTGGGATTCCTATGAAACTCTGTAAATTAGTAAAGAATGGGATTATCATGGGATGAATCATCTACAAACTGCTGCCCACACTATCATTGATTATGTATATGGCTGATTATATATCCCGTTCTATCTATTCTATTCCCATCAGATTCCAAGTATACCTTTGTGTTTTTTATGTTAGATCCATCCACATATGTGGGAGCTCCCAACAGCCACCCTAGCTTTCAGGCACCGCAACCAGCCAGCGCAACCAGAGATTCCGTAGCTGCCCGGAGCCGCAAACGCTTCGCGTGTGCCTCGGCACAACGGTGTTCAGACAGATCCAAGAACTAAAAATGGATATAGTACGTCGTATATTTTTAGGGAGATATGTATGACATATATATATATCATTAGTCAAACAAACAATATATTTTTTGGGATATCATCTAAGAATATGAGAATATCTATATATATATATATAGGTGTATATATATAAGTGCCACTGTCTGGCTTGAAAATAGCAACCAACGATAGCAAGAAAATGGCAATAACGTCACAATCAACTGGCTAGAAATCATTGTCACCAAAAAAACACACATGTCACATATCGAAGAATCTAAGATTGTCTATTATGGCAAAAGGGAGCAGTTGTTTATAGTTGTTTTTTTTTTGTATAGTTTCTCATACATTAGACATATGTTGCCTGGTGAATGCTTTGTTGCAAGTCCAAGTTGGGACTTCATCAAATGAATTTTCTAGTACGTCTAATTTTCGACAACAACAACAGGGGTGCAGTTATGGCCATTTACCAGTTATAACTGGTTATTTCTATGGGATTATACATTCTATAAATGGGGTTTTGTTATGGATGGTGACTATATAGTTAATTGAGTTTTTTTTTCGAAAACTATAGTCTAAGTCAATAACACATATGAAAAACAAACTGATGTGCTTATAGTTCACCATAAAACCCATGTTTTTCTATGTGAAAAATAGATCTTTTCTTAGCGAACGGGCACTTTCGCCAGGTCCTGTGTGTTGGGACACCTTTGATCTCTGGACCGATTGCCTCGAACATCTGCGGGAGCTCAGCACCGGGCTAGCGGTTGGAGGGACGTGGGGCATGAGTTCACTAAGTATCTCGTTGGTAACTGGGAATATCACCTATCCCATTTATAGATGTATATATATATACATATATATATATATGAATGGAATATATAACCTATAAATGGGTGGTAACTAGGAATATAACTTATGATAACTTATGTATGGGATAAGCCACTAAGAGGGCTTACTAAGCAGGATTATGAAGCACCAAATTCGATGGGAGGATCCTAGAGGGTTTTCTCAGGGCATGGGGACCCACAGGTGATCAGATTGCACTACGGCCGATCAGATTATGTCCTACAAAGACACATATGTTTGCGGCATTGTAGGATTTATCATATGTATCCTTGTAGGTACTCGTACAGGCTTTGTATCACCTAGATCCCGGTGTAGATCGTTTTTTTTTCATGTGCCCTTGATCTGGATCCGTGATACATACCAAACACTAAAACACTAAAAGCTACAAACTGAACATGTTGAGAGTTGTTGACATCTTATGCAGCTATCACGACGAACATAGACCCAGTTTCCCCGCCATGGTCTTTTTATGGCCTCTGGTAGATTTGTCTTGATAGTAGGGCCAGTTTACGAACCGGCCTTCCACTGGGAGGGCCCCACATTGTTTCCATGTTCTTTCTTGCTGGTTTTCTCCCTGACTTTTCCGAAATACTGCTGCAGTTTTGGTAGGAGTTTGGACACGAGCCGCAAGTCCCCACGACTTCCAGCAAGAAGCTGGAGGAGTGTCATCAGCTGGGATGAAGTGAGAACAGGTGGACACTTGTTGGAGGTCAAACCACACTCTAAAGAATAGGGAATGCTAAGTCAGACACACACACACACACTTTTAAGTGACAATGCGGGATAAACATTGACACATATGCCAATTCGTAAAGGGGATTGAATAAGGCCAAGAACTGTGACGACTTGATGGTGGGTTTTTGAAAGAGAGGGGCCTGTTGCCAGCGCTGGAAAGTAGGCTTTCCTCATGTTCGAAAGTATCCTTTGGGAAATGGTCATAATCAGATAGGATGTTTAAAAGGAGGAGGCCTGACCCAGAAAAAAAACACGTATTCAGCTGTAAAATGCACTCCTTTAGAACAATTGTAGTCATTAGGTTCAAAATGTGGCAAATTCCAAGAAGAAATTCCACCCTAGAAGAGAAAACGGATCTTCACTTTGAAGCATTAGCTGCAACAGAATATGTATGTAATATAAAATATAAAATTACTGTGGATAAGTTCAGGTCATGTACTTCTCATAAACACTAGTTATCCTTCTTTTGTGTGGCAAACATCCTGAAAATTGGACATATACATATATATATATATATTTATATTGTTTTGAAACCTAGGGATACACTACTGTCATGTTTCCATATAATTGTGGTACAATACTACTTTAAAAAATGAGTTGCCTTTGAAACACAACCTTAATTCATCTACAAGGCCTATTTCAGTTAGAAAATTAAGGAAACTCCCTGGTGTTTTCAAACGGGTGTGGAAGTACATAACAATGTTGAATGAGTTTGAGCTGCGCAGCGCAGCAGTTGACCAAAGAAAATGCAACACATTGAGCTAAAGGCAAACTTACAAACAATATCAGGCAATGCAGTTGTTTTCACTTGCTTTCATTGCCCAAAGAGAAATATCTGTATATAGTCTATGAAGTTGTATGCCTGTGCTACATTCCCAGCAGGCAATGCTTTGAAGCAATGAGGTTCTTCAAAGAAGTGCAATTTTCCTTACAAAGCATCCACTTCAACCAAAAAGTTGTTGTTATTTACAAGCTGGGGGTTGCTTTTGAGCTAGTCAAATGTGTTCTTTTTCAGGAAGAAATATTTTTGTGAAGCTTGGATGTTTTAAACGAACCATATTATGTGTTATCTACCATGTATTGTGTTCTAAAGTGCAATATTCCTGTCTTTCCTTCATGATGGTAACATTCCTTCAGGCAGATGCTGTTTTCTTCAAAGATTGAATACTTAACTTAAAGTTGCAATCGTATGAAAAGAAACAAAACAGTTTAGTTTAAATAACAGAAACCATATTGTGTCAGAATATGCAATGTGTCCTTTAAAGATGTAACATTCCTCTCAAAGAAGCTCAGCTGGCCTTTATTTTTGAAAGTAGCACCATTTATTTCAAAAAAAATGTAACACTCCTTTCACAGAAACCCAGCTGCCATTTGTTTGGAAGGAACAACATTGTTTGAAGGGAATGTTTTACTCACCAAAATTGAAGCAGCTGCATCTTTTGAAAGTTACACTATGATATGCAAATATGTAACATTCCTTTCAATCACACCATGTCTGTGTAAATATGTAACACTCCTGTCAAAGAAGTCCAGCTGCTCTCTACCGGGACAGGAACACCATTTATTTGAAGGAACAGTTTCCTTCACCAAAAACATAACTTTACATCCCCAAAGGCTTCACACCTGAAAAGGACAATTGCACATCCCCAAGGAATACTGCGCATGTTTTAGGTGCCGGGCATCTGAGGAGGCCCCCGCTGTTGTCAGTTTTTGACATTACACTAAAAACAACATCATAGACGAGGGGTGTGGGGTGGGGGGGGTGGGGTGGGGTGGGGTGGGATAATAGCGTCATTTGGTGTACGTTCTCATGCACTTGCAGACATACGTCATGCTACGCTGCTGTACGTTCTCATGCACTTGCACACATACGTCATGCTACGCTGCTGTACGTTCTCATGCACTTGCACACATACGTCATGCTACGCTGCTGTACGTTCTCATGCACTTGCACACATACGTCATGCTACGCTGCTGTACGTTCTCATGCACTTGCACACATACGTCATGCTACGCCGCTGTACGTTCTCATGCACTTGCACACATACGTCTTGCTACGCTGCTGTACGTTCTCATGCACTTGCACACATACGTCATGCTACGCCGCTGTACGTTCTCATGCACTTGCACACATACGTCATGCTACGCTGCTGTACGTTCTCATGCACTTGCACACATACGTCATGCTACGCTGCTGTACGTTCTCATGCACTGGCACACATACGTCATGCTACGCTGCTGTACGTTCTCATGCACTTGCACACATACGTCATGCTGCGCTGCTGTACGTTCTCATGCACTTGCACACATACGTCATGCTACGCTGCTGTACGTTCTCATGCACTTGCACACATACGTCATGCTACGCTGCTGTACGTTCTCATACACTTGCACACATACGTCATGCTACGCTGCTGTACGTTCTCATGCACTTGCACACATACGTCATGCTACGCTGCTGTACGTTCTCATGCACTTGCACACATACGTCATGCTACGCCGCTGTACGTTCTCATGCACTTGCACACACGTCATGCTACGCTGCTGTACGTTCTCATGCACTTGCACACATACGTCATGCTACGCTGCTGTACGTTCTCATGATGATGATGATGATGATGAAATTGCTCCTGATGCTAAAGTTTCGTTTTTCAGCGTTTTGTGGTCCCCCCCTGTAAAATGTTTGACAAGTGACAACAGCGGGGGCCTCCTCAGATGCCCGGCACCATGTTTTAGCATACCTTTTTTTTTAAGTACTGATTTCACAAGAATGCCTTGGGGGCACGATGAATCAGATTTGGTTTGGATTAATCTGGATTAATCTGGACTAATCCTAAGGAATCAAAACCCAAAGAAACGAAAAAAAAGAAACAAAGAAACCAACAAAAAACAAAGAATCCCAAACAACATAATGTTTTCCAGACTAGTCTGAACATGCCTAGATCCAAGTAGTCCCAAAAACATTTTTTTTTTTGGGGGGGGTTGGGTGATTAACCATTCTAAGCTCTATTTCCACTAGAAAAAACTTGTGCACAACAGCCAAAAGCCAATATGGTTTTAGATCATGTAATGTATTTGGGGAAACAAATTGCCTTTTTCACACCCACAACAAACCTGTCTGTATTTCTAATAGAAAAGGTTTGTGCATGGACAACAAAAAACATAAGATCATGTAATATATCGACGAAAAACAATAAATATATACAAACAATTGGTGATTTCAGCGCTGCGCTGGCAACAAGCCTTTCTGTTTTGAAATCACCAAACTCCTCGTGCACCGAAAGGAGAACACTTGAATCTCCGTTCAATTTCAAGGGCCAAAGGTGTAGATGTTGCCTTTCAAAATAACAGCAGCCAGGAAATCCTCACTATTTTTGCAGCTTGGCCATGAAATCCTGTTGTTTTTTGCCATTTTTTGGTGAATCAATCCCCATTTTGCACAACTCAGATGTCCATTCCTTCACAGGATGCCGCCGGGAGCTTGCGTCGGTGGATGGCGACCTGCATGGCAGCAGCGCGGGGAGAACTTCCCGCGAAGCAGAACCAGCAGCTGGGCTGTGGCCGGCGACATGGACCACCCTGGATGGGACTGGAGAGATTGAACAGTTGGCTTCTAACTTTACGAACTATAGGATTTAGATTCATGGTCGAGATACATAGTTCGATGGGGTTATGAACGAATTTTGGATGCCCCACATTGTAGAGAATATTGATATGCTCATCAGCCAGAGGGTTTTAGCGATATCGTGCGTTCGGATAAATTGCTCTATACCGCAATTGGTATCATGTGGGATCCGCAATGGAAAGCCACCCCCCATTATCAACCATAAAATGGGACTATGAAATGAATCATCTCAAGTATCTGAACGCCATGCAAGAATAAGCCACAAAGCAACATGATTTTGGATGTGTTGCGGCTATCAATGGAGGATATGTGTATGTTGTTGCATTCTGCTCTTAATTGCAACTTATTGAAAGTTGTTAGAACCAAGAATGGTGACCCAACGCCAATGAAAGAGATGGGCAAAGGTTAAAGCGGAACAATGACTGGTGAAGCACCCACTTGATGGTGAGATGTCGCCAATTTATGATGGGTCACCCGGTCACCCTTGGCAAAGGTCAATGGCGAATGTGGTAAACCCAGTATTAGTAATAACTGGTTGGTAGTTTGGAACATGTGTTTTTTCCATATATTGGGAATAATACTCCCAACTGAATTTCATATTTTTCAGAGGGGTAGGTCAACCACCAACCAGAAGAAACATTTATAAACTATCCCCAGCAGAGGTTGATTAGTGGGTATCCAACAATTTGGGATGTAAAATTGTCCCTAGGTTGCCATTTCATGGAGGAATGCACCATCTCAGCAAGAGAAACAAAGACGTTTTGGGTGGAATTCCAAGGTTAGCCACGTACAGGTTCCGTGCATATGATTGGAGACTGACATGAACGGAGATCACTTGGGGCTCCGCAAACTTTCTTGGTTGATCATGTGTTTAGATTTTTGGGTGTTAATCCATTTGTAATCAGAATTATAACACCAGAAGCATAGAAAAGTAATTTCGCATTATTTGAGTAGGATTTCGTTTTTTCTATTTTTTTGGGGGGGTTGCTACAATACCTGCCATTTTGCACCCGTTGTTTTTGCATTCAGGAACGGTGTCAGCGCAGAGAAGTGGATGGCAGTGGAGGAGGAGAAGGTGGTTTGCTCAGCAAAATAGCTGGGACTTATGGTGATTCATCTGTTCATCCCCCTGGGAAAAAGGATAATGTGTTGATTTCTTTTGTTCCATCTCCTGTTTTTTGGCTGGTTGGTGGTTTGGAACTTCCGGATGATTTTTCCATTCAGTTGGGAATGTCATCATCCCAACTGACGTTCACTCCATCATTTTTCAGAGGGGTAGGTCAACCACCAACCAGATGGCTTCTAAAAGATGTTGAAAGTTGAGCGACATCTCCTCGCATCCCTTCTTTCTGCTGGCCAAAGGGATTTCCGCAGTTCTTCAGCCATGCACCAAAATTCCATACTGGATTGCGTGAAGCTTTGATGAATACCACACATGGACAAGAGATTGCAAATTGGGATCCTGGCCGATCACTATAGTCTCAGATACGTTTTTTAGTTTAAAGAACAAAATACCTGGGATAGCCAATCACTAGTCTCAGGTCTGTTTTTTGGTTAAAAAACAAAAAATATTCATACCTTACCGAACTCTGCGTTCGATATATTTAAGGGGGGTTTTGGGTTTGGGCACATCCATATCATCCACCAGCGATGTTGGCCAGGCCGAAACCCTGTTGCTCCCGGCCTCCATTGGGGTCCTCGGTGAACGCAGCAGGCGCAAGCTATAGCCATTCCGAGGTGAATAGCAGCTAACAGTTCATGTTAGTAATGTAGCTTATCAGTTAATAATGTAGGTTTATGTGATCTATAGCTAACACTTAGTTTTCAAGAGTTTTCATGTTATTGTCTCTCTAAGTCTAGGTATCCAAGATTGGTCATGATCATCCCGCAAAGTAAAGCGCACACATATTAGTACACATTCGTTCTTTGCGGGGCAGCCACCGAACTTCGTGGCAGACCTTGAGAGGTGTAACTTTGTATCGGGCCAACAGTTCCAGTTTAGGATATCAGGATATCTATCAAATATCTATCAAAATCTATTCTCCGTTTGAGTCATGGGGGGAAATGTCGAAATGATTAAAATGGCAAACTTTGACTTTGTTTGCAGTGAGTTTTGAATTTCACCATTTAAAAGCTGGGGGAAGAATTGTCACGACCAACAAATCACCAACAAAAATGTCACCACCAATTTCACTGAGCACTTCCCCAAGGTAATCCGACAGACTGGCGGTCTTCCTAGGCCACGGTGGAAGTTTCAATCATTTTCAATCGATAAGAAGTGGCCACGGCGGCCACGGTGTTGCCCCCCCCAGTTATTAATTCGGAGATGATCCCACCATGTGCACCACAAGTCTGAACAACAGTTTACACATGTTTACACCCTGTATCCCACCATGAATTCTATACTGTAATTATATTATATGTAATGACATAATATTGCAGTTATAAAGCAGCAGACAGCTATCAGAAAATTTGCTTCATAGGGTTTCGCTATTTGATGGTTAACTATATCAACAGATATTTCAACAGAAACCTACAGGATGGGGCCCCCAGTCGATAGCGTTCAGTTGCCTTATTTTTGTGGCTGCATTCTATGGTTTATGGTATAGATATAACTACAGTATTCATGGGGGGTTTGTTATATGCACGAACTTATAACTGGGGGCCCCATCCTGTAGTTATCAATCCCTTTGTTTGATGGTTCTATTCCCTTCTTTTAAAAATGCTTCAGCCGTCCTGCTTTGCCCGGCCCCCACTTTGGAGGATGGTTGTTGAAGCTCTGGCAGAAGAAGCGTCACGTTTCGGTCACCCGAAGAGAACGTTTCGGTCACCGTTGGTCCAGAAAAAAGACAATGGAAAGCATAATACCATTTAGAAATGTGAGGGATCAAGTGTTCGATTTTTTCCTGTGACACCTAGATCTTCATGTTGATCAGTTCAACTTCTTTGGAATGATGACATGGTTGATCCTTAAATCAACAGATGCATTCTCCCATGTTTTTTGTTTGGCATGTTTTTCCTCAGCAAGATTCGTTTTCTTCAGCTTAGGCTTTGAACAAGGATGCACCGTTTGGACCTTACCCAACGGCTCTTCGGACGGCGTGGGAGGAAGTGATTCAGCTGGGAGCTGGGGATTGTTTTGTTGGTGAACATCTTGATACCCTCCGGTGTCATCAAACATGGCTGGTAGATCCGCATTTTTTTCGATGTTCCCAGCGAACTCAGCCCCAGTTCTGGGATTTTCCAAGCTTGCTATGTTTGACATCGCGATTTTCCCCGTTCTTACCATGCGGGTTTCCATGGTATATCCCCAACCCCAGAGATCCCCAGAGATCCCCAGTGTAGAATCCATATGATGTATTTATTTCACACAGTTATGGCCATTTACCAGTTATAAGTACTAAGAAAACCCCATTTATAGAATGTATAATCCCATTTATAACCAGTTATAGCTGGTAAATGGCCATAACTGCAAAGTCAGTTGTCATCCCATCGCCGATTCGATGAGATTGATCCGATCCAGTCAGATGTTTCTGGCTTCGACCGACCTCCGAGGCTTGTGGGCGCAATGCCCCGGGAATGAGGCCTCGGTGGCGGCGATCGCCGAGCAGCCACCTTCCGGTGAAATCGGGGGTTCGGGATCATAAGGAGGAGCATATGGGATCTTAGCCGTTGGAAACTATAGGAAACTTAAAGATGGGAGTTTAATCGACATGATTTAGCAGCAAACACTGTAGAAGATGCTGTTGAATTCTTACTTTCGACCTCAGTATCAACCTTGAGAAAAACATCTATGAATTCCAGAGATTTAGGGGAATATGAGATCACCGAAAAATGTCCGGTCCTATGCTTTTGTAAAAACTAAGGGTAGAACAGGGGTTGCGTTGGCAATGGATCAGCTAAGTGCTCCTGAAGGGTGGCCTACACCTTGACAAACTTCATCTCCCTTGAGAACCAAAACCCGCAGAAATCTTAGGGTTTGAAAAATACCTGAGCTTTTCTGACAAAACCCGGGGTATTTTAACCCATTCTGGAAGTACGGGTTAGGTACGGGTTAGGTACGGGTTAGTACGGGTTAAGTACTTGTTAGGTACGGGTTAGGTACGGGTTAAGTATGGGTTCAAAATCAATACCCGAGGTCTTCAATCGAAAACTGAGGTTTTCTTATTTTTTCCGAAATACCTCTTGCGTTGACCTGAAGAATTCTTAGGGTTTTGGTTCTCCAGGTCTGGCTGCCTCAGTGCCAATTCTTTCTGGGTGATTAGCTCTACGAGCTGTTGAGAGGTTCCCCGAATAATCACAATTAGTCCCCTGTTGTGGGGGTTCATCCCCAACACATTGAAAGTACTGGGGGCTCATACCAGTGATTTCACGGTAGGTCATTCCATGTCATTCCAATCAGCCTGGGATCGTTGCGTTGTGTCCCCAGGCTCCTACAAATCATGCATTTCTACTTGCCGGATGTGGATGACAAGGATGCGATCTGCGGGGCCAGTTCCAAACAAAGCCATTGATTTTGGTCAGACATGTGCATCTTTACTGATCATATGAGATCATATGAGAACGTCTGCTGCTTATGTGTGCATGTTTACCTAGCATCATATAGCATCATATAGCAAGTCGATCCAAAGTTGTTTTGACTTCACATTTAAACAGACCACCCACATTGCTCCTGGGGTTGTATCAAAACTTGGGAACCTTATTCTATCACCCGGGTTGATAGATCTTCAGCCTCAGCGTATCAGCCCCACTGCTCCCCGAACAATATAGCAATCCCTAAAGACCATTCAGAAAAGTAAAATCCGTTCTACCCAAAATAAATTGAAATGTTAGTTTGTTCTATCCCTGTGGATCCAAACCTTTCCTGAGAAAGTTCTGAAACTCAAACCGTTTAACCTCAACAAATATCTTGAAATCATACCCCAAACACTGCCTCAGAAGGTACGGCTGGATCATTGTCCCCTTATTTCCCCATTGATCCCATGAAATGCCCATTCTATATTCCCTTAAATCCCACTGAATACCATTACCCTCTGGTAAATTAACAGTTCGACCCTGAAAATAACCCATGTTGAGTGGTTTCACTCATCTTCCAACCCCTATCTACCAGGGTCGTTAATTGACTGGAGGGTAAATCACCATTAAATCGCTCTAGGAGACGCTGGGCGAAGAAGACGAGGAACTGGCAGAGTGGACGGCTTGGCTGGAGCAGATGTTGCAACAGCAGGCCTGGACTTTTTTGGGGTCAAGTTACCTATCCCATATGTTCCATGTATGGTATATTTACCTACAGAACTGGATGATTTTTAGGGTAAATGTTGGTAAATATTCCATACATGGAGCATATGGGTATGAGATTACCATATGACTAAGGGATGAACATCCATTAACATCCAGCATATTCCAGCTATGACTTAGGGTTTTGACTCATGTCAATGTTTTTTCTTCAGTTTTGAAATGCAGCAATTAAATGATTTTGCGAAATCGAGGTGAGCTTGGAAAAGTTGGATTTATTTTTTCTGGTGGTGGTGGTGGTGGTGATGGTGGTTCTTTGTCCAGTGATGGAATTCTGTTCAATGGGTGTTTGTACCCTGTTATGTTGGAAGTATCTGAATACTTTCAACATGCTCATGTTCGTTTGGCATCAATAAGATGAATAAACATTACGTATTTGTTTCGGGATATTAACATGAGCAAAAGCATTGGTTTTGGTCAAGTCTTCATTTCCGTTGTTGTTCCTCAAAGGCAAATCTCCATCAACATATCATTGATATGTTTGTGTGATCCTTAAAAAAACTAAAGCATTCTCTTCGCAAGTCAACATCCCAACATGTTTCAGTCTTTCTAGATGTGTTGGCGATGGTCAAATCGCCTTGTGTGTTGATTAGTTTCTCATGTTGGTTCGGTAAAGTCATGTAAATTCCCTTTGGTTGTTGGGTGAATCCTACGTATGTTTATTCCGTAAATCAGCATTTGTTCAATGCAAATCCACATGTTATTCAACATTGTCTAATTAACCACGTATTTTCTAGCTGGTTAAATCCCTTGAACTCATTGACTTCAGCCATTCAACGATCATCCCGATCTCCAACAGACAACCAAACAGGCTGAAGAGACGCGCCGGCCGCGAAGTCAGCCCACAACTGGCCCTGTTTCATCGCGCTTCAGCGCGGTGCAGGCATCCTGGGACTTGGTTTGGGGATGTTTGGGGGAATTATCATGAATTCTCCCCATTCATGGCCGCAAGTTTCAAGCTTAGTGATATGATCATTTACCCAGATTCTTCCGGGGATCAATGGGTTTTAAGTGGGGAAACATAATGTGTTCAACCGGGAAAATTCGAGTTCAATATGTTTAAGATAAAGCGCCGTACAGTGGATGTACGTCAATGGGATTTTGATGTGGGAAGTGACAGTCTGAAAAGGGGAAATGTAGGATTTTCATGGATTTTCATGATGCTTTATATAAAGCAATGGACTTGGGGATGTCGATGGACTAGAACTTATTGGTCCTGGCTGCAAAAATGGTACTGGTTCATCTCCTATTTATGGCTCTATGGCGCAAAAATGGGATGCCAGTGAGTGCACAACTTTACCAAAATAGTGTAGTGAATGATAACTCATTGTATTTGTACAAGGTGGTGCCCCAGTTCGTCAGCTAAGTTGGTGCAAACAACTCCAATTTCACTTGGGTTTATGGTAGATATATGATAGATATATTGACATAGTATTCCTATGATATATAGATATAGATATATAATATAATATAATATATATATACTGGTTGGTGGTTTGGAACATGTGGATTATTTTTCCATATATTGGGAATGTCATCATCCCAAGTGACGAACTCCATCATTTTCAGAGGGGTAGGTCAACCACCAGGATATCTATACTATTCCTATGGTAGATATACACCAACGTTCACATCGGGGTGGCACCACCTTGGTTTCCTGATTGTACAGATACAATGAATCTGGGGCAATTTGATCACGACCGAGTCGCCTGTTCTCCCGAAACCTGGAATTATGGTTAAACTTGCCATAAACCATCATCAAACTCTAGTGAAATGCTAATGAACTAAACCAAGGTTACCTCTCTGAGACCAGCCACCTTGTACCAGTTCAACCCTCACGTTCCCCGTTCCACGCTTTCGCTCCTCCGGCAGGCTCCTGCCGGCCCTCCCCGGCTGCTGCTGCTGTGCGGACTGCCGGGCAGTGGCAAGAGCAGTTTGGCGCGCAGCTTCGCGGCCAGTTCCTGGGCGAAAATCGTGATGAACCGATGGGAAAATCATGGGGGATATACCACTGATGAAGCCAAAAATCGTGATGATATGGACCTGTTGAATATGAAATAGAACATCGTGGTGAACCTTAAAAAAAAATGGTACGAACATCTGGGGACTGATCTGAAGTGATTTTCTGGATCAGCGTTGCAGGATCTTTCGAAGGATCCCCTCAGTGGGTTATCCCGAAAAACCCAATGCCTAGTGGCTTGAATGGGGCACCATTATTTGAGGCAAAGCCATGTCAAATTTCAATGCAAAATCCCAACAATCATCATTTTCAAACATATATAGGAATAAGACCCCGACTTTAGTTTCTGGAGTTTCATTTTGGTTCTCAGAGGGGGTAAGCATGAAACGTTTGGAGAACTATACAGGCTATACCTGCAAAAATGGCGAAGTTACAGCAATAAAGGCCTTGGCCATTTTGTCTAGTTCACTCCCTGGCTGATGGGCTGTTGAGTTGGAGCCATCCTACCATTTCTACATGCAGCCCATCATCCAGCAATACTGCTCAAGTTACTATATAACAACTTGTACATCCACCATCCATTTTTTTAATAGTTATAGTTACTCAACACTTGTTGCCCCAAGTTCTCTTCCAAGTGACCTCTCTTGCTTCACCCTCCATAAAAATGGCTCAACATGTTCCAACATGTTCTGAGGTCCCCAGTGGTGTGTGGTGAACCAAGACAGCCTGGGCTCGCGGCAAGCGTGCATGAAAGTGGCTCGTCACGCCCTGGCCAGCGACCGCAGCGTAGTGATCGATCGCTGCAACGTGACAGCCATGGGGCGCTTGGGGATGGCTGTGGGGTAGAGCTCATGGCGGATGGTGGTTGGTTCCATTGTCATAGGATCCGCTTGAGAAATTGGGTATGTGTCGTTGTGAGATATGATCCATTGATCATTGATCATCTTGCATGATGAGTTAGATCTGCATCACTTTACGAGTTAGACGCCGCACTAAAGCACGGTTGGCATCCACAATCTCAAAGCCGCATCTCCCATGAGACTTGTGAAACTCTGGACTCAGCAAACCTGGTTTTTATTGACTATGCTGTGCCCAAAAATCGTGAACACTTGTCATCAGATTGGATCCTATCAACTAACCCTTGCTGAGGGTTTATTGATCCAGGGTTGCCACGCCACGAAAAGTGGCTCCTTTGTTGGCAGCGGCTTCTATTCAAATTTTCCTCGGGGGTCACCCTTTGTAATGTGCTAAACTGAATCATCACCTCCAAATTTTAGGATTGCCGGAGAAACAGACGGCGACATTGGTTTCTGATCTATTCATTGGATGACACACACACACACATGATCTGAAATCTCAAAAAAAAAAATGACAAGTAAATTTCCACTAAAATAGTGATAGATTACGTTCTATCAGGAGTTGCCATAATTCAGGACATCCAACCAGCCTGGCTGGAGCCTCCAAATTCTTGCGCCCTTCTGGCGCAATTTGCAGGACACGTGGTCAGCGTGCTATTTGGACACTCATGGCTTCCGAGTCTTAGCTGAATAACATTGATCGTACACTCTGCAGAACATGAGTTCAAACATGTTCAAACACAAGTAAATCATATTTGCAACTCGTTTTGTTGGCTGTTGAGTTCATCATGATCATCGATCATTGACGCACTTTCTGGCGATGCCAGCTCCACAGACATGTAGTTTGGGAGCACGAAAGCTGCCAGTTGCTAGAACGATCCTGGACCACGGCAAGAATGTCCAGCTTAACATACGATGGACCAACAGAAAGCTATCATGGCTCAAGCCAATATCGATTTTCATAGGATTTACCCAACAATGTCATGGTGATTTAATAATTTTAATAGGATTGGATTCGATTTTTTAGCCAACAATGTCATGATTTTCATAGTGATTTAACCGATGGTAATGAAATTCGCGTTGTTCAAATCATCTCATCTCCGGCGCAGGAATTCCACCTCGCGCCGTCCCAAGTGGGATGTGTTTGGCTGGATGTGCCTCGACAGTGGTATACCCTCGGGGAATTTCACCGGAAAAACAGTGATGTGTGGCTTGGGTCAATCAGAGAAATCATGGTCAAATGATGTCAAATGGGCTATTTTCTAATATTTTTTAATGCTAATCAGATCTAATCAGTGCTGAATCATCTATATAGTGTGCCATTGTCGAATGATTCTAATGTATTCTAATGCTAAATAACCAGAGGGTACCTGGGAGATCCTGGGAGGACCTTCCCAAATGGCAGTTTTGTTTATGGGAATGACATTACCCATTGGAATTAGGGGGGACCACATTTTCAGAGAAATCCAAATGCGTAAACTACGTTTCATCGCAAAGGGGTGCAAGAGAATGCAAACAGAATGGTTGCTCTTAAGTGGTACTCGCAGCGTGTAGATTTTGATACTTGCAACTTGAAATAATGAGTTCAGTTTTCATTCCTGGTTGGAATTATCCTTACTACCCATCTTTATTGTTGATTCTTGATTTGGATCGCTAGTAGTTACGCATACGTATTATCCTTGTTTCATCCCTGTTTCATACCTGTTTGCACAAGGTTATTGTTTTTTTTTAAATATCATTTGAACTAGATTCTGGTATTTGCAGTGCTTCTGGTTACTTCAGTGGTTCTTCTCCCCATATTTACCTTCCCACCCCAAAGTTTGTTCCGAACAATGCTCACTTCCGGTTGCTTCAAGTTCAGTTCCACTACCACAAAGCAAATTGGATCGATTAGCGGTTTTATTTTTCAACCAACTAAATGCGATAAAGAGTAATGTTTTAAATACTAATGGTGAAGTGATGATAAAGGACCGCCAACATATTTAGTTGAATATCATCATAAACAATGGCTTTGAATTGCCGAGAAATCTTTTTGTTTTGCCTAGATGTTGATTGCTTTTTTTTGGCGGCATGGCCATGGCCAATGTCGCCATGGCTCAACCCTCATCGCCAGTGCCGCGCCAACCAGATATGTACACTGGTACACACTGGGCATAATACTATCGAAAAAATGGGGATTGGATGACTCATTATCGTTGGTTATATGGATATATATATATATATTAATCATGATAATCGTTCATGAACTAATCCTATTTGTTGTATAATTCCCGGTCAATCCCATTCTTTTATGTCCATGTTAAAGCATTTTCTGGCTAGATGAAGACTCGTCTCAGGATGTATTTCGCGGATTGCTAGTCATTCTCATTTGATGTGTTCTTGGTTGCAATAAACATCCACAAAACATCATTTTAAAGCCATAACTAAAAAAAAAATAAAAAAAAACGACATTAACACACAAAAAAAAAACAAACATCAAACATCATAAATCATCATAAAACCATCTGATTTATCCAATATTCAACTCTAATTTCCCCAAGTTACATCATTGCATCCCCCATGGCATTTCCGTTGAGGTCAGCGCGGAGGACTGCGGCCAGCGCGTGCTGCAGCGCTTCGGGCATCGGACGTTGCCGCCACGCAACGCCTCGCTGTGGCTCTGTCTAACGGGGGGATGTGCAACGCAGGCGGTTGCTGGTACCCTCTGGTAAACTCACATACAGGATGGTGCCCCCCAGTTATAAGTTGGTTTATAAACCCCATTAACTATAGTTATCTCTGCCATAAATCATAGTTATTGGAGTTATAAGCCAACTTGGCTATCTAGGGGGCACCACTTTGTATGGAAAATCACCATGTTCAATGGGAAACTTCACTATTTCTATGGCAATTTTCAATAGTTATGTTCGTTTACCAGAGGGTAATTTAACATAGCTATATAACCTTAGTGATGATATCTTATAATTCCTTCCCCCGAACATTAAACACCCTCGAAACGAAACCATGGTGGATGTAGGGAATTTCCACATTCCATTGGGACCATGCAATTGGGGTGTTTCATATTATAGGGTGATGGGATTGGGAGTTATGTCCCTTTATAACTGTTAATGGCCCCATACCTGTGGACATATACCCTCTAGAAATTTGTTACATATAGCTATTGAAAATGGCCCATTCAGTTCCTTGATTTACCGAAGATGGTGATTTTCCAGTTCGCTATGTAAATGTTTACCAGAGGCTATCAATGTGTTTATGTCGAGCACGGAAAAGTCCAGTCCTGTCCTGGCCACTCCTTGGTTTCTGGTTTCACCACCCGTGGCCGTGGAGTCGCCAGCATCATTTTTGGGATGGTGAAGTGCTAGGCGCTAACACGGCTTTATGGTGGTATCATCTACAGCTGGATGGGTGAACAGAAAACTAACATCCAGAACTGGGTGGATCCACACTGCAACCATGCAACCATCTCCATTCTTGGTCGTGTATTCCCTTCATATTCCATCATGGTCCCCATGTGTGGTGCTTCATTTCTTTGCTTTAAAATAACAGTTGATATCAAATGGTGTTACTTTACACTCACTATCACTTTTCATCTCATGAGCGTTATTTAGCAAGCATGGTTTATCAAACGGCCCCCAAAAAAATGGGATTAGCTTCTCCCAACTTATGGCATAGTGGCATAAAGTATCATAAAATACGCATACATATTGTAAAATCCCTAAGCTTGGATGGGCACTTTCATCCATGAGTTTCTTGCAATGGAGAATCACCACAACCAGAAAAATATGATGTTTCTTTGTGGACTATCAAACATTGACCATGAAATAAGGTACTGTAGTCCACAAAGTTGTTTGTTTTCCTTGTTTTTTCTGCTGGTGGGTTAGTTTCAATTTATAGTTTATAGATGTTTATAGCAAGAAACTTTCATGCCACGTGAACCACCGTTCCGTGCCAGGAAAGTCATCCGTGGCTTTGCTCGGCAGTGGCAGGCGCCCGATTGTGCCGAGGGCTTCGGGCAGCTCTGGCGCTTGGCCTCGGAGGCGGAGCAGGAGCCGGTGCAGCCGAAACATAGCCTAGATTGGAGGTACCTAATATGTGTAAGGCCTATTTTTTAGGCCTATGTAAGGGAATATCCCCACAAAATATGGCCTTATATGGTACTAACGTACCTCCATTTTAGGATCCTGGAATTCCCGTTGATTATATAATTTGTCCTTAATTTATATCAGGGGACATTGATCATCACTGACCTGTGAATAATGGAGAATAATGGTTAATACTGGTGATTATTGGTGATTGATAATTACTGGTTGGTGGTATTTATCAACCATATATATATATATAAATAGAATCGATAAACCCTGTACTGCATATGTACCACCATAAAGCCCGTACCATACTATATTCGTTATTATCAATCATCAACCATATTAATAATCTGGTTGGTGGTTTGGAACCATTTGGATGATTTTCCATATTGGGAATGTCATCATCCCAACTGACTTTCATATTTTTCAGAGGGTTGTAACCACCAACCAGATATAGATGGGTGATTTGTTGTCTCATGGCATATAGATTATAGATGGTTTTCTATATGACATACATCTCAATTTATCCATGTTTACCAAGAAAACATGTTGATCATGTTGTATGTCATATAGATGGGTGATTTCTTCGTAGTTGAACTAACGCTTTGCTGTTTATACCCGATGTGGCCAGGTGGCCCATCTAAGAAAATGCCACAGTTCCACATGAAAATAAAGTGATTTTGGCCATAATGAGTCTGATTTTTACATGTGAAAGTCTTGTTCTTTCCCAGAACTCTTGTATTACTTGTATTTGTTTGCAATCGTAAAATCTTTCTCAATGATTCTCCCTATCATCATCTAACATTGTCCAACATTGGAGAGTTTGCCTCGTTGGCTCAGTGGCCAGATTTTCGCAACAAACTCATAGATCAAAACGCCTCCTACAGTTATGGCCATTTATCATTTATAAGTACTTATAACCCCATTTATAGAATGTATAATCCCATTTATAACCAGTTATAACTGGTAAATGGCCATAACTGTACAGTTTCAAAGAAACATCATCTTTTCTTAGCGTTTGACCAGGAAATGTATTTCCCTTGATCTATACATAAGGTTTGCATCATTTCCAAGGTGGGACCAGTGAATTGTAGCTGGTTGCAATGAAATCCAGGACAAACCACTATAGTCTATATTTGATTATAAACCATAACAAACATTAACAAACCAACAATTCTCACTATTTGTTGCTTATAGTATCTTACAATTATATAAGACTACAGCCATAAACCCAAGAATTCTCATGATTTGCAGCAACGTTGCTACCTCAGGAGATGTTTCTGGCCGACTTCGGCCTCACACGCTGTGAGTTGCCGAAGTCGCCGAACATTGCGAAGCTGCCGCAGCTGCCGCAGGCTGAGGCGGGCTTTTTATTGTGGCCACTGGTGGTGACAAAACCGGTGGAACCCTTGGAAAAGAAAGGGGGGGATATAAAATGGATACGGATATCACATGATATATGATGCACCATGATGCAACCAAATTTACAAAGTCAAATGTAGAACCTGCGACAATCATGATCTATCTGGGAGTATGTATACACCGAAAAACCTTACTTTTGATGGGAATGTTGGCTAATATGGGAATATCACCAAGTTAACGATGAACTGAGTGGATCGCATTGAGACCATGGTCCGATGCTGCGATGCTTGTGCCAGGTATAGGAAACCAGAGGCAAGATCTTGGATCCACGAGAAACATGGAAAAACAACATACCCTCCGGTAATTTAACATAGCTATTGAAAATGACCATTTATAGTTGATTTTCCCATTAAAGATGGTGATTTTCCATAGCTATGTTAGTTTACCAGAGGGTATCAGACGTTGGTTTTGTTCACTCATTTGCTTTGGTATATTCAGACGTTCCTACTGTGTATGTTCTTCAGGAAATTGCGGCCAACATTCCACATAAAACTGTTGCCACGAACAACGCATGGGATTTGAAATTACAGTCACTAAGCATCCCATGTAGTGTGTTCCTGTAATTTTGTATCATCGATGCCCGTGCTCACAAGTTCAATCCCACTTGTTTTTTGATTAGAGTCAGCATTTTTGCACGGCTTTGTCATGTAAAAAGTCACAGATTATGTCATTTCTATCCTGATTTTGTTGCCTCATATCCGGGTATATCACTTGTTGGTTGATCTCCATGCCCGGGTATCCTTTTTCCCAAGTTCCACAGAACTCCGCAGGCTGCGCCGAAGATGTCGCCTGCGGCGTTGCCGCCTGAGCAAAAGGAGAAGGCAAAACGAATCCATCTGGGAGTACTTCTTTTGGTGGTGCCCCAGTTGGTTCTCTAAGGTGGTACACATAACTCCTATTTCAGTCAGGTTTATGATACATATATACATACCCTCTGGTTATTTAACGTAGCCATGGTATAGATGGCCCATTTATAGATGGTTTACCTATTAAACATTGTGATTTTCCATGGCTATGTTAAATAACCAGATGGTATATATAATCAATGGAGGTTATAAACCAACTTCTAACTGGAGGTGCACCTTGTAGCCTGTAAATTCACATAGATGTCAAGAAGCCTCTATAGTTTTGTAGATCATTTTCCCATTCGGAAAGCCAGGGAGTTCCAGGGAGTTTTCCACATCAATTTATGTTGGTTTACCCGGGATCCCCAGGGTATTTCATGGTCTCTTGTGTTTTCTCCAATTTTTGTAGGATAGGACCAGTGAATTCCCCTCCGGCAATCAAACATGGCAATGGACGTTTGTAGATGGTTTTGCAGCAAATCAAGAGCAACAGCATGAATGGATTCAAATGAGTAACACATTGAAAGCCAGATTGGCAGGTTATGGCGGTTCCATATCCGTGCGCGTTTTTGAAGTTTTTTTTTGTTTGGCATACTCCAAATGTTCTCACATTTCCGGTCATGATTTATTGCGCGGTCAACATTTCTCATTGTTCCTGGGATTTCTGAGTAATTGTCCCGCTATTGTTATTTATTAATCCCATTTAGTGTTGTCTTGTAATGTTGCGAGTTTGGTCCCAATGCTACTGAATTGAATCCCTTTTTTCTGGTTATTATTTGTTGGTTATTATCTCAGTTATTGCTGGTGAATCCGTTTGCTGTTGGTGATCTATATTCAATGTGTATCCTTTTGTGGTGAGATGAAGCACCCCTCACTTTTTTTCAAAATTTGCATTAGTTCGATCAAGCCAGTTTTTTTGAAAGTGGAATGAACTGTCAATTTCAATTATATCAATAGAAGGATTTTCTACTATCAACAATTCATTTTGGGCTACTCCCATTTCCAATAGGATCCATGGTGCTGGTATATATGCGAACATTTGGGCTATATTGATGATAAATGTAGCCATATATAGCAGCACCATGGATCCGTCATGGCTTTGAGGAAACCGAACATATCCTGCTTCTCCGTTCATCCGCGTTCATCCTGATGGTTATCCTCCAATCAACGTCTCTGCCTGGAAAATGTCCATTTATAACGACCGAAGCCTGTTCTCCCGAAGCCTGGGAAAATCATGGTTTAGTTTAGGGAAATCATCCCCATTCATGGCCGCAAGATTCAGGTTAGTGAAATATGATAATTTACCCGGATAGATGATCTGCTGGCTGGATTTGTTTAATTTACAGATGACCTTCTTCAGCAAAAGATGCTACATTTAGTTCGGGGATTCTCCATCGAGCCATCTTTTGATTCCCAGAGGGTTAATCACCATGAAAATCAATTACATCCCCATTTGTCGATGATTTTCCCCTTATAATCCCATCATATTCCGATGGCTATGTTTGTATATTGTTGGTTATACATTATATTCCATTCGTTAATAACCATTAATAATTATTGATAACCATGAATCACCAGTATTAACCACTATTAACCATGTTTAATAGGTAATTCATCTGGGTTTCTCTTCTCCTGTTCACTCCGTCTTCAGGCTTCGGCGGTGCCACCGACACCGCCGACGCAAACGCCTGCCCCGCCTGCGCCGACAATGCCAGTGCCAGCGCGAAAAGAGAAGGTGTGATCTATACAGGAGTCGATGGGAAGCCTGCATACCTTGGGGTGCAGTTGAGGTTATACATGCCTGTAAAGGTTATAAACCACCTATTAGTTTGGTGTAATTATATATACTGTACATATATTCGATTGATGAGATTTTTTCAGGCGTTGTATCCAGTAGTGGGGGGAACATGGAAACACATAACAACAACGTACAGCAACCAAACATACCATTTTGAAGCAAACTATTTGTCAAGAATGAACATAGACACTCTGGCAGTGCCAGGCCGGTGACCCTCTAACCTCAATGCAGATCATGTATGATCATGTGTAAAAAAAACATGAAGATTCAGTATAATTCCAGTATTGAATCACCAACTATCCAAATATTGACAATCGCCATTTTTCATTTTGTCATCCATCCGTTTCACGATGCCGACACCGCTGGTGTATCCTTGATCAGTCGGAGATGCCGACGGAATCCAGGTGGGAAGCAACAAGATCTTGCCGAATGGTCCAGCCGGTCCACCCGTCACAGAGGACTAGACGAAAACGGAGGCTGATATTGGAAATGGTAGGCACTAAAATGAAGAAATCAGGGGTAATTAACCTGGTTAACCTTCATCTGGTGGTTAGATTGTGTGGAACCGGGTTCATTCCTAGATGACTTGGGGGTGCAGTTCCACTGAGAAAGGCGGGGTATTAATGACCTAATGTTGCGGATTACATCCCAACTGATGGAGGTTAACCATAATAGTATACCATAGTTATAATAGTATGATATATCATATGATAATAACTGTTACTATTAATGGTTACGATGTAACTATGGTTAGTATACCATAGTTATATCTTAACCATTAACAACCTCAATTGCACCTCCAAGTAGAGGTACATGAGCTTCAGGTGGTTCCTTTCAAGGGTTCTGAATCATCCACTGTGTTTTTTTGAGGATCCAAGCTGACCCAACAGTGCCAGGTGAAGTGGTTCCAAAACGTTCTACGTGTTGGATCCATTTTATGTCCATGGTATGCCCCTTTTTTGGTGTGTATGATAGTGATATATAGAGTATATATCGGGTTTCAAGCACGTTTTAGTTTTGCTTCCAACCACTGCCCTACCTGGCAATCATGGATGATGTATCCATATGACTCCTCTAGCCAGGCAATAATCACTATATACCCGGAATTGACTTGATATGCTCATCATGTGTGTTGGAAAAGTAAATATGTATGTATGTTTATATATATATATATATTATATATCTATATGGGTAAATTATAACGACCTCACTGCGACCTCACTGGAATAATGGTTAGTATTGGAAATCATCTCCGAAAGGCCTTAATTCAGGTTAGTGAAATATTACAATTTACCCAGACATATATTGAATGATTATAATATATATATATACAACACGTATTGAATAATTATATATATATATAATTATATATATATGAACATATTTGAACATATCCAAGAAATTCCAAGCGCATGAACTCCAGCCAACGCGTACAAAATGTCCAAGACATCTCAAGTCGGTGTATGAATACATCATTTCTGGCAGGTACTTTCTGTTTGATATCCACCAGTCTCCAACTGGTAATTGGATAAGAAAAAAAATGCTGGTTAAAGAAAAATGCTAGTTAAACATGGTTAAACATGGTGCAACAGATGCTTCCCTAACTTCCCTCAAGATTCTCCTCAAATTTTCCCATTTCTTCCCCTTCGATTTCCCGGCCAGGAGCCAGTTCCACCAGTTCCACCGGTGCCACCGGTGCCGGAGCCGGAGACGTCGGCGACCTGGAGCTGCGGCTGTGGAGAGATCAACAAACGGCGGAGAGACGTGTGCAACAACTGCGGAGCTGCGCAGCCAAGGAGTGCTGGATGTAGCCGTTGGGTATGGAAAAAACATGAAAAAACCTGCGTTTTTGGACTGGTGAAGGTCAAGGATCTAGATGATCTTACCCTGAAAGAAATCCTGGAATTGTTTTTGGGTTAATTTTCAGAGATATGTCATCTCATATTCCGTTTGGGGGGGGAAATTAAAAGTGAAAGGTAAAGTTCTAAGACTGGGATTTGGAATATCAACGAAAATCTGAAATTTCTGATTCACCAGAGGTTGGTCGAATAGCTGAAGTGGTTTCAAAATCGGGATGGGAGAATCTACATTCAATCTTTGCAGAAACGAAAACGGATTGAAGACATCACTCTGTACGCTTGGGGAAAAAAGAGCGATGTTTACCCAGGAACACCAGATTGTTTGTTTGTATAGCTACATATATATATATATATAGCTATATATATATATATATATGTCCAGGTTGTTCCTTCCCTCATAAAAATTGATGTTGGTTGGAGATGACTCAGATACCACAAGCTGGACGTCATTTATGATTCTGGTTGTTGAAATCACTGACATGTCTTTGTGATGTTCCAACTGACTGTACTATATCCATATTGGTGGTTGGAACATTTTGGTGGTATCCAACTGGTGATATCCATATTGATGATATCCAACTGACTTACATGGTTGGTGGTTTGGAACATGAATTTTATGACTTTCCACATATTGGGAATAATCATCCCAATTGACTTTCATATTTTTTCAGAAGGGTTGATATCCACATATTATTTTGGCATTGCTGGTGAAACATCAACCGATGCATGACGGTGAAAGATCTTGAGGGTCGGTGCAGGAAAGATGTGACCGTGCTTGATGCCAAACCCGTGACCCCTGTGCCAAACGGTTCGGATGTTCCGCTGCCAGCGACGGTCGTCGATTCGTCAGTCGCTGAACCTTCAAGTGCAGTGCCTGGGTTGAAGGATGATGGAAAACAGTTTTGGGCTAGCTACCAGCGTACTTTGTCGCTTTTGAACTGAGAATACCCTATTTTAGGTCCAAAACTCACTGTCTATTGCTAAGAGCCTCGAATGGCACTCTTTGGTCTTATCAGTTCTATCATGTTTCGTTGCATCCCCATATTGTTTTAGTTTCGCACCCATGTTTGTTGTGAGCCCATGTGTTTTTCAGGATGCACATCCATTCCAGGGCTGAGCCGGGCTGAGTGGCGGATCATCACTTCACTATGGCTTTTAGGGCCTTCCCCCGGTTCAAAGCTGATTAAGCAAGTCATCTAACCGTAGAAAATCGTAGAAATATTGACATTACTGGCCATAAGCCACAGTCAGCCTGTAGACCAACTATCAACTTGCCTGTCCACGGCGCTCCACATAGTAGAATGAGTCATGGAGTCAGCCACCGCTTCACCGTTTCAGAGGTCGCTCCGGTGAGTCTAGCGACACCAATGCCAGCTCCAGAGGAGACAACCTCAGGCCATGGACGACGATGCTAATCCCCTGATCATTGGGAGGATTCCGGCTTTTTTGGGAGGAGGGTCCCTTACTCATCAGCCAGCTTTATGAATGAGCAGGTGAATATGAGTCAGTCACTTCACAGCTGTTGTTTGATATCCAGGGATTTCAACGATCCAAATTCCCGCCCCACCCTGTTTCGCTTGAAGTGCAACGTGTAGCGATATGACCTTTGTGGCATCCTGCGCCTCCCAGGCGTAGGCCTAGGCACGGCCGACTTTTGGCGACTGCCGATGCCCGAGTTCGACGACCTGAGCCCTCCAAAATGACGGGCAAAGCGCTGCGCTACGGGCCGTGGGGGGTCGTGGAGGATCCGTAAGAACATGTAGGGTTTACGGATGTTAGCTTGGTGGCTAACCATAGAAATATAGGGTTTTTTAAATGGATTTTTAAGGGTGATTGGTTGAGAACTACGATTGACAATAACTTTTTGGAGGTTATGGTGGATATATCTTGATATATCTATAGTATTCAATAATTCAACAGGCTTATGAACCATTCTTGTACATTTACACCAATATTGAAGCGGATGAACATCCTTTCGCAAGCTAGTCTGGTGTTCACCAGCTGTTTTTACTTGTACATATGGGTAACCATATATATATATATGGTAGCCGTCCGTAAAAGCAGATAACAAATTTATGAGTTGATGCGTTTACTCTGCTTTGCGCGATTGCCAAAACCTGCATCGCGATAGGCTGAGCGATTGGTTGGCGATTGGTTATACGGCTACGACTACTACTACTACTACTACTACTACTCCTACTCCTGCTACTACTACTACTACTTCTACTACTACTACTCCTGCTACTACTACTACTACTGCTGCTACTACTACTACTACTACTCCTGCTACTACTACTACTACTTCTACTACTACTACTACTACTATTACTACTACTACTACTACTACTTCTACTACTACTACTACTACTCCTGCTACTACTACTACTACTACTTCTACTACTACTACTACTGCTACTACTACTACTCCTGCTACTACTACTACTGCTACTACTACTACTACTCCTACTACTACTACTACTACTACTCCTACTACTACTCCTGCTACTACTACTACTACTGCTACTACTACTACTACTACTCCTACTCCTACTCATACTCCCACTCGTACTCCTCCTACTACTGGTATTACTGTGAGTTTTCCGGACCGTTTCCGGACCCCGCAATTTTCTTTTCTTCTCAAATATGAAAACGAATGCGTTCATGGGCGGATCCTTCTACTAGTGTTGCTACTACTCTCAGTATTACCACTAGCGCCGCTACCACTGCAACGCCGCTACCACTACTCGATACTCGCGCTTGGCCGGTTTCTGACAGGTTTCTGACTGGTTTCTGACCATGAACGCATTCGTTTTCATATTTGAGAAGAAAAGAAAATTGCGCGGTCCGGAAACGGTCCGGAAAACTCACAATAATACCAGTAGTAGGAGTAGGACTAGGAGTAGGAGTAGGAGTAGGAGTAGGAGTAGTAGTAGTAGTAGCAGCAGGAGTAGTAGTAGTAGTAGTAGCAGTAGTAGTAGTAGGAGGAGTAGGAGTAGGAGTAGGAATAGGAGTAGGAATAGGAGTAGGAGTTCTAGTAGCAGGGCAAGGGAAGAAAGGGAGAGGGAGGGAAAGAGAGAAAGAGAGAGAGAGAGAGGGAGGGAGGGAGGGAGGGGAACAGATGGTTGGGTTTGGCCGGTTTCTGACGGGTTTCTGACGGGTTTCTGACGGGTTTCTGACGGGTTTCTGACGGGTTTCTGACTGGTTTCTGACTGGTTTCTGACCCTTCAGCGGGACTCGTGTCAATTGGATTTAAAAGCAAAGGCAGAAATTCCTAGGTGTACTAGTGGTAGTGGTTTTGCAGTAGCAGCGGGTGTGGTGGTACTACTAAGAGTAGTAGCAAGTCTAGTAATGAGAGTAAGGATCCATGCGTGAACGCATTCGATTTGAATTTGGGAGCAAAATAAACTTGTGCGGTCCGGAAACGGTCCGGAAAATTCAGAGTAGTACCAGCAGCACTAGCAGTAGCAGTAGCAGTAGTGGTAGTGGAAATTGGAATAGGAGTAGGCGTAGGAGTTCTGGTAAGAGGGTGAGGGAATAGGCAAGGGAGAGAGAGAGAGAGGTTGCGTTTGGCCGGACCCCTCAGTGGGACCTTTGTCATTTGAAAAAAAACAAAGGCAGAAGTTTCGAAATGTAATAGTGGAGACTGCCAGTATAATGCCACTATATATCTTGTAATAGCTTCGGGTATCTTACCATCCTCCTTACCGATCACCAGCCCCGTTCTGTTTTCGACGCATTCCTTTAGGGGTATGCATTAAGTTGCGCAGGGCCCTGGATCGCTCCCCCCAAGAATACGTCGGTAGTACTAAGAGTAGTAGCAAGTCTAGTAATGAGAGTAAGGATCCATGCGTGAACGCATTCGATTTCAAATTTGGGAGCAAAATAAGCTTGTGCGGTCCGGAAACGGTCCGGAAAACTCACAGTAGTACCAGCAGCACTAGCAGTAGCAGTAGCAGTTGTTTCAAATTCAGCAGAAAAGCAATGATATTACAAAGAATTAGCATAATATTTTTGTCACGATTCATTATTTAATGCATAACTTATATTTTATGTATATGATCAGATCAACGAAGAACAAACCTTTCCGCGATTGCTCACTGTGGTACCGCGGTTGCTACGCGATTGGCTGAGCGATTGAGGGCTGTCCGGGAAAAGGTATTTTGGACAACCCCCATATATATATATATATATATATATATAAGCACCACAATGTGCGCCCCTCCCCCCAAGTACTGTAACTTGGTTTATGACTACAATATATAGGATTTACGGGATGCATAAATGCTAATGTACATATAATAATATATTATAATACCCTCTGGTAAATTAACATAGACCCTGAAAATCACCATTTTTTAGAGGAAACTAATCTTCCAACCCCGATGACTACCAGGGTCTATGTTAATTTACTGGAGGGTATTATATATATATAGTATAATTGCATACATCCATCTTAGATGGGGTTAGACACCACCTTTTCACTGGTGTGCCCCACTTCGATCCAAAGCGTTTTTTTTTGACCTGGTGCCGTCGATTAGATCTGCAGCATTTTGGGGCCACAGTGGCGAGTAATTCATGCACCATTGATTTTTGATGAATTATATGTTCTCGCAACTTCCACATTCTCATCATATGGAGGTTTCCTAAAATAGGGGTACCCCAAATCATCCATTTTAATGTGATTTTTCCCTTATAAACCATCCAGCTATTGGGGTACCCCCATTTTTGGAACCCCCCATATAAGGCTTTCCTAAAAGGGTCACCATCCAAATTTTTGTGCGTCCTTTTTTCTGATGAAGTCTCTGTCAGCATCCTCCATGCAGCACAAGCTGTTGAAACCCTCCTGCCGTGGACAGAGACCCAGAGATGTGAAGAAAAAGTGCCAAGGGAGCGCCTTCTGCAGTGATATCAAACGAAATCCTGGTGGATTGTATTGGATGGATTCATGAATTGGAAGAATTGGATGCTGCATATGATGACATTGGGGATACATTATATCAATAAAATCAAATTTGATACATTGAATATCCCAACATTAAATTCTCAATATTGGATGCATTAAAACTCATGACATTATTGGGATATATATATATATTATATTTATATATGTATCAACTTTTATCGTTGGCACTCCCAAAGGGATCGTTTTTTTTTGTTTGCAGATGGATCCCGGTGGTGCGCGGCAACCTTGGTCTTCCCATCAGACATGACCTGTTTTGGATAAATTGAGGTTCCCTCTTTAAGAACCACCCGTACATGTTGGATAAATTCATATTTGATCGAAACATCGCTGAAATTAGTCATTCTTGATGATTGCAAATGATTATGGATGATTATGATTCTATAATTGTCATATCCAGTACATGAAAAATCATATTTGATGAATATCACCATATCTGATCAATTCCGATCTGTTCTATTTCATCACGTTTCATCAGATTTATGATTCATCATGTATTCCACCGTCTCGGAATACTCAACTCTATGTCCGTGGAAATCTCGGCTTGGTTTTGCTCCAGTGAATCATAGAATAAGTGATACCTTACCATGTCATCAAAGAGATATTGATTGAATAGTTTCAGTGGTTTCATCTCGATTTTTGATATAGGCGCGCGTTTTTTTCCTTTCGGTTGTTTTTCTTGGCAACCACAAAAGGTTGCCATATATGTATGTGCACATTCCCTGGTGAGTCCAAGGGGACATGGTTCTTGTTTTGCTGAATGTGGGTTTCCCCCACCAGGCTTGGGATGGGTCCCCAACCCGAACTGAGTTCACCATGGTTTTGAAGGTGAGGAGAAAGCCCAACCAAAACATTGTAAAATTCAAATCACTTGGTAAAGTTCACATTCCAGTTGTTCTTCAAAACACACTTGAGTCCCTAAAGTTACAGATGTTGATTTATCTTCACCCATTCAGTGTAGAAATATCTATATAATAATATATAACTATTATATACCATATTGTAATATGATTCAGCTGAAAAAAATCACTGACGGTCCCACATTGTGCTGGCCAAGGAGGATCGTACCTTGCACTTCACTGCCTCCCTACCCGCTACTTGGCAGCCTTTTTTTTTGAGAACGGAGGGAGTTGGGTAGATGGCTAGGTAGATAGGTACATGGTAGATAGATTGCGATTAGCGACTTAGATCGGCAACAAGAGAGCAACCTTGAAACTAGGCTTGTGACTGGGAGGCCAACAAAAAAATGTTTTCCTCCTAGTTCACTTGGATCATCAAATGAGAACCTGATACATGATTGATAACCGATCATTGAATTCTTGAAACTGAGATATTTTATGGTTGGTGGTTTCGATTTATTTTTCCATATATTGGGAATTTCATCATCCCAACTGACGTTCACTCCATTTTTCAGAGGGGTAGGTAGGTATACCACCAACCAGTACACAATTGCCAATATGATTCTCCATCATTAACCACTATTAACCACTATTAACCATTATCAACCACTATTAACCACTATTAACCACTATTAACCACTATTAACCACTATTAACCATCATGAACCATCATTAATCATCATTAACCACTATTAACCATCATTAACCACTATTAACCACTATCAAGATGGGTAGTTCAACCACCAAGCAGTTTTTCATATTTCAGCTGGACTCTGACCCACGAATCTTATCATCCCAACTCCCAGGATCATCTTATCATCCCCCGTTAAGGTTGGATGGTGAAAAATCCCCCATTTTGGCTGTCTGTGTTAGGGATCCCATTATATATTATATATATATGATATAAATGTGTAAAATATGTGTACGTATATATATATATGTGTAGATAATTATAGATAATTATAGATCGATATATAACAAGTTGCGGCAATGAATACCCAGACACATTTGTTGTATTTGTACAATTTGTACATCCCCTATGTTTGGAGCAGACACGTGCCATTTGTTATCCCATTTGTTGCTGGATATCCCATTCTATCCCATGATATACCGGTGATATACTAATGATTGCTGGCGAATCCATCCCCATTATGGTTTTTAATACACATCATAATTATATTCTATCAGTATACCAACTGGTGGTTAGATGCCACAACTCTCCCGCTATATCCTATTATCAATGGGAATTCCAGGATCCTAAAATGGAGGTACTGTAGTACTGTACCATATAAGGCCATATTTTGTGGGGATATTCCCTTACATAGCCCTTACATATGCTTATATATGGTAGGTACCTCCAATTTAGGTTCCTGAGATGGCCAGTGAAATTATGTACCAATTATAAACCAAGTGCTTAAGCTGAATGGCCCCCAACTCTTCTTTGTTCGATATCCCATTCTATCGCCAAGAAAAATCCCGTTGTATCCCCATGATATGCGGGTTTCATAGAATGAGATATCACAAAGTCACCTGCAGGTTGTTTCAATACTGAGTCATGGTCATCCATGGATGAATTGGGGGTACATGACCTAGGAAAACTCCATGTACCCAAGATATATACCAACTTCTGGTGCTTCCTAAGCCGCCACACTGCAGGACGGCAACAAGTTGCCACCCTGGCTGATCTTCGATGAAAAGTCGCGTACCTTCCACGGAACGCCCAGCAAAGGCGCGCGGGCAGGGACCATGAACCATGGGGCTGTCGAAAATTAGGGGCATGGGATTAATACCTTCCAAAAAGGGTGCAGATGCCCAAAAAAAACATAAAATGGTAATTTGAATGTGAAAAATGATGAGAATCTGATTTTAAAAAAATATGGAAACTCATGTGAATTTAGCTATTCCTTTTTTCGGTGCGTTGAAGCCACCTCGAGAAGGTTCGCATGGAATGATGAAGTGGCCAGCGGGAAGTTGAGATTTGGTTTTGAGATGTCATACAGTCCAAAGACAACCAATGCAATCCCACGGTTTTTATTGAATAAAACCTACTTATCATTCTCATAACCTGATACTGTATATATTATATACGCCGGGATCATACATATAATATAGCCAACTTGATATTCGTAGACAGGTACTGCATCTACCTTTTGTGGAGGTACCCCATGGTTGAAGCCCATGATTTATGTCGCTGAAATCTCCAATTTTTTCTCATGGTCAAAGAACATATTGTTTATTGGATACAACACCATCATTGATGGTTAATATATATTAATATCTATATATATTAACAAAACCATCATCGATACAACAGCTGAAATCTCTATATACAATGTGTTTTATCCAACATCCAATAGCTGTTGATTTTTTCTAACGAGTCAAATTTCCAGCTGATTTTATAAGAGTTGCCCTCCAGTACCCTAAATCATCCATATTAGATTGGGATTGTCCATGAAATAAACCATCCATTTGGGGATCCCCCATTTATGGACCCCCCCCATATCCTTTTAATTTTTGATAAATATATTTGGGTATTTAAATATTACATTATCCTTATTGTGACATTTAAATAGCTTTTATTGACATGTAAATATCCATTTACAGTTAAAAAAACCACTTGCCTTCGCCCATGTTTCAAAGACCAGGAGATGGTGGCGTGTTGGCCGTGAGGCTGGACATGGAAATGGGATAGGGATGTAACCCGTAATATATTGTATATTGTATATATATATATATATTATATATGAGCCCGGTCCCCGGGACCCCACACCCCCCCCCCCCCCCCCAATGGTATCCCCCCCCACTCCTAACCCCCCCCACCCCCCCAAAACCTAGTATTTGCATGTTATTTGCACATATACATACACATATACACATATATACTCCCCTTTCCACCCCTCCAACCTCGCATCTCTACGTTATTTGCAGCACTTGAGAGCCACGACCTCGTCAACGGACCTTGTCTACCTGTATATTTCTATCATAACCTTTTTTTCGAACCGCCTATAGCGTGCCTCGCACATGGTTTACAACATGTTGCTACCTATGGATTACGCAAAGCTTACCTATGCAAACCTAGACATATGTACAGTAGAAAAAACAATATATATATATATGCACATTCTAGATACTACATATTGACATCTTGATCTTGTATCTATCAGATATTTCGTCTACATTGCACATACTGTACACGTATATATATATATATATGCAATACATATATATATATGCATATATATATATACATAAACTCTAGATATACAGCGTGCATTGCTGTCGATATTCAATATACCACATATACTATGTAAAATTTATTCAACGAACATATTTACCTATATTGTATATATTACATCTACTGTGGATACAGTACATGTGGCATATACTATCTATATTCTATCAAAATCCACATATACGATATATATATATATATGTTCAATATATATATATATGTGTCATATATATATATATATATATATATTGCATATATTCTATTTATATCTTACATATTATATATATGTTTATATATGTATATACACCACACATACACTTTATATTACATATAGTATATCCATTCTAATTATCGATATATATGCACTATATATGCACTATAAAGACTACATACACCTGGCTGCTGAGAAAACCCCCCCTCCCCTGCCACAGGGGGGGGGGACCATCTGGCTGGGAGGGGGGGGGGTGTGGGGGTCCCTGCTCATATATATATATATATGTACATATATAGGTTAAATAGTTAAAAAATGAAACATATGCAAACCATATCTCTATATGATATCTATAATAGTATCACATGTATATGGGAAAAGTATAACGACCTCGCTGTTCTCCCTCACTGTAATGATGGTGAATGGATTGGGGGAATTATCCCAATAGAGCCAAACTTTTCAGGTTAGTGCATTATTTTGCCCTGATTGTAGGGAAGTTTTCATGGGAATAACCACCATTTGAGGGAATGTTTAACATGGCCTTTGTGAAATGTTGTGTGTAAAGAGTTCCCTGAAACCAGTCCAATGGAGACTGGTAAGATCTAGTAACAATGATGACCTTTGATGTGACTGTGATGGGATGTTATGGGATTTTCTGGGATGTTATGATTACATGCCCACTCTGGTATTATAGGGTGTTAATGTCCCCGCAATCGGATTGACAACCGGGATAACCACCAGAAGTTGGAAGGGAAGTCTAGACTACAGTGACTACAGTCGTAGGGAAATCTAGATCAATCCTGCGTTTGATGTGATATTGTCACAAGAGTGGAGTATAAGGGGAATTACCCTCTGGTAATTTCACATAGCTATTGAACATTGCACATTTGTAGTTGATTTACCTATTAAAGATGGTGATTTTCTATAGCGATCTTAGTTTACCAGAGGGTAACCACCCCAAATGGGAATCTAAGGGGGTCTAATGAGGGGCTCTGGATGAATTCGACCAACCTCACTACTGTACAACCAACGGACGGTTTCAGAAGCGCCGAGCATGTTGTGAAAGATGGAGGTTTCTACCCACCGAATGATGAAACCTGGGCTGAATTGGGATAAAGCTACTTGGTGGTTCACCCCCACTTAGTAAGTAGGTTATACCCCTGGTTATAACTGGGCTAAGTAGGGTTAGTTCACTTATAACTGGGGTCATAATCCACTTACTAACTTGGATGAGCCACCAAGTACTCAAAACTGAAAGCAGGTAAAGATCATGCGTAGTTGTACCATGTTGTACCACCGGAAGCTGTTGTATTCATGTCAGATATGTACGTCCAGGTTGCACCATGCCGAGCAGTACTGAGCAGTTTTTTTTTCAGCCTGACTTCCTAGATGGTTGGAGCACCAACAACATTCCAGTCTCCAGTAATCAAACATGGCAATGGAGAATTCTCCCACTTATAGTGACTAATTAGTGAAATTGGGAAATCTCCAGGCTACAGGTGAGATGACTGAAGGCATGGTGCCTCCAGTAGTCAAAGGAGGCAATCAAATATTACCCATTTATACTGTTTGGTGGTTTGGAACATTAATTTTATGACTTTCCATCTATTGGGAATGTCATCATCCCAACTGACGAACTCCATCATTTTTCAGAGGGGTAGGTCAACCACCAACCAGTGATATATTTATTTAACATTCATTGGATTATTTACTATAAATGTTGATCATATAATATATATATATATAAATATATAATATTTATGGTTAAACTACAAATCCATTTATAGATGATGTCCCAGCTTCATGGCCATCGCAAAAGCCTCAGAATCTACCGCAGGATCACAGGGCATGACAGCAAGGGCAAGAGCGTCAGCGAGAGCTTCCTGTTGAACGTCACGGGAGGTGTTTTGGGAAAGTGCCGTCTGAAAGTGGAGCATCCCCAAAAGCATCCCGTAAATCCCGAGGATTTGTTTCTAATTGTCTACATGTTTATTCTGTTTGATGAAATATATGTTAAGAATAGTGCCATATTTTTCGGTCATGATACTGATTTAGCACTTTTTTTGAGTAAAATCCATATCTGGGAAGAGAGTCACTAATTCAAAAGGCAGCTGATGTGACTCTCCTTGGTATATAGTGCATTGAGCCAGATTCCCGAGCAGCTGTGCTGTGGGATTGAACAATGACTAAACCAACAAAGATGTGTGTGTATTGCATGTTCATAGTATATTCACCTGAGGGATTTGAAGAATGCTTATCACTACGGTTTATATCCCCGTTAACGAGGCAGTTAGTTTGTGATATTCCTGTTTGGGTTGTTGCTTCTACTCAGTAAGTTCCTCCAACATCCCAACCGTTGGCACAGCTCCGCTATCTACTTAAGCTTCACAGAACCACTACAGCAAATTGAACAACACTATCACAACCTTTAAGATGGCATTTGCTGATGCCTTGTTTGTGAATATGAAGGCTTTTTTCACGATCAGGCTAATTGAAATTCAATACCAATTTGTTATTCAATTGTGTTGCAGTTCTGCTGGACCCTGCTGCAATCCTTTTTTATTTTTTTTTAATGACATCCAGGATGGGGTCACACTTTGGGAAAAGATATGTAGCAATGAAGACTTGGATGACAACTCAAGCGGCAAAATCTTCAGAGCCACGCTGCAAAAGTGAGTGATTCCGTTGGATGCTGGCAGCGGCTTCAGCAGCATTTTTGAGACCCATTTGATGCCAGGAATATTCCTAGATCATTGTGCGTTTTGATCAGCACATTTACATGTTGATCATGTTGCGTGTGGATTGAGTAATTACGATCTCTTCAACGGTCTCAAATCGATTGGTTTCTCTAAACTGGTGCTAGTTGATCTGATGACTAAATTGACCAATAACTTCGGCAGATTTTTCACACACCATGCTGCCATGAAACATTAGTATTCTATAGTATTCCATACTATAGTATCATAGTGATTATCCAATATAGTATTTCCAATCACCATCATGATCCAATATATTGGATAATTACTATGATACTATATTGTATAATTACTATATTGGATAATTACTATGAAATAGTATCCAATACTATTGAATATTAGTATCCAATAGTATTCCAGACTATCCCAAATAGCTTGGGGATCCACCCAATGATCCATCACCAGCCGAGTCGCGCAGGTATACAACCCAAGGCTGGAGGACCTATGCTCCCTCTGCACCACTTTGAAAATGCGCCCAAGGTGGGTCCCTCGAAAGAGGGCAAAGTTGTGAAACTGGATCACCCTGGTAATTTCACAGAGCCATGGGAAATTACAATGTTTTATAGATCAATAGTGCAAATGAGCAACTGTCCATTCATGATGTTAGTGAAGGCACCAGAGGGTAGCTCCGGTAGGCTTGATTTTGCCTTTGCTAATGGGATGAACCAAAGCCAACTGGCAACTGGAATAGGCCCTACGTTGTATAGGCATTCATGGAAATCTAAGGGTAACCCCCAACTATCAATGGTTTGATAGGCCCCATTCATTAAAGGTTGATTGTGAAACTCTTTGTTTACAGCTGAAGTTTGTTGGGATTCAGCCATTTCACAAGACCATGCTTGTATGAGGATATTCAAGTACTCTCTCAAGGATTTTTTCACAAGTGAAGACTAGTGAGATAAACTCTTGAATTCGCTTGGGTTTTTGTTGTACATAGAGGTTCTCTTAAGTTTCCGACATCAAAATTGGACACTGGGACACTGGCAATACCCGGTAATTCAACATGGCTTGCCATGGCCATGATTTTCCACCGTCTCTCGGGTCGTCGGAATCCAGTGCTGAGTTTGGTGGGATGCATGGAGGAATCCCCATAGAAATATTTGGAAAATCTTAGACCCTTCTCAGAATGCCCATGAAAATGGTAAACATCTGAAAATACACTAAACTTTTCTGATTTTATTTCAGATCTTATGAGGTTTATTTACCAGTACCAAACTTTATTGATCAGGTGAAGGTGACCCTGAACATCTCACTGGCTTTTGGCTGACCAGGCGGCCATTGGCCGGAATTTCTACTACAAGGTGCGCTGTGGCGCTGGAGCTGCGGCAAGTTGGTGGTTCAGAGTTGCCACACGTAGCAGCTAGTGAAATGACGAAAAATTATATGGGTTTGTCTGGAAATTGTATACCAGTAATCACCAGTATATTATAGCCATTGAAAAAAGGGATAGTGAGGATTAACCAATGGATTTGAGGGTACACTGTTTTCAGACATAATGGCTTGAAACTCAACCAAGAAACACAACATGTTAGAAACCAGCTAAACGGCCCACCTCGTATGGTTCTTTCCTGAGGATCATTTTGGATTTGACACATGAACAGTTCGTCTTGCTACCCACAACAAAGGGGTATTTACTTGGTGGCTCATCCAAGTTAGTAAGTGGATTATAACCCCAGTTATAAGTGAACTAACCCTACTTAGCCCAGTTATAAACAGGGGTATAACCTACTTACTAAATCTTACTAAGTGGGGGTGAACCACCAAGTAGACAATGAATCTGGATAATTAATGTGCATAGGGGCCTCACTGCAACGTCACTGTAGATGATAGGATTGGGAGCCCACCCAAACAGATCTTGCTTCAGGTGGAATTGCCATCATAAATGGGCATAAACAGGGGTTTTGCAACAAGAATGGTGTAGGATCATTTAGAAGAACATAGCACCCTCATAAATTGAGATTTCAATGGGAAAATAAACTATAATCATAATAATAGACTTCCCCTTGCCACGTTTGATTACTGGAGGGTAACCCCGACCAGAAATGCTGTGTTATCATTAAAATATCACAAAATCCCCCAACCAAAACTGTTGTGTACATCATTAAAATATTATAAGGTCAAAATCATATAAAATCATATAAAATCACACATAAGATCATATAAAATCATAGTCACCCCCATAGTCTCCATATAGGTCCCAAGCCCATCGCGGCGTGTGGCAGGTTCCCCCCGGGACCTTCGGCCACGCCGACGGCACCACGGGGCCCATCTCCTACTTGGCGCAGCGGGGGGATGGACGACCATTGCCTGAGTGGTTGCGGCCTGGCTTTTTTCGACCGGGGGAAACCAATGTTTGAGGTGGGTAATGATACCAACCATTATAATCATGTGCATATATATATATACACATAATTACAATATATATATATATACATACATATACAATTTTGAATATGTAATATGTAATTGCAAGATAGTAATTTGTATAATGCATTGTAGATGTATATACATTGTGAAATATGTCTATATACATATGTCTATGTATGAAAGTAATGGCGGACAAAACCAACAAGTCTGGCTGATGTTTGTCTCACTATTCTAAAGCTTGAAATTGGTTTCACTTTTTCAGATCCCATTGGATCCCTATCCCCATGATATTCCCACTAAAGCTTATTACTCAGGTTCGTGAAGCGTTCTATCCCCATTTCATCCCCATGATGTTCCCATTGAGAAATACTAAACCTACGAATCACCAGCTGAGCAGTGTTCAAAACCCCGATTACAGTAGACTATCCAGTATATTGGGGTTATCACTATACATTATGGGAATCACGTTCTTAACCAACGAGTATCATGAAAGGACAGTGGGGTTGGAGCACTGCTCAAGCGGTGTTTGGTTCAGTATAATTACTGGGGTTACATATGGGTGTATAAACCAACTTCATTACTCTACAAAGAATTAGGGTTCACACTGGTTGATATTGGATCACCTCCATATACATCAATATGACATGGCTATGGAAAGATCAATGAAAGTGGTCCCTTTTCCCCGAGGCATTTCAACCGAGCCACGGGCACCTTTAGTGGCATGCCACGTGCCACGGACACAGGCGCGCTGAAGGGCCGTTTGCCGGTGACCCTCCGGTAACTAAAGATCATGAATAACTATATTAGACTAACATTAATTATAGTAAATCAAAGTTATGTACTGATATTAGTTACCATTAAATGACCATTAAAAGCTATAAGACTAACATTAATTATAGTAATCAAAATTATGTATATACTGATTATGTTCTGATATTAGGTACCATTAAAAGCTATTAAATATAGTCACAGCCATTTGCTTTACCATTGATTTACCCTATGGGAAGCCCGTCACCAGCCGCCAGGTCCCTTGACAGTGGAAGTCTTCGCGCGCGACCAAAAGGGCTCCTTGACCAGCGACAGCTTCGTGGTGGCCCGGGCACCTGGCGCGAAGCATGGGATTCACCGAAAGATGGAGGTTGAAAGGGATGAACCACCCAAAAATCATGGGTTTTACAAGGGTTGTACTCAACAGAACAAGTAAAAGTTGGGTGAAATATATCTGAAATTCATTCTTTTATTTAGGGTTTTGCTGTAATGACATTAAGGAAAAATTGGGGGGGTCAGCATCTTTCACACAATTAAAATGTGGTGGAAAACAACGAATGATGGTCCGATGTTAAAATTAAGACCGGACAAAAAGTGAACTGAACGACAAGAATATGTTGGTTTAAGCCTAAGCTGCCACAGTGGAGATTGAAACAGCATTGAAACAACACAATTTGGGATTTTAACGACCAAAATGTAGGAACCAAACTGGAGAATTTGTTATATATATATATATATAATTATGTATATATGTTTTGTTTGGGGCCGTCCCCTCCTTGAAAATACCGTAGTTCAATTTTCATGGAGTGGGAACCAACCCTATATACATGTCTGCCACATGGGGAAAACCATGGGAAATCCCGCATTTTTTTTTGAGTTCTTGGTGAAATTTGATGGTTAAACACTAAAAAACCTCCACTTATGTGTTCCTTTTTTCCTACTATATGTAATTATATACATATATCATATAGTCAGTATATTACTTGCAAAGCTAGGATGATGATCCCACTTGATTTTTTCAGTCGGATTGAAACCACGAACCAGTTACTTTTAGTTGAATCATACTTTCTTTTTTTTTGTGGGGATATCCATTGAAGTTTGCCGCCATCAGGACGTTGTTTCCAGCGACTTGGAATCTGTGGTGCTGCGTGATGCTGTGATGTCTCGACCTCAGCGTGACTAGCGTGGGCCTGCAGATTGGAGTTGGCGCCCCGTTTCAACGGCTAAGACTGAGATTCTGACGGCCATAGTAGTTGGGATATACATGATATAACCTTCCACGCTTTGGGTAGCTGCATTTATAACTAGGCATTTTATCATGGTTTGTTGGCAAATTTATGGAACTACTTAGATGGGTGAAACTAACTTCAACGGCCCAAGGTAAGATGCGATAGTGAAAGAAACATTGAACTAAAGAAAAGTGATGGAAAATATGCATTCAAAATCGAAAGAAAAGCCACTGGACCAAAACATATTACATTTTTTCAAATTTCGATGTAACCCACTGTTCCTGGGTCGATGAATCTCTTCGCCCATTTTCGGACTTAGCGTTTCAAGTTGTGGTCAAATAGTTACCCTTATGAACCTGTTCTTCATACGGACCCGATCTTGACACCCGTTTGACACCTGACATGTAGACATTAGATGTCCAGTAGGGCATCCTGTAGCTATCGTCATCCACCAATGATCCTCTGAAACCAAGATGGCTTTGTCTCGGGCACCGAAATCCCAGTGGCTGAGGCACACCAGGCCTGGCTCCCACAACTTTTGGATCATGATGATGTGCGTCTCGCTCGTGTGCCTTGGCTTCTGTCAGCAGCAACTCCCCCCCCAAAAAAGGGGGTTCCTAAATTGGGACCCCAAAATGAATGACTTAGAATGCAAAATCTGCAAAATCCTTTTCATTTCAGGAAACCTCGATATGCCGAGTGAAACCCGAATCTAAGTGGTACTTGACTTTGCCATCTAGGGATTAAGTTATGGGTTGCGGCTGTTTGAGGTCTTTTGTGAAAAGTGATGAACATAAATTTCCTTAAAGGGGGTTGTAGACTAAATCATAGATTCACGACAGTTGTTGGTTTCCAAATATCAAGCATGTTCACTATGATGTGTTTTTTAGGAGCTTCCAGAGATAGAAAAGTAGATCCTGGGAAGACCAAGCCCAGGCACAGGTGTTGAGGCCAAAGGTGCCATCCCAGCAGAAATCCCCTGGCTCCCGAAAAGATAAAGACCGCTGGTTGTCATCCGCTGGTTGTCATGATTCTTGGGTCTCAGAATATCTCAGAATGGTGTAGACCTTGACCCTCCAAAATGGACAGACACCCAGCTCCAAGTTGATTCATAGACCCCACTAGAGCTATAATCACCATAAACCCTATAGTTACACATAGCAATGATGAGATATTATGAGTTGTTGGCACTTAGCTATACAATTACAGATATAACAGTAGAAATATGGTCCTATGGTTGTCACTAGTTGTCACATAGAAAAATAGTCATTTCACCACATAGTGACAACCATGCTTCTATTTTTATGTTGCTATACAATCACTGTAGTAGCAATTAACAACATTTTTCTTTTTTTTTATGTTACATAGTTTATATAATCACTATAGTAACCATATAGTCACAACCACAGCGGTTGTTTGCCGTCGTGGTGTTGTTGTCCTATGGCAATTTTCAGATTCTTCGCCGTGGTGGTCTTACTGGTGGCCGTGGGCGTCTTTGGCTTCAAGGCACGCCGCGGTTCATCAGGGACGGCCGGGCCGCCGTTGAGCCGGTGGAAACGGGTGTTTTTTTTTTGGGGAGAAAAACCACGGGAGATTCAGGTTGAAGAAATGAACACATGAAAATTTGTGGATATGATATGATATAATATATGATATAATATATGATACATGATGTTTTTTCCGCATCATGAAACAAAGCGGAGTTTGGGGCTAGAGAAAGAGGCCTCTGTGGAGTTCACCGACCGGACCAACGCGTGTCTGTGAATATATGGAGCCCGTAGCTCCGAGGACCTCCGAGGACCTCTTCGACGATTTATGGCCATTGAATGGGGACAATGATGGACCAACAGATGGAATGTGATGGAATGTTTTTGTTCCCCTAGTTTTTCAGACAATCATGATCTTCATGATCTTCATGGGGGAATGATGGAATGCTTTTTTCCCCCTAGCGTGTTTCTATTCTCAGACTTCACGATCTTCATGGGCGTTGGTGACTCATCAACCCAGGTGATCGTTGGTGTAGCCTCAGGATGGAGATCAACCGTCGTCGATCCATGAGGGTACAACTATGAGATAATATGGATATACAATACAAATACCCTCTGGTAAACGTTTACATAACTATGGAAAATCACCATTTTCATTGGGTAAATCCACTATAAATGGCCATGTTCAATAGCTATGTTAAATTACCAGAGGGTATATACTGTATATATTAAGTATTGTATGATTTTTACATACACAAGAACAATGATTTGTTGAATCATCATGATTCGTGTCAATGACACAATTGACTTAGCTCATCAGCTCGCAACATAGATGACATAAACTTACCAGTTTGAGATGGTTGGAATGCCATTGAAGTGGTACTTGGAAATGGTGCAGGTGCAGATGGCAGCTTTACCACATATGAGCCCCTTATGGGCCTTGATGTTTTGTGCCAGGTCAGTATCAAGCAACGCTTCATGCGAGAAAAGAAGGACCAGGTGCCCGGGGCGACTTATGTTGTGAAACACGTTGGTTGGTAAACGCACAGAAGCCGGTGCAGCCAAGGTATTAGAATAAAAATGCTGTACTACATCCCCATGGTCGATTGTTTATTCTGAGCTTGCTGCTGTAGTCAACCATCCAAAAAATGTCTTTGCACCGCGAATATCCGTTCTTGATGTCTTCTGCATTTTCATCGGCAACTCTGATCCCCTGTCTTTACTAAACATGGGTTTGTCTCAAAATCAGGTAGTGTACCTTACCCCAAAATCCAATGATTCTTCATCTTCATCATCATCATCATCATCATCATCTCCTGTATAGAAATTTCCATGTTTCCATGTTGGTGGGTATTTACCCCATTTTCAGTCACACCCTGGGAAGATTCCCAGTCGACTGCAACTGTTCAAAGACTGAAGCGGCAAGGCACCTGGAACCTTGCGACATGTATCTTGCTGTGGGGCAGAGTAGCGCACTCAGCCCATGCGGCGCCCCTTTTGGGACGCCAGCACTACGACCTGTGGCAGAGATTGATGGGAAAATCATGGAAAAAATAAGGATACCTATGGGGCATGTTACACAATACACAATGTTGATGTCAATCCTACGAGAATATGGTGAAGTGATATGGTTTTACTTATTCTTGGGCCACGTTAAGGTCCAAATAAGATGCTAAAATCTGCTGTAAGTCTGGGCCAAATATTGCTGATGATATTTGCTGATTATTGTTGGTAATTTTCTGCTACACAGGAATTCCTGACAAAGATAGGATACTCAAACTAGATCGGACCTACTAAAGTCCTTTTCAGATTTCAGGTCGCACAGACTTGTGTAGGAGATGCAGTTTGATCTAGTTCAAACCATTCATGTGGGGTATATGTGTGAATTTCCTCAATTTATCCAAAGAAGTCAGCCAATTTTGTGGGCAAATCTACCAGCTCTATGGTTTGCAGTGAACTCTCCGCGGTGGTTATCTTCTCATGAAAGTTGGGTGGCTGGAGTGGCTGGAATGCACTGAGGTACGAGCAATATTCGAGCGTGAACAAGGAAGACATTGAGATTCTCCCAGATTGAGCTCCCCCAGGCCTTCAAGATGGCTAAATGGAAGTTGTTTTTAAACGCATCATCCATGAATTTGGAAGATCTTCCATAAAACGAGGGGTAAATGACCAGAGGGTAATGGAGTTCCTAAGTTTACATGCAACATGCCTCCCATATCCTCCCATATTCTCCCACATCCTGATTTGTCAGCATATCTCATGCCAATTGTTTGGTTTGTTTGGTTTACCTGGGGCATATACAGATACACTGTATACGCCACTAGATGCTTTGTGGTACAATGAGCGATGCTGCGTGGAAACAATGTAATTATATACATACTAAAGACATCTAGAGACGAGTTGGTTTTCCCACGCTAGGGCTGAATGGGCAGAGGGTACAAATTGGAAAATTTGAGGAGTTCCACCCTTGGCTGATACAATCTGATAGATTGTTTGCTTGTTTCGCATAAAAATCGCACCTTCCAGGGGTAAATAAACTGTTTTAAGGGGAAACGAGGGAAACAACCGGTTTTTCACACCGGAAGTTGCAGCTTTCGACATGGCCTTTGGGTTCCATGGCACAGGTTTGTATGGCGGAAGCATTGGTCAGTGAGACAGCTACAGCTGGGCGTCACTTGCGTTGCACACGCCGCAGTGACACCCAAACCGTCGAGATGTGCTGCCTATGTTCTCTGTGTTTTTCTTGTTGTACCAGACAGCTTCAGATATGAAGACGGACAGGAACATCTGGGGATATAATATGATATACCCTCTGGTTATTTAACATAGCCATGGAAAATGGCCCATAGAAATAGATGGTTTACCGTTCTTAAAAATGGTGGATCTTTTCCATGGCTATGTTAAATACCCAGATGGTAATGTCACAAAGATTTGAACCGCGTCATGGGCTGGGTGTAATACTGTTCCAGGAAGTTTTTTCTTGGGAAACTCTGCGGACAAACCCTAGATTTGGGGGTCCAAAAACCATTTTCCATGACTTTCCTGTAGATGTTCCCTACAACGAATCCATTGAAACGTGCAGAGCAGTGGTTTTGCCCTAGGAATCACCCCTGCAGCGGTATTTTTTTTGGTTTCTGACTGGACAGCAGTGGGAGGTTAGTGCCAAAACAGAGTCCAGACAGGTGCTGGGTAAAGCTTGGATGGGTACTCTGACCAGCAAAGGATATGTATATATAATATATAATATATAATATATAATATATATATATATATAATAAATATATATATACATATTATTGTTTTGCAGGGAAATTTAAGACTGCCGATGAGTGGCCGTTAATATTTGGTAGTTATAGCTATAAGTATCCCAAAGTCACTTTACCTTCCGATACAGTCATTTTGACCTGAGCATGTTTGAGTACGGGAGAATGCAGCTGCATAGTCAAGAAGAAAATGTCAGTTAGGGAATGCAGCACTTCTGGTTTTGTTTCCTGTCCGTTCTGGAACTGAAAAAACAGAACCAGCGGAGAGGAAAATGATTGGTGGTTTCAAATTATGTGATTTCTCTCCTTTGGACCCAATTCCGTGTTGCTATTGACCCTCAATCCCATCCGAAACAGATTGGATCGAAGTTGGGACTCAGGGACTTGAAACCACCGAGAAAACAATAGTACTCGCTTCTGCCACAATGTGCAGAGCGAAAGCTCAAGGTTTTCGCATCAATAGATGCTGATCCATGAGTCATTGGGCAGGTTGGGACATGTTGCCTCTCGTGTTGGTGTTGGACTAATTAGATATGTGTGTTCTAATGGAAAAAACAATGAAACGCATATGAACATGGCTATATTACATATTCAAAGATATGGAAACCCGATGATAAACTGATCAATCATCCAAAAGTTGAGGTACCCATTTTCAGGATGCATCCTGTGAGTGATATCAGTGATACGGACTTATTCGGTTTTTTGTGTCTGAGTCATGTGAGTCATATAAAAATTCTTAAAAAAATCATATCCCCATGGGATTTCCCAAGCATATCAACCATGGATTTCCCAAGCATAACCATGATCCATGGGATGTCATCCCAGCTTGTTGCAACCGCCCACCAGCCTACCAAGAAGAGAAAAATCGTCGTCTCCCAAAGCTTGGAGTTAAGTCCGGTGATCCGCAGCTGATGCACCGAAAAGGGCCGTAAGGTCAGCGAACTGGAAAATGGTGGATTTAGTTGGCGGATTTACCAATTGGTAAATTTACTATGGTGATTTACATAAACCATATAACTGAATATGGTGATTTTCCATAGTTGTATGTTATATGTAAACGTTTGCCAGAGAGTATACTGAATTACTTCCTCCTTCTTCTCCTCCTGGTCCTTCTTGTTCCTCTTGGGTGTCATGGGCTGGGGGGGAATCTCCCAACTCGAGTTCTTTTTGGTATAGCTGGGATAAATTGGAGAATCGTGGAACTAAATGATACCGGTGAGTTTTCCAGTTGGCCAAGATTGATACCGGAGGGTATGGGGATGAACCAGGCAGAATGAGGATTTTCGCCAACCATCTATGGTTGATTTGCCTATTGAAAATCGTTTTAGTTTACTGGAGGCTACTAGCGGTCCACCGCAGGACATTTTCTATGCCTAGTATTCCTCCAAGATAGCTGTTTTAATCAGGACATGGTAAGCCATGGGATGTATTGATAATGTCAAATGGACATATGCACAAACGAATTGTATGTATGCTTACTTAAAGAACAGGTATATATAACGTAGCGGTGAGCATGTTATTTGACTAGTAGACTAGCAACATTACTTTTAGAATAGCAACTGGTTTATTTCAGCGGTCTTTGGTACATAGGCAGCATGAAAGCGGGATGTGCCGTTGAACAGCTTCCAACATCGCCATGGATCAAGCCACAGGCATGAGTCACGGGCTGATGATCACTGGTGACAACAAGTTGGACACGGTTGGGACTGTGGTTTCGTAGATGGCCTCTCTTTCAGCTAGACATGGAGGATGTAAGATCCTGAGAAAACAAGTCAGATGCAAGGTATCTGAGCTTTACCATGTGGAAAGAACTTGATTGCTTACATAACCCATAGGATCCATGTATGCTATAGATGGTAACATGGATCCCATCAATATCCATCAATATACCCCCTTTATGTTAGCATATATACCAGCACCATGGATCCTATGGGTAATACATATACAAATCGACGAGCCATTCCCGAACCCATCCAAGAGGCATGATCAACCAATAGGTCCCGTGGCAGCAAAATTGTGTCCATCGCCATGCCGTTGGGGCCACTGCCGGATATCAGAGCCTCTTGGAGTCGTTTGTGGCAAGGTGGGGTTGCTCCAACTTGAAATCACGTATAAATGGAGCTGGGTGGTGGTTTGGAACATTTGGATTATTGTCCATTTCATATATGGGATATATAATCCTTCCCATTGACTAACTGACATTTTTCAAGATGGTGAAATTGCACCACCAACCAGGTATAAATGGAGGTTTTTTGATAGGAACATCTTGGATTTTCCTCTGCCATGCCAGACGGGTGCATTGGTTTTGGGTTTGTTCACCACCAACAGCATCCAACAGCCACTAATTCTATCTAATTCTTGGAGGCATAAAACCCTGGCGTCTGGTTGAATCCACGTGTTTTTGGTGAAAGAGTGGCAGTGCCCTTTTTTGCCCTTTTTTTCGGTGTCATTTGAACCCAGCTTTTGGGGGGCATCCCAAAAGTGGATCAAATTGATCGATGTTTATAGGGTGAAACCATGAACTCGCCCATCGGTGTTGTCGTGACATGTTTGGTCGTGACAGGCAGTGCTGATTCGCCAAGCCCAGCATTTCCAAAGTGTCACCTGGATCCATCACTCCTTCCCTAGGAGACGTCTTTGCCAGCTGGGGTGACGCAAGAGGACCGGTTATCGTTAGAGGATCAAGTTACGGCAGAGGGTCCATACTGCATGGGGAAACCTTGGATGGATAAGTTACTACTTGGTGGCTCATCCCAGTTAGTAAGTGGATTATACCCC